AAACATTTTCCATAGATGCAATTGGCCACTTCTTAAGTTGGATCCGTCGTGCATTCTATAAGAAAATTAGATATTCTAAACTATGATCTTCACTCCTTCTAACTTTGTGTTACCTTAGATTCCATAAAAATGATGACGTAGGGGAACAAAAAGTAAATTGCAGATTTAATTTGAAGAATATAAATGTCAATTGTTTTAATATTTGACTTTATGTAATGCTGATAATTTAAGAGAGAGAAAACAGTACTTTAACGAATAAAGTTAAAGCAGGAAAGTAATTTTCTTAATAGTTGCATTAATAGTGGTTGGAATTTGGAAACCTAGTTCGTGATTAAGGAACAAGAGTCAAATTCATCAAAGAATGAAATAAGAAATATTAAAGAGTAATAAAGGAGAAATTGTTGATTTAAAAAAAGGATATCTTATAATTTATTTTTGCATAACATATTTTAACGACATCTTATTCATACATTTTTTTTATCATTAAATACGTCAACAAAATTAACAGAAGGGGCTAACATATTATAAAAACAAAACATTAATAAAATAACCAAATCAAAACTTTAAATAAAAAAAATTAGACTAATGTTACGTATAAAGCTTTCATAAGGCTCCATACTATTTTTTTCTTAGACGAACCACTATGACATGACATGAATTAATGAATAATTTAATTTTATTTACACGTAAGAACGAAAAATTAGTATTCACCATTTTATACTTATTTTATTAATGTTATATACTATCCTATGCAAGACCTCAGTTTTAGAAGCAATATTTCCAATTATTTTTTTTAAAACATATATTTGGTGATATTTTTTCTTATAAAGATTAAAATACCTTTTTTACAAATTCATTAATTAATTTAATTTTAATAAAAATATATTTAAATTATTATTGAAGTAATATAATTTTAACATTATTCGTTTTGGAATTATTTGTATTCAATCATTCTATAAGAGTCTCGTTAAGTTATAATACTAATTTCCAGTCGACATATTTTGAACTTGACTTAATAATTATATTTTATTACAACACAGACGGCAAATTAAATATATCAATTTATTAATTTTTCCTTCCTAATTAATTGGATTATACTTTATAGTACCTTTCTTCGTTATCATCAGAAAACCAATATCTTATAAAATAAAATGAGGCTCACGTGTGAAATTTCTTTGCGACTTGCCCAATTTTTTATTAGGATAAATTTTGGACATTGTATTTTATTTAATAATTAAAATTAAAAAGTACTATAAATGTTTCATTGACATTTTAAAAAATTTATAAATAAACGAATTAATTGGTTTTTTGTGAGACGCAGATTTACGTGATCCATATGTCCATATCATAATGATCCTTAACATAAAAATATAAAATAATGATAATCAGATATATAATTATTAATTACATATCTTAATCATCTTTCTCTGTTTTTTCTTTGACTACGCAAAACATAAAATAATGATTGTGTGGCAACTCGCAAGGAAAGATTATCCATCATCAAACAAAAACTAGTGCCTTATTTGGATCCCTCTCATGCATTATATTTTACTGTGATTTTGTTGATGGATTCCCACTTCTTGGGTCACTGTTTTAGAGAAGGGTTTTCACACTAGAGCTTGTATTGCAGACACAAGTGGGAAAATTTGAATGGTTTTCCTTTGGCGTGTGAGTGTAGGGTTCAAAATGAAATGGTGTGATAAGAGAACGCACGAGAGATTATGACAATAATTGATCCTTAATGGCATTAAGCCAGCCAACTAATTTAATCAAATTTAATTTAGTCAACAAACTTTAGAAGGGCTTAAAAAATGCATTTGGAAGTTTGCACTGACCTTTTTATCTCTTATCCCGTTGTCGCATTCGTACAAAACAGTGACGTGAGCCTTTTTTTTTTAATATTTTTTTCTTAAAACTATATGTAACATCCTATATTTCATATTATTATTATTATAATCGTTGTTGTTGAAGATGTTACTGTTATACTACCATTAATATGATATCTTAGTAAACTTGATTTAAAATTTTTATTTTATTTATATTTAATATTTAATAATATAATAAATTATAATCTGTTAGATATAAATTAAATATAAAATTTTTTAAATTTATATTAGTGTGAGCAAATTATATATATATATATATATATATTAAAATTAAAATAAATGCACCTAAATACATGTATTCATTATAATTTTACTTACTTGTTTAGATAATCAACTTATTATTATTATTGTTTAGTTAAATATGTAAATTTTGTAGACTTAAAAAGTTGGATAGTTGAAATAAAGTTTAACATTTTTAATTAATTTTTTTAATTTTTTGAGCTTAAACCCACTCAATAAATATATTTAGTTTATCTAAGTATGATGATAGACCATTAGCTTTCAAAGAACGACTTGACCTATTTTTTCTTTTACTGTATTCTTTTTATAACTTATTTTTCGTTTCGATTTTTTTCTGCCTATTTTTTATGCCCATTGCCAATCATTTGCATTATTATCATTTCAATGTTTTTTTTTTCCATTAATTTTCTCCTTCATTTTGTTTTTTTTTTTCACTCTTTGTTCCTCATTTGTTTACTTAATTTTACTGTTCAGTTATATGAACTTTTTTATTTGAATTATTTTTTTTCCCGCGGCCCTAATTTTTTTACCTATTCTTCTTGTTCATTTTTTTATGATTTTTTTTCCACCGATTTTATGTGTGAATGTGCGAATGAAATTTGTTTTTAAAAATGTTTTTATGTGTATATAAAATGTATGTTGCTAGGTTGAGATTAAAATTATTGTTAACTAATGTTGTTTGTCAAAAAAAATTTATAAAAAAATCATATATGTTTTATATTATTATAAATCCTTGACGAGTGTCTCAAAGTTTTAAATTGAATGTTGCATCATGTCCATGTATAGCTTTTACTTGTGAAATTTTCACTTAATTCATTAGTAGCCCACAATTAAATTGATTCAACACGTCTTAATCTTAAAAATATACAGGTCACAAAATTAGATAATGAGCCGTCGAGTTGACGATCCTAATTACTATATACTATTTTTTTTTAAAAAGTAAAATAATTTGAATAAAATGATTTTAATCTCTTAAAAATGCTTAAACCATATGTTTAAATCATATATTTTCCATCAAAATATCAGACATAAATTCCATATAATTTCATAACAAACAAAACTGTGCTATGATACATATTAGAGCATCGCTTTCTAAGCAAAATGGTAAACTAATTAAGAAAATGAATGGATAACTCTCACAGCACATGTGCAGTTCAGTTCTCATATATTGGTGCAAGTTCCATGAACACTCATTCCCCAAAATGCACATTCACGTCACGTGAGTCCTCCATTACTACCATTAAACAAATATTTTCATACTCGAAATTTCATGTACCATTATTTCTCTGTCTCAAATTTTGTTTCTTCCACGAAATCAACATCACAACCTTTTTTTTAATGCTTTATATGGGGTGAGATCAATGTTAAAATATTTTTAGGTTCATTTTTCAGTTATTGAGTAAACCTCCAATTTCTGAATGATTTTCATGAAAAAATAAATAATTTACGGAATTTTTTATAATTAAAAAAATTTAATACTCTCTCTTATACGTCGAATAATAAATAATAAAATTAACAGTTTAATTAAAAAATATTAATAATAATTTATTTTTAAAATATTAAAAAAATTATAACTATTAATCTGAAAAAAATATAAAATATTTTTTTAAATTTACAGATAAGAAAGAAAGAAAAATGTACCATGATATTTCAATATTAAGCATCGTTGAAGAGATAACAATCACTATTGGCAAAAGATCAGATGTGAAAAACATCATCCTAAAAATGTACGTTTGAAAGGGTAAGATTTTAATGGGAATCATTAAACTCTAACCATCTGTTTTCTGAAGCAGAAAGAAAATGCAATTTCTTGCACGACGCAAACAAACAATTACGAGTGTCGACAGTTATCGTTCTTCTCTCCATATCTTTCTGACCAATCGTAGTTTGTAGCCAAATTTTCCTTTGCTTTCCATGTTCTTCTCTCTCCCCGTCATATATTTCTATTAATGAAAATTATAGTGCCACATGTTTTTCAGTATCTAAAGTGAAAGGGAGGATTCTAACAAATACATATGATTAGTAAATTTTGTATATTATACATGCATCATTGAATTAATTTAATTTTTTTAATAAAAAATTTAGTTCTTAATAATATTACACCGATTTTTTGAATTGTTTTTTTGTATTGTATAAATTAACCAAAATTTTAAATTAACTATTGTTATTTAATATTAAAATAGAATATAGTACATAACAATTTATAAAAAAATTAATAAATTATATGATATTATTTTATAGAGTGATATAAATAAAAAGGGAGAGTGTATTTTATTAAAAAAAATATTGATATGATATTATTTGAAAAAATAAATTCACAAATCACTTTAAGTTCAAAAGTTAAGATTCACAAGATTATAATAGTGAAATATAGAATTAACAGTTAAAATTGTAAATATTATACATGTAAAATAAATTATGAATTAATTAATTTTTAATTAATAATTATAATTATTCTTCACTTTTATTATGAACTTTTCATGTAAGAAAATCTCACTTCAATCATGCAGTATGTACCTAGTTGTTTGACATGAATGCTATCTAATAATAATTTTTTTTTAAATAATGTTTTTAAATAATGATTAAATAATTTTAAAAATTATACTAGAACTGCATTAAAAATTATGGCAAATAAAAAATAAAATTTAAATCTTAAATAAATTCACACTTGTCAACATTGCTAAAATTGTCAAGAATATTACGTTGTTGTTCTGTATTTGAACACTGTAAATCTCAGAAACGAATAAAAAAGGAAAGACGGGGACAAGTGGAAGTGCCCTTCTTTTGGTAGTTGGTGCCACATTCGGAATTTTCTTCCCTTTTAATTTAATTTTATTGAATAATTTATTCACACTTTGTCGCAACCTGCAAGTGGTAGAGAGTTGTAAATTTTTTCACGTGGAATCACACTCTGTCTATGAATTCATTCTTCAGGTTTACCCATCATCTATTCTATTGCTGTTCTCAATTTACTCTTCATAAAGTTCCAATCTTTCTCACCCTTCATTCTCAAAACTTCCCACAAAATAGTTGCCTGAGAAAATGTCAGAATCTGAGGAAGAAAATTCAGACTTTGCTCCCAGGTCAAAGGCAACGGAGGAACCTGTGTGCACCATGGATTTCGATCTGGACTTAGAAAGTTCATGGCCTTTGGATCACATGTCTTTTGTTTCCAACCCCATGTCTCCTTTTCTCTTCTCAACTACCTCTGACCAACCTTACTCTCCTCTATGGGCTTTCTCTGATGGAGAAGATGATAGGCATGCTAGGCTTGCAGCTTCTGCTTTGTCTGATTGCCACAAGATCTTCTCTTGTATGTTTTTAGACTGAGTTCAGTTTTGGAGATGACAATACCCATTTGACTATATAAACTTGATTTGGTTTTATTGATTTGCAAATGTAATGTGGTGAAGAGTTAGTTTTGAAATATATGTTTACTTTTTCATAACAAGAGTTTTGTTTTGCCTGTTTTTAGCTGGAAGTTTATGTAAATTGAAGAAACGATTTTATTTTTTAAGATTTAATAGCCTATTTGATTGCTGGGGAACTTTATTGTAAGGCTCGCATGATATATGGATAGGATTTATGGGGTTGAAGTTGAATTTCTTTTTTCTCTCTCTTTTAAGCTCAACAGCTGAAGCTTCATGGCTTCACGTGGTGTTCTACTCCTTTCAAAATTCAGTGGTGTTCAAACTAGCTAATACATAGAGGGCAGATTTTTGTTAGTAATTTCTTCCTTGGGATTTTACCTTTGCCTGTGTATGCTACATTTTTCTTTATAATTCTTGGAGTATTTATAAGGCTTGGAAATTTTTGAAATATTATGAAGATGTTAAGCCCAAAGGTGTTATTACCATGACTGAAGTTTCCATAGTCTACTGAATGAGATATTGTGCGAAACATGTGTATTGTTATTTTTGCTGGGATCTACATTTCTTCTAACGAAGCTACTGTTTTCAGGTGATTCAAATTCTATTATTGAAAAACCTGTGGAGAATGATGATAGCAAAAAACTTTTGCCACCCCCTGTGACACTGCCACCAGTAGAAAATTTGGATGGGTATTGTGTAATCAAGGAAAGGATGACACAAGCACTTCGTTACTTCAAAGAGTTGACTGAACTGAATGTTCTGGCTCAGGTTTGGGCACCTGTGCGGAATGGTAATCGCTATGTGCTTACAACTTCGGGTCAACCCTTTGTTCTTGATCCACGCAGTAATGGACTCCATCAATACAGAACAGTCTCTCTGATGTACATGTTTTCTGTGGATGGGGAGAATGATGAAAATTTGGGACTCCCTGGTCGGGTTTTTCAGCAGAAATTACCAGAATGGACTCCCAATGTGCTGTATTATTCTAGTAAAGAATATCCACGTCGAGATCATGCTGAACATTACAATGTTCGTGGAACCTTGGCTTTGCCTGTGTTTGAACCTTCGTTACAGTCATGTGTTGGTGTACTGGAGTTGATAATGACTTCACCTAAAATTAACTATGCTCCTGAGGTTGATAAAATCTGCAAAGCCCTTGAGGTTGGGTTTCTTTTTATCTTGCTAGTTATACTAAGTTTCATGATACGCTCTTGTTTGGCAAGTATCATGTGTTGATTATAAATTATAGTATATCAAGATTGATTTTTCTCAAGGGTGATTCCCATGAGATTATTTAACTATTGTACTAGCTTTTTAGAAATTTTATACGGTTACAAGCATATTTAGATTCATCAATCACCTGCTGTTAGTTTCCTTGCAGGCAGTAAATTTGAGGAGTTCGGAAATTTTGGACCATCCATACACTCAGGTGATTTTAACCATCATACATGATGCATCCTTACCTGTTATATACCTAGGTTATATTGCTGTTCTATATCTTACCCCTCTATTCCCACAGATATAACTTGGCAATGCTTTTAAACCAGATTTGTAATGAAGGCCGCCAGAATGCATTATCAGAGATCTTGGAGATATTGACAGTAGTGTGCGAAACTCATAATTTACCTCTGGCCCAAACGTGGGTTCCCTGTAGGCATCGGAGTGTTTTGGCCCAAGGTGGTGGTCTAAAGAAAATCTGTTCCAGTTTTGATGGTAGCTGCATGGGGAAAGTTTGCATGTCTACAACTGACATAGCATTCTATATCATAGATGCTCATTTGTGGGGTTTCCGTGAGGCCTGTGTTGAGCATCACCTACAACAAGGTCAAGGGGTTGCTGGTAGGGCTTTTTTGTCCCACAGCATGTGCTACTGTGCAAACATTACCCAGTTCTGCAAAACTGATTACCCCTTAGTTCACTATGCTCTCATGTTTGGGTTAACAAGCTGTTTTTCAGTCTGTTTACGAAGCTCTCATACAGGAAATGATGATTATGTATTAGAGTTTTTTCTGCCTCCTAGGATCTCAGACTTTAATGAACAGAAGACTTTATTAGGATCCATATTGGCAACAATGAAACAACATTTCCAGAGTCTTAAGATTGCTTCTGGCGTTGAACTTGAGGATGGTTTAATTGAAATTATTGAAGCAACAAATGAAAGAGTTCATTTGAGGCTTGAATGTATTCCAATTGCCCAATCTGTTAAATCACCTCCTGGAATTGATGCCTCACCAAATATAGGGGAGGAAATGCCACAGGATCCATCAGAACAACAAATAATGATGTACTGTAATAACATAAATGACGGAGGGAATCTTGGGCTTGGTGATAATACTGGTGGAAACATTGATCAGATGTCCTCCTTAGAGACTAAAAACATAAAGAAACCCTTAGAGAGGAAACGTGGAAAAACTGAGAAATCAATTAGTCTTGATGTTCTGCAACGTTATTTTGCTGGAAGTCTTAAAGATGCTGCAAAGAGCCTTGGTGGTATGTTCATACTCCAGAATATATTAATAAGCAATTAAGCAAGATACTTTTGTTTATCTTTATGAATCTACTGCTGGCTGGAAGCATATATACCTAAGTAATATTTTCTCTATGAAAACATATGTTTGCTCTACTACAATGAATTGCATCTTGTGGTTATTTTATCTACATGAATCAGGTGTTATCTGGAAATATATAATTGTCAGAGAATGTATCATGCAACCAAACATACAATTTTTTAAAATTAATAGCAGCTGTTTTTTCTTAATTATATACTTTCTGTGCAGTTTGCCCTACCACAATGAAGCGCATCTGTAGGCAGCATGGAATATCCCGTTGGCCATCTCGAAAGATAAACAAAGTTAACCGATCCCTGTCCAAGCTCAAGCGTGTTATTGAATCTGTCCAAGGTGCTGAAGGAGCATTTGGTTTGAATTCTCTGAGCACAAGTCCACTTCCCATTGCTGTTGGTTCCTTTCCTGAACCTTCTACTCCAAACAAGCTCAGCCAGCCAGCCACATTAAGCATTAGACCATTGGAGCCTCAGATGGAAGAAAATGAATTGAATGCTTCCAAAGCATTAGAAACAAACAGACAGGGTGGAATGGAAGATCAATTGCTAGGAGGTAGGAGGACACAGTGTCTAGAGAAAGTTATTAATGATAAAGGTGGCTCTACACGGGAGGTTGGGAAAGAGCTACAAAGGACTAGAACTGGGAGCGGTTCAAGCGAAGATAGCACCACAAATCCTACTTCACATGGTTCATGCCAAGGCAGTCCCCCAAATGAAAGTTCACCTGTAAAGGATATATTCATTACTTCCATTAGTGAGCAATGTGCTGTTTTAAGGAAATCACCAGAGTCAACACTACAGCCAACTACTACGCAGAACCAATCAAATACTTATCCTTTGCCTGACTTGGTGGCAGCAGAACTTCAAGAGCCATTTGGAGGAATGCTAATAGAGGATGCTGGTAGTTCTAAAGACTTAAGAAACTTGTGTCCTTCAATAGCTGAGGCCATTTTGGAGGATCTGGTTCCAGAAGCATGTGGGACTAATCCTCCAGTTTCAGATTTGTCTCCTAAGCAAAGCGTGGATACTCCTAATAAAACAGTAACACCATTTGCGGCTAGGAAAGAAATGAAGACTCTTACTATCAAGGCAACATATAGAGAAGATATCATAAGATTTCGCGTCTCATTGACCTGTGGCATTGTGGAACTGAAAGAAGAAGTTGCTAAAAGACTGAAGTTAGAGGTGGGTACATTTGATATAAAGTACCTGGATGATGATCATGAATGGGTTTTGATAGCCTGTGATGCAGACCTGCAGGAGTGCATGGATGTTTCAAGATCATCAGGAAGCAACATAATCAGGGTTTTGGTGCATGACATAACGTCCAATCTTGGAAGTTCCTGTGAGAGCTCAGGGGAGTGAGAGGTGGCTGTATATAGGTTATGTACTCAGTTATGTAGGTTCTTGTGGGCTTTAGGACAATAGGGAAAGAATAGATTTTGGTTATGATATGCTCAAATTGTAAGAAACTTGAGTTAGATAAAAGGATTACCACTTGGTTGTATCTTTGGTATCACCCAAAAGTAAGTTATTGATTCTTCATGAGAAAAAGCTAGGATTCTTTGGTGACTCATAATGTGGTCAACTTTTAAAATAAAATCATATTGCCATTCAAATTTATAATTCTTCAGTTATGTCTTGATGAAGGGAAAAATATTTTTCTCGCAAACATATGATTTTCTATTAAATGCCCATATCAAATCGTGCTTTTAGTGAAGCCATGGTTTGGCTTAATGGTTAAATATCACTAAGCATTTTCATCTTTGGTGGGGTTGGGATTATTTTTGACCGCCGAAGAGACCCGAAACCTTATGATGTCTCATTTTATCTTGCCTCAATAGTATCAGTCAGAATCATTTTCCAAATTTTGTCTTAATGTCACTAGACTAGTACAATATAAGTGAAAGAAGGTTGAATTTTCTATTCACTAAAAAATTATATTTCATTTATTAAAGACAAAAATAATTAATGCTTCCATTTTTAGAAGAGTGGAAGCCTTATCCACTTGTGAATTGTAGCGAAGGGCCCCGATTATTGTCCTCCACATGTTCATCTCGTTTTCATGATCTTTTATGAGGCAATCCTCCAATCATTTCCTGATATAGTAATTATTTGTCATTCTATTTCTTGACTTTTTAAATCATCATTTTGTATTTGAACTTTATATTTTTATCTATTTAGTCTTTTTGTCTATTTTTATTACTGCCTTTAAAGATCAAAGTAAATGACTTTTTAAAGTGTTTGATCTTTATGATCTTAGAGATTAATATGGTCGTTTGTTCTGTTTTTTTTTTTTTTTTTTAACTCCTACTACTGTCATTGCCACAAGTTTAATGTCGTCCTAGTTGCTCCGTCACTTCACACTGCTTCTCCCACCATCAAATGAACCCAAATGAGAAACAAGGGAGTAACTTATGAAATTTAAATTTAAGATTTGATATTAGAATTTGAAAACTGAAGATAAAAAAGTTGAACCTAAAGTTTGTAAAAGTAAAAAGTAATTATAATTTTTAAAAATTTTAAAAGTTAAAATAAGCAAACATGTTAAACAAAGCATTAGTTTAATAAATTAGAAATATTTGATAAAATTAGTTATTGATTTGGTTATAAATATAAAGGAACAAAAAAATATTTATTTGACTTTTTATGTAAATTTATTTTGTAGATAAAAAACATATTTTTAAGTCTTTTTAGTTAATTTTCAATACTTGTTATTTTTTTAAAGTTAGTTTTTATTTAAAATTTAAAACAAAACAATGTAAAAATTAAAGAATTAAAAGAAATATTTTGGATCTTGAATTAAAAAGGGGTACAGAAGAAATTTTATTATAGTATTAAGGAATAAAAATGTTTTATTAAGTTACAAACGTAAATATTACTTCACTATAAGTTGGTGAAATAACTTCGTTTGTCAAACATCTCTTATTTCAATCAAACAACCTAATAGAATAATTAAATAAGCTATAAATTAACTAAAATAATTAGCCAAACATAGCTCAAATATACCAAAGTTTTTGTAATCAACTACAAATTATGAGGAAGATTCACCTTTCTTTCCAATGATTAAAATGAACAGCATGTACGACATCCACACTTCCGAAGAGATGTCCAACAACAACATGAGGTGCAATCACAACAACAGCAAGATGTCATTTAAGGGAAAAATGATCGACATCGTATGAGAATTTGACTTTCCTACTTGCTGCAAAAGATGTCTCAACTTAATCATCAACATATCGACTTTCTAAATTCATTAGTTATTAACGAGGAAGATCGTAGAGGATAACAAAAAAGTGATATGCAACAATATATTGCTGACCGAGATAATACAGAGAACCATATAACTAAACCTATTAATTGATTTGAAGATAGATTCCATAGTTGGATTTAGAACACTTTTGCTTTATAAAATAAGCTTCTAAATGGTTTGGAGACATATTCACATAAAACCAATCCCAATATCACACGTATAACAGGGTGCAAATTTGCATTTTGGCAGGTGGGCAAAGATTCCAGGCCTTACAGAAAATGGTTAGTCTCATATTTAAAACTAAAATGATGTGACACAATTAAAAATGGGATGTGAAATGCGAAAAAAGAGTGAGAGGAATAAAAGATAAAAAGAGAGAGGAAAAAAAAAGTGGGCCTGCATGAACCATCACCACCAATGTTGAAAACAAACTGAATATAGTTTATGGGTAAAACTCCACAAATTTTCATATTGCAATAATATTAAACTATCCAAAGACATGAGTGAGTGGAGACAACCTATAATGCACTTCAATAGAAACTAAGTAGCAGACAAGAAAAAACATCGTATTAAATCTCAACAATCTAGTGTGAAATTTCACCTTTTTTTGAAAGGTATTGATCATACATAGTGAGAAGAACCAATCAGGCTTTGTAGACTAAAGAAAGAGTCCAAATTGCTTTACGACATATTTATGCATCGACCCTACATCCCACCCAAACCAACAGCGTTTGACGTATGTCCATATAACACAAACTTTCTTAAATACATGAAAAATGTTGTTTAACTTATGAATGAAATACTTAACATAATAGTTTTATTATTTATATTAATTTTATTCAATTTGAACAGGATTATTTTTGGTAAAAAATATTTATGATCTGAATAGAATTTTAAATAGTATTTTTTAGATGGGTATATAAAAAATAAAATTAAAATAATATATAACATATTATAATAATTTTCAGATATTTAAATAACAAAACTCTAAATTGATCCACTGGTATTGGATCTCAAACTGTGTGTAGCCTTTTTGTCCTTTCCAGTTCCACTTACAGCAAAGAAGCAAAGTCAACTAATTAACAGCCTTGGACCTGAAAGTTACAATTTATTATTTTATCTGTAATCAAATATTTGTAAAAGAAGTTAATAAAGAAAAAAATAAAAAATAAGAGGTTGATTGGATTAAAAATATTTATCATTGTATAAAATTTGCATTAAATTAAAAATTCCATGCAAATAAATTGAAAAAACTCGTAATATTGAACAAGCCCGTTGTGTTTCTTTGTTTTTCCAGGAGAGAGGATCAGTGACTCTTCGCTCTTTGGTGTTTGTGATACAATTCACAAATAAATTCTCTGTATGCTTTGCATTCATCTTTGATGGCAACGATCACTGCCCCGAACTCTCTTCAGATTCGATTAGCTTTCAGTGCCTCCAATTGCACCAAATTTCCCATCCTTCTCCACTCCAGTCTCCGCCACTTGGATCGTCGTGTTCGTGTTCGTCTTCTCTGCGTTGCCAAAAACGGGAACGGGTTAGACACTGTTCCCAACCGGGTCGGGTCGGATGGGTGGCCCGATTCGGAGGTTGGGGAACAGTCTACCGGCTTTCACAAGAAGAACGAATCATATCGTGGTGAGGGAACCTCAAGTTCTTTGAATTTAAGATCTTCCTATTATTGGATTTTTGTATTGTTGCTTCTTGGATTTCATATTGATGTATTAGTGTTAACTTGTTATAATGTTGGAAATTAGTCAATTAGAAATAAGGAAGAGAGTTTATGAAATAATAGTGCATTTTTCTTTTTTGGGTGTTTGGATAGAAATAATTCACTGCTTGACACTTTTGAAGTAGTTTGCTTTCTTCAGGAGTAGTGGGAATGGGAGTGGCTGGACTCGTTCTTCTTTCAGGGCTTACCTTTGCAGCCTTGTTTGTCAGCAGACGACGAATCAGTGCCAGTAAGTAATCTTCATTTGCTTCTGTTGCTGTTTCTACAAAATTGGTGTGCATTTGGGTGAACCAATTAAACTTATACATTTTAAGCAGACTACCTTCTCTGTGGATTATACTTGACTGTTTGCAGGACAAGAACAGCAAATGGAGCCGACTGCACATCAGGAAGTGCTTTTGTCTTCCGATGATCATAATGATGAAATAGAATGTATAAATGCTGGTAACAGAGTGGAGCAGGGAAATGGTGATATGGAAGGTCCGATAGATGCAACCGGGGATTGTTTATCTCCTGAGTCTGATGGGATTTCCAATAGCTGTAGAATCATTGATGATTCCAATATAGGATCCCAGGTGGTATATGATATTCATAACACGTGCAATGATACTGATGCCTCTGCACACTTATCCGTTCTAGAAGAATTACGTCATGGATCAGCTGTCAATGACAAATTAGTTGTTCCCAGTGAGGATGCAATGGCACTTAACGTTTCTGAATCTGAAAATCCTGTTGATTCTTTTGATAGTGATGGATTTAAAAATTTTGTTAACAGCACTTCTGTAGATACAGCAAGTTCTGTTAGTGAACTTAAAGAGAACCCGTTCAACGTTGAATCAAGAAACTCATCCAACTTTGATGATGAGTCCCTAACGCTTGTAACCAAGCAGCAGGATGAAATTCCTGGTTCAAATGGCAATAGAAGTTCTGGTATTTCCCACAGTTCTAGTTTTGTTGCTGATAATGTGAGTCCACTTGTCAATATTGTGCTCAGTCCTCAGTCAAATAAAACTTCAGACGCTGAGGTTTTTCCTGAAAATGAAGAGAATGCTCTATCAGTTTCAATCAAACAAAATCTTTACCTGAACAAAATGCTGCAGGTCTTAGCCAAGTCGTCCTCAGAAGAGCAGAGCTTTTTGGAACATAACCCGTTTACAAAATCATCTGTTGCATCAACCAATACATGTATAGATGAGCAGGTTAGAAATGATAATAATGAGGTTAATAAACATAGATCTGAATCTCCAAATTCTGGATCCTTTTACTCTGATCCTGGTATTCCAGCTCCATCAGTAGTTTCTGCAGCTGTACAGGTGCTTCCTGGAAAGGTTTTGGTTCCTGCAGCCGTTGATCAAGTTCAGGGACAAGCTCTAGTTGCATTACAAGATCTAAAGGTATTATTTAATTGTTCTTATTCACTCACATTTATAAAGGGATAATACGTCAAACATTATTTTTGTGAAGCAATATGCCTGCACATTGACAAACTTCTGAAAGATTGACTTGCATAGATTTTTTATCAACACATCATAGATTTAGTTTGAATGTTTGTTACAGTAAAATATGCTAGTTAGTCTGATCATTAATAAAAAGTTGGTATTGTTCACTTGAAATTTTTCTACATTATCAGGTCATTGAACCTGATGTTCAACCCAGTGATTTATGCACCCGTCGTGAATATGCTCGATGGTTGGTATCTGCTACTAGCATTCTATCAAGGTAGTCTGTTTATTTCTTCTTCCTGTTACTACAAAGTGAAATAACAAAATATATAAACAAATGTAACTGTTCGCTATTATTGTAAAATTTGGCTGTTCGTGTGCCTTTCTGGTTACTTCTTAGGAAAACAACCTCAAAGGTATATCCTGCCATGTACATAGACAATGTTACTGAGCTTGCATTTGATGATATCACCCCTGAAGACCCTGATTTTTCTTCCATTCAAGGTCAGAATAAGATATTTTAATGTTGCATTTTAGTAGTGCAGCTTGTTCGTATGTATGACTTTCTTCTAGGCCTAGCATATCATGTATGAAGAATATGGATTTTCAGGCTTGGCAGAAGCTGGACTTATAGAAAGCAGGCTTTCAAGATGTGATAGACAGTTGTCTGCAGATGAAGAATATGGCCCATTTTACTTCTCCCCTGAAAGGTATGCTTTACTAAGTGTGAACTTGGATATCTGATCTGTGGTTGCTTTCTTCCACTCGGGCAACTCAGTTATCGATTTATCATCAACATTGTTGAAATTCTCCCATTTTTTAAAATTCAAAATTTCACATGGTATCCTCCTTTATTTTCATCTAGTAACCCTGTAGTATTGTGATTTCCCATCTCTCCTACATTCATTTGCTGCAGCGCTTTATCACGTCAAGATCTTATTAGTTGGAAAATGGTCGTAGAGAGAAGACAGCTACCGGAAGCAGATAGAAAGGTTTCTTAACATTGTAGCTTGGTCTGATTTACTTAAGCTATTCTTGTATTTCTAGTTGTACTGTAACTAATCAATTTGTTTGCTTCAAATATGACGACTGATGTGCAGATGCTGTACCAACTTTCTGGTTTTATAGACACTGACAAGATACACTCTGATGCATTCCCTGCACTTGTAGCTGATCTATCTGCCGGGGAGCATGGAATAATAGCTCTTGCATTTGGTAAGTCATTTTCATTTTGAGTCTTTGAAAATGGATATCCTTATTGTTGTGAATTTGTGTTGTTTTTCTTTCATTATTCTTAGTATTTCTTGTCTGCTTTTGGTTTTAATTGTTGCTTCTTAAAGGTAATACACGATTATTCCAGCCACATAAACCAGTAACGAAAGCCCAAGCAGCTGTTGCCCTTGCCACTGGAGATTCTTCTGACATAATAAGTGAAGAGCTTGCACGCATTGAAGCAGAATCTCTGGCTGAAAATGCTGTTGCTACACATAGTGCTTTAGTAGCTCAAGTTGAGAAGGATATCAATTCAAGTTTTAAACAGAAGCTTTCCGCGGAGAGGGAAAAGAACAATGCTGTTGAAAGAGTGGCTGAAGAGGCAAGATGTGAGTTGGAAAGGTTGAGAGCCGAGAAAGAAGAAGATAGACTTTTCTTGATAAAGGAACGTGCTGCTATTGCATCAGAAAGGGATGTTTGTTCTAGGTTAAGGCATGAGATGGAAGATCAACTACAAAATCTTATGAATAACAAGGTTGAAATAGCTTATGAAAAAGAGAGGATTAGCAAGCTTCGGGAGCTAGCAGAAATTGAGAACAGGGAAATTACACAATTACTGTATGAGCTTGAGGTTGAACGAAAAGCCTTGTCAATGGCCAGGTAAAATTGTGAAACTTCTTAAAACAACCAAATTATGTTTGATCAGCCTTAATTTTTGGTTTTATTGAAATAGTAAAAGCGTGTGTGTGTGTGTGTGGGGGGGGGGGGGGGGGGCTTGCAAATATAATTCTTTTCTTCACATTTTACTGTTGTTTATATTGATTTGTAATTAATCATTTGATATATGCATCTAAATTTCAGCTATATTAATTGGTTGATCCATTTATGTTTCTTGGGTTTATGCTTTCTATCTCATCAAATACTATTTTGTTTCTACTTCTATTTGGAAAATTTCTACAGTTTTATCTGGATTTATTATTTGTAGCTGAATTCTATATTTTGGTTTATTTATGACATCGACTGATTTACTTGTTTACAACAAAAAATGGTTCTTAAGATACAAATGTTTCCAGGAATATGAATTGCACTCATTAATTGATGTTAATGGTCAAAATCAATCAGACACCACTTTTATTCTTCAATACCATAAAAGTAGCAGGACTATAAGTTTTTATTTGTCATACATTGCTTATCTTGATCTACTTGAATTATTGATGCAAAATTGATGGCACACAGATATTGTAAGTCCTACTGTGATGCTAATACACTGACATAGTTTATTATTTGTTATCACAGTTAAACAAAACAGTTCAGAAGCACTTACTTTGTCTCCAGTATAGTTTAGTCATAAAATTACCCTTACCTTACTGCAGTCTGAGTGTTCTGGTTTCAGGGCATGGGCAGAGGATGAGGCCAAACGAGTGAGCGAACATGCGGAGGCTTTGGAGAAGGCTAGAGATCATTGGGAGAGGAATAGAATCAAAGCAGTAGATGGTGAGGACTTCCGTGAGGAGAAGTCTGGTGGAGTTACATGGACCAATGCTGAGGAGCAGTTCTCGGTTCAAGGCACAGTTGACAGGGCTGACAATCTATTGGACAAGCTGAAAAAAATGGCAGTAGGTGTGGGAGGAAGAGCTAGAGATACAATTGACAAGATTATCCACACGATTTCCCAATTTGTAGCAAGATTGAGGGAATGTGCATGCAAAACTGGGAAACAGGGTGAAGAATTAAGAGAAGCTGCCATCTCAAAGGCAGGTAAGTCAGCTTATGATGTGCAGCGAGGTGCCCTTGAATTTGGATCTACTATCAAAGAAAGGGCCGAGAGAGTCGCAGGTGATTGTAGAGAAGGAGTTGAGAAGTTCACTCTGAAGTTCAAGACCTGATCTCTCCTTTTTCAGTGCTCTCATGTTCAGGGAATTTTGAATACATCACACTCATGTGAATCATGTCATTTTTGTATAATTGAAACTAGTAGCAATTGTGGTGTGTGATAACCAGCTCTAGTTCAACATGTTACCTTCATGGCTCAATCATGTCTGCAGCTCAACTCCTTTAGGAAATAAAAGCAGAGCGCAAGTTTCAAGATTGTCTCGAAGCACGCTGTGTACATGTTTTGAGCATGTCATTCAAGCTCGGACTAAGTCACACGTAACTGTTTCTACACATACATTCCTTTTTCTTTTCCCTGAATGGTCATCAGCATCATTCGTAATTCGCATTCTGGAATCCCCATGATGCAGATATATTTATGAATGACAGAGCCAGGGAATTGCTACCCGCAAATCCAAAATAAAATGTCAGATCACTATTCAAGTGACCCACGTTTAATTTTAATTGGAAATTTAAATTCAATTTACATGTATAGGAAAAATCTTCAGGAGTTACACCAACTATTTCCTGAAAGAAACTGATTTAGTTAATGAATAAATGGTCTCTTAAACTTCAGCAATTACAATTAAATTTAAGTATTTAAAACAATGAATAAAATAAAATACTAATAAAATTATATTATCATCAATTACTTGTATTCATTTTTTAAAGTTGAAAATAAAATTGATGAAGAAAAATTAATGTCACTTATCATTCTGCAAAAATACTAGCACCTCGTTTTAACGTAAACACAATCTTCCAGTCTAGATGTACGAAATATGGGTACGAAGAAATGGAGTAGACTAGTTTTAGAGCAGATTACATTATTTATTCAATAATTTTTCATTAAATAACTTCATAGTATAAAGCCAACTATAAATTTTACGAGGACATTCAATGCACTTTATTTTGAGAAACTTAATTTAAAAAAAAATAAATATATTTAAAAAACAGAATAATTATAAACTTTGTTTTAACGTTTCAAAAGGGGTAATTATTATTGAAATAATTTGATAAAGATGGTGAAAACACTAATCCACATTGAATATGAAGCATAGTTAAATCAGAATGCGTAGTTGAAACTATTATTACTCACCGAGGACAAAACTACTCATTTGACAAGGCAAGAGAGAAATCATGTAATTTGACAGCAAAACCCATCATATGCAGAGAATTATAAATTATACTAAACCAAAGAACGTAGCGTATATACATACCCATTGGTCATATTGGAAGTATACTATATTCTCCCAAGCAGACTGTATCGGCAACATAACCCGCAGATGCGAAGTTTAAATGAAAAAGGATAACTCAAATTTCTGATAAAACAGAAAACAGGTCGATTGAAAAATTTCCATACATCATCATGTCTTAGTTAAGTAAAACATATTTCTCAAAAGTAAATCTTGGAGCTAAACTAATTGAACCTTGAACCAAAACAAAAATAAGACAGCTAGTCCATCAAAAACATAGATCCATCTAGTGAAACTAGAACAAAGTAAATATGATTTATTTCTTCTTGTCTCCAGCTCCACCAGCCCTGCACAATTACGAAAATAACATGAGTAACAGTCACTTACCAAGAAATTAACATTCAAGGATGCTAGTCAGATTAACAAATTATATGGGGAATCCATAATATTGACAAAAGAATATATAACTACCTCATCTTCCTGAGAACATTGGACATCTCCTCACGCTTCTTCTTTGCACGTTTATGCGTTCCGAGCTTTCTCTTTGCAACCTTGAGAGCCCTCTTATCTTTTCCAACCTTCAGTAACTCAGTTATACGTTTTTCATATGGTGCGAAACCAGCAACTTCTCGTATGAGGTTCCTCACAAAGTGCACCCTCTTGCTTGTTTTCTGTTTACAGAGTCAGTCAATATATACAGCCTAATTTAAGACAGCTAAACAAAGATTACCCAACAGAAGACACTTTTTAACATTTTAACCTTCTCTTTTATAAGGATGCAGATTGGAGCATTAACTGTTGGATTATCACAACCAAGATTAATTTTTTTTTTTTAAAAAAAAGCCTAAAGAAAGGGGAAATGGGTCTCCAAAAACTTGGTGAGTTTGAAAACAAAATGACACATATGGGTTTCAAATCTGAGTGCACCCCCGTCCCCACTGACAAACAGTGTTTTTAGTACGAACTGAAACAAACAAAATGCTTTGCTATGGTTTTTCAATTTACACTAGTGTAAAATCAGAGATAATGCAGTACAAAGGGGGTTCCCATAATAATAAAACTACTAAAACAGAAATATAACAGATAATACACCCTGTCTAGAAATGGCAGCAAGCTCTATTTTTAGAAGGTCAGAAGAAAAATTCAAATTTGAGAAAGTGAGAAATCACATTTTGAAAGTGAGAAATAAGGTTTTGAAAGGGGGTAAGCAGTTGTTTAGGGTAATATGAAAATTGCAGTCAATTCACAGTAAAATCCCTCCCTAGGCTTAAGATATTCTCTTTGACATGTTTTTCAAATCTTTATAAATCTTGAAGCTTCTTTTTTCAAGTAAAAGAAATAATCTAAAGTCAGACTCACCTACATTAATATAAAATAAAAGGAACAGAATATTGTAAAACCCGAATAGCTTCAGAGGAAAATTTCATGTTTGAGAAAGTGAAAAAAAAAAAGCATTTTAAAAGGGGGTTGGCAGCCATTAAGAGAATTGATTATATCACACTCAGTACACAACAAACTCCACCAGGGCTGAAGCTAAACTCCTTAACACGTTCTTGAAATCTTTATAAATCTTGAATTTTCTTTATTTCAAGAAAAATAAACTATCTACAGTCAGACACGTCTGCAGTAACATCCAACGAAAGCAACAGAAAATTGTAATACCAAAATAGCTTCAGAGGAAAATTTAAAATTTTAGAATGTGAGAAAAGGGCGTTAGAAATTAGAAAGGGGGTAGGCAGCTATTTAGAGAATTAAGTATATTGCACGCAGTACAGAGAACTATCTTTTCCTGGACTGAAGCTGAAACCCTTGCACACATTCTTGAAATCTTTATAAATCTTGAACTTTCTTTATTTAAAAGAAATCATCTAAAGTCAGACACATTTGCACTATCATAAAATGTGAAACCTAAATAAAATAGATTTTGGGGAAACATAAAAATTTTGAGTAAGTGAGAAAAATAATTTTGAAAGGGGGTAGGTAGCTGTTTTAAGAAATAAGTATATTGCACACGGTACACAGAACATCTTTCCCTGGACTAAGGCTATATCTATTGACAAGTTCTTGAAATCTTTATAAATCTTGAGCCAAGAAGAAATTATCTAAGGTCAGACTCATTTGCATTTTCATACATATAAGGAACACAAACTGTAAAACCAAACAACTTATTTGTTATTCATCAAGACAATGGCAAGCTAAAAATTCAATCTGAGAAAAAAATGCAAAATTGAGGCTGAAAAATTGGATCACATTAAAAACAAATAAACAAAAGTAACACAAAACTTACCCCCTTACGATCTGAGGGGCGTGGAGGCAATTCCTTCTTGGTGACAACGTGACCTTTGTTCAATCCAACAAACAGACCCGTACTAGGCTGTTTAGGAGCCATTGCCCTGTCCCAAAAACAAACACGCTTCAAAATTGTTCATGTTTTACTTAACAAGAAGTAGCTAAGCGGAACAACTAACGTTAAATCGTAGGTTTGTGTTATGCGAAAATGTGAGAAGAAGATCGAAAGTAAAGAGCTTTACCTCTCGTGCTGGTTGGTGGCTTCTGAAACCCTAACACCAGAGAGAAGGAACTAGGGTTCTTATCTAACTGCTGCGTCATTTATTACTGAAGCTCAACTCGGGTGGTGGATCGGTTAACATCTGGGCCCGGCCCATAAAAAATTAGCTCCTTAAAAACAAAAACACAACATCGGGCCAACCATGTGTTTTCTTACATGCCTTTTTGGTACACGATTCTATCATATATTTTTCAAGAAAATAAAAGAAAAGATCAGCATTGACCTTCCCTTCAAGGCCACAAAAGAACTAAAACTCAAAAGAGTTGGAATATGTTGAATGTTATTTTGCTAAATAAGAAGGCAAAATATGAAAAAAGGGTGGTGGAAATTAAGATGTAAGAAATTTGATCATTCGAACGTAAATGCTATGACCAAATGCGTCTTTGAATCACATTTATTTTTCATTCAGTGACTTCTTGTAACGTTTAACCGAACGCACATTTTTTATGCCTGCAATGTGATTCCAAACATAGAATCAAACAAAACAGTTTCAGTGGTTTAGCCAGAAGGAGTTTCATGGAATAAAACCATCGAATAATACAAATTTCCAGAAACGTTATATGATTTTAATTTTTTTTTTTGGGAGCAAAAATCAATTTCAATGGTCCCCAACAAGAAATCAATCAGACCTGTTAAAAAAAGGATTAACTCATATTTAGAGTTGCAAATTCACGTTTGTGTCACACCATCGTTTAACCAAACATGCTACTAAAGGTGAAAGAATGTTAGAAGTTAAAGTGACAAAATCACGTGTCATAGAAAAATATCCTAAATATCTAAGAAAAGTAATTTTATATTCCCTAAACAATTCTTTTATAAATTCTCTCTGTTAGCAAACACTAAAATAGCAAAAATTTGTACACTGCCCCAAATGTTAATAAAAAATTAAAAAGTGTATAATCTCAATTACATTTCTTGGGTGTTCAAAATATTTAATTAAAAAATCTATTTTTCCTATTCCTCACTTGCTTATAATATATCAAAATACTTCATACAAGTACATTTTGTTTTTGTTATTTTAACAACATAAACAAAACTAACTAATCAATCTAAGAAAACTTACTCCACAAGCATTTTTATTACAGAAAAGAAAAAAAACGCTTAAGAGAGAAGTAAACAAACTTTACAATCATCCATTCAAGAGGTGAGTACATCCTGTATTAAAAAAAAGTGCATATTGAATATCAGCAAGAAATAAGGCTTTCTCCATAGTCCAAGGCTCTAAGCCATGTTTCCATAAACTACATTATACACGCTAAACCATTAGTGAAGAAGGCAAGGTAAGAGATGGAGCTTATTTATCTGACAACATTTGGAAGAAAAAAAAATAAATTTAGGTGTTATTCTGCCAAGCGGCACACTACAGAAGCTCCGAACATGGCTATGCCATAGCCAAAGACAAACATGATAGCTTAACCACTCCAAAGCCCCAGAAATAAATGTCACTTGATCTGGAATCATCAACTAAATATTCTGACACCATTGCCTCTTAAATATTAAAATGAAAGGCGATAATTACAATGATTATGCCACACACTCCAGCATGTTATTTTCCCTACCCACCCAGCATTGCACTAATGGAAAACTCAAATCTAAGCCAAAACTAAACGGCCTTTGACTAGAAAGTGTAGAGTATAGAAACGCACCTTTATTTTCAAAATCATATATTTAATTGAATTATATACTATTTTCTAAGTTTACAACTCAGCACGGGATAAACCCAACTTTGTCCTCTATCATCATATATCTGAAGCTCCTCCGAGGTTGTTTTCCGACCATCAAAGACTATGGTGACACTGTCTGATTTTCTCTGCCTCCAACCAAAGTTTCCTTGTTTGGTGCTTAAACATTGGAATTTGGTACACAGTGTCTTTCCTTTTTATTTTTTCATTTTCTTCGTTTGTGCTTGCTCTTGAGTGTTCTTCTTATTTGTCCATTTCAAACTTAATATCAAACTGATTATTATTGGCTGAAGTTATCAACTTTGAGTCCTTCAGTTTCAGGGTTTCCTTGGAATGCATCTTGATTTCCTATTTTGATATTCATCAACTCCTTTTGGAAAATTTTGTCTGCTTGTTGAATTCTCCGCTTGCTACAATCCCTTATTACTTTTGTTTTGAATGGAATCAACAATTGTAGCAATTTTCAAGGAAGTTAAGTTGCTGTGTATTATCTGTAATTTCCAAGTGGATCACTTAATGTAGTTTGGTATTGATCATGGTTTAATATTTTATTACTGAATTATATACCTGCAGGTACCTACCCATTTGACCATTCATCCCATACTTTTTACTAAATTTTTTTTATACATTTGTCGCCCGAAGTTACAGTTTCTGATCGTGATCATTGTTGAATCCACAATTTCTATAATGTCAATATCATTTATATTGTACACAATATAAAGTACCCTTGTACCATTTTAGTTTGCACTTCAATTTTCACATTTGGAGCTCACATTTATTTCTGTATAAGCAAAGCATTACATTGAAGAATATGCCTAGGCTGTAGACACGATGTCAATCCTGTGTGGTGTGCCTCTTTTTGAGTGTGTGTACTGTCTGGCTTGTGCTCGTTGGGCATGGAAAAGATGTCTTTATACTGCAGGCCATGACAGTGAAACTTGGGGTCTTGCCACAGCAGAAGAATTTGAGCCTGTCCCTCGCCTTTGTCGCTATATTTTAGCCGTGTATGAAGATGATATTCGAAACCCTCTTTGGGCTCCTCCTGGTGGCTATGGAATTGACCCTGATTGGTTGGTACTCAAAAAGACTTATGAAGATACACAAGGGAGGGCCCCACCCTATATACTGTACCTTGATCATGATCAAGCTGATATAGTTCTTGCCATTAGAGGACTAAATTTGGCAAAAGAGAGTGACTATGCAGTTCTGTTGGACAATAGATTGGGGAAGAGGAAGTTTGATGGAGGGTATGTTCACAATGGGCTGTTGAAGGCTGCTGGATGGGTTTTGGATGTTGAATGTGAAATTTTGAGGGAATTGGTAGAGAAGTATCCAAACTATTCTCTTACTTTTGGTGGACATTCCCTTGGATCAGGTGTAGCAGCAATGTTGAGCATGGTAGTGGTGCAAAATCGAGAAAAACTTGGAAATATTGAGAGGAAGAGAGTTAGGTGTTATGCTATTGCGCCTGCTAGGTGTATGTCACTGAATTTGGCAGTCAGATATGCAGATGTCATCAACTCTGTTGTGCTTCAGGCAAGTTATCCGACTTATTTTTCTTAAATTGAATCCTTGAATCCTTTTGAATATTTTTACGTCCTGTAGAGCGAAATAAAGGTAGCATTTGTTGGTATGACTATAGAAGGTGTCTGCTTTAAATTGCCTTCGGTCAATATTTGTTTCTTGCATTGTGTGTATAGAGGACATGATTGGCAAAGTGGCCCTAAATTTTGAATGTTATGAATTTTTTTTTCCTTAATTGTTCCATCCTTATTCCACTAACCTTTGGGGTGAGAGAGGAGCATCATTGGGATATGATGTAAAATTTTAGCCAAGTAGCTGTTGATCAAGCTGCATTATTAACTTCTTCTCTCGTCATACTTCATTAATTCCTTGTCTTGATTCACGCTGAGTCTTGTACTATTAAGTTAACTTCCCTTTTCCTTGATCAGGATGACTTCTTACCAAGGACAGCCACTCCATTGGAAGATATATTCGAGTATCTTTTCTGGTATGTTGTAAGGACCTACATAAGAGTAGCTCCCTAGTTATCCTGCTTGTTATACAATTATGGACCGGTGTTCCAGTATGCTAAAATTTGTGCCGTTAACTTAGGATATGTTTGGAAGAGGGTTTTTGGAGGGGAAAGGAGAGGATATATTTTTTTAATTTTAAATTAATAGAATTAATATCATTTATGATGATAAATGCATGATTAATACATTAAGTTTATATTAATTTTTATTTTTTTGAAAAAAATTAATTTTAAATATATTTATTTATAATAAAAATGTCTTCCCTTACCCTCTCCTCCAAACCTCCCATTGACAAATATGAATTAGCAATGTCACTAAGCCTGTGATTAGTTGATGTCAACAATTAGTGGAAGTGATTGTCAACGATTTAATGTTTCCATGGTAAGATATTGTTTTCTTGTTGGCAGTTTGCCATGCTTATTGTGCTTGAGGTGCATGAAGGATACATGTATACCAGAGGAGAAGATGCTGAAAGATCCAAGGAGACTCTATGCTCCAGGTCGCCTTTATCACATTGTTGAGAGAAAGCCTTTCAGGTATGGTTAAAGATTCCAAGAAGAGCTTATTAAGCAAAATTGTAACTGTACTTTTGGAAATCACCTGCACTATAAACACACACTGTGTAAGTTTTAATTGTCTGGCACATGTTTAGCATCTTGTTTCCTCCATTGGGATAATATATTAATATGATAAAACTGAAAAAGATGTATAAATAACTTTTTCTTTTGCCTTCAAGTTAACAAATTTTCTATTCAGAATGGGAAGGTTTCCTCCCGTTGTGAGGACAGCAGTGCCAGTAGATGGAAGGTTTGAGCATATAGTCCTTTCTTGTAATGCGACGTCTGATCATGCCATTATTTGGATAGAGAAAGAAGCCCAAAGGGCTTTGGATGTAAGTCTGTTAGCCAAGTAACTTTTTATTTTGTTTGCTGGGGTCTCTTTTTCTCTGTTTATGTTTACTAAAGCTAATTATGGCACATCCCTTCTTGTCTCCTTGGAGTGAGGTAAATGTACGTCATTTGTAAGTGCTCTTTGGGTCCAACAGCTTTTCCTGACTTGGAATTAGAAACCATCCCCTCCCCCTAAAAGTTTTGTGACAAAAAATGAAAACTAGGATCCTGGATACAACTACTAACTCATCTTTCTTCCCATTAACCAATTGACTGTAGATTTGAGATAGCTTAGACTCACGTTTGACAACAATTGTTATACATATCTAGCAAGAGTTAAAAAATAGATTTTTGACATTTTACTCCTCAAGTATGCATATAAATTTGCAATTTTTGTCTCCTATTTAAACTTAAGCTTCTTGTTGGCATATGCAAGTAGCAAGGTTCTGTTAAGGAGAATGACCAAGTCCATCTCAATCATAACTTCTATCCTACAAAATAGGCATTAACTGATTAGATAAGGAATTAGTTTTATCATTCGAATTCAAATATCTTCTGTGAATATCATTATATAATTCTTGCGCACTGAAAATGACACAATAAACATATTCAGAAAACATAATGAACACAACCTTTTCCATTTTGTTTCTGCCAAATGCAGTTGATGAAGGAGAAAGATAATACCATGGAAATACCTGCAAAGCAAATCATGGTGCGGCAAGAAACATTAGCTAGACAGAGTCAAGAATACAAAGAAGCATTACAAATGGCTAAAACATTAGATGTTCCACATGCTTATACGTACCAATATGGAACCTTTGATGAAGAGGGAGAGGAGAGTTCAAAAAGATCACAGGCTGAGTCTTCTTTTAGTTCAACTAATAGAAGTACAGTGGATGAAAGCTGGGATGAAGTGATTGAGCGTCTTTTTGATAAGGATGAGCATGGTCACATTGTGCTCAAGAAATAATAATGATCGTGTAATTTACAGGAATAATTTATATATTATTGTGGTGAACAATTAAATTCGTTCATTCTTTATGTGATTTTTGTGTGTGTGTAGCTGTAGCTCAAAGGGTGTGTTTAGAAATACGTCTGTAAATATGATTCAATGCAAAAGTTACAACTCGAGTTAAAATAATTGTAAATTCATAATAATTTAAATGTAAAATCAAACACCCTCGAAATTGATTTCAATTATGTTCAAAGTTTTCAAAACTAATTTTCATCACAGGAAAAAATATTCACATCTGTTCAAGCTACAAAATTTTGGTCTTTTTATTTAATCGTGCACGTAACGCAAAACCAAACAGGCCCTTGGAATTGTTTGGAATCACGTTCTTCACTTAGCTTCGTATATGTAAAGATACTCTCAATCAATGCGTCTATCATGAAGTGTATCACAGTAACACCGCAAATCTGCAATGAACGGTAAATCGAGGTATCATTTCTTTTTTTTTTGTCGTTCCATGAACTGAATGAGGAACAGAGACTACTCTTTTTGGGCAAGCTATTGTGGCCAAGACTTTACCAAGTAAAAGAAAGTACTTTTGTTTGACCAAAAAGAAAAAGAAAGAAAGTACTTTATGCATTGTTGTTTTCAGCATGCTTGGATGAGATTTTAAAAATAAAAACAATAAAATAAAGCGGTATAATTTGTTGGTCTTTGATTGTATATCCTCACATGTCAAGTTGTGACTTGTGAGATGAACCTTGGAGTTAAAGGCGTTAATTTGAACATTGCAAGTAAATATCACTTTAATCATCACCTAGATTAAAGTCTACTTCAATTGTGACTAACCACTAATCAGTATTAACACACACATTTGAATCTCAGAGTTGTTTGGTTGTTGAAAAATTACATACAAAAAAATTGCAAAGCACTTGTATGCAAATAGAGACGCTGGATCTGTTTCGTATATCCGCCTAAGAAACTGTCTTGAAGAAGTAATCTTTAGTTGAGCACCACAAAGTTAAGCATTCCACTTTATCCCATAGGGGATGCCATTGCAAGGAGCTGTCTTAAAAAATTAGCATTCCACTCCAACTACAGGCACCAAATAACAGCCAAAAATACATAGCACACTGCATACAAGCAAAGGGCCTTGGAGCTTTGCCCTTCCATATATTATTCAACTCCATCGTTGGATTTTAAGTATACCATACTCTATTCCATGCAATAATACAATTACAGTAATAGGCTCTTAAATATAAAGTAAAAAAAAAAAAATTCACAAAAATGTAAACCAGTTATATTCATACACCTTCTCAATACTTTCAACTTTTTTTTATTTATCTCTTTTTACCTATCACATCATATCATCTATTTACATATTTACCGACATCTATATCAAATCAACGCTGCACATATCTTGCAACCATAGGGAACATCATAATTTTTATTCGTATGAAGAACAAAACAATACATATTAAACAAGTTGGAAAGTTTAATGGGACCAAAGTGATCAGCAGTGTTGCTTCTCATCCCAAACAATCACTGCATCAATAAAAGCTCATGAAACTAGTAGTTGTGCAAAGCCACAACTTGAGAATTGAGAACACGGTATTTTCTGTGTTGAAATGAAAAACCCATAATGACAACTCAAAATGAATATAATTTAACATCAAACTTCTGTGTTGAAATGTGGAGCAGAATGAAGAGAGGGGCTTGGTTTCTTCAGTGAGCATGATGATTTAAAAGCCTCAATCTGTGACTGACATTTGACATAGTCCCCTTTGTTCTCTTCCAAACACTTTTTCAAAGCCTCAACATCGCATGGTGAAGTTATTTTCTTCACAATGCCACTATTCTCTGCTTTATGATCCATAACCCAAAGTCCAATTAAGAATAAAATAAAGGCTCTGCATTTCAGATCAAATAGCAATTGGTTCAATCAAAACAATCACTAAATTTTGGAACTAAAATAATAGAATAAAGCATTGAGAAACGCAAATTTAAAAGGTGCCAACGCTGTGTCCCTTTAATTTCTTGAAAATAGAAAATTAGTAGAAAGGAGGAAGGAAAATATCGTACCGTAATGAAACGCAGCACGATGGCGTTGATATATTCGGATTGTGTGATTTAGTGCAACGAATTGCGGTATTTGACTATGTATGTGTCAAAAACAGAAAGAATTTGGAAATGAAAGCAAAGTGGAACCTTGTATTCTGCAAACCCTAACACTCATAAGGAAGTAGAAGAAGAGGCTTATGTGTTTTTTCATTTATTAAAGGCTGAGAGAACATCATATTTATTGTTTGGAATTTGGGTGGAATTATTAAAAAAAAATAGCAACATTTTTTTAAATACTATTAATTTATTAATTAAATTCTACTAATATGGATCTCATTTTTTTTTTCATTCTTAATTTATTTCTAATTTTTAATTAATTATTAAAAGTGTATTAAAAAAATAGTGCATGAGAAAGCTATCATTCCTCGTTAATGTAATATTTGTAACAGGCAAATTCGATTTTTAACCAGCAAAGAATATAATATTTGTACATGATCATTTTTCGTTAAACCCACATTTAATGTTTTTTTTACTAAAAAAATCCAAACAAGCTACAATAGCAATTGCCCCTTTAATTTTAAAATGTTATATGTTAAAAGTTAAAACGTGTTACCAAATCAATTTTAACAATAAATTTTATACTAAGAGATTTACATGGTGTGAAAATTAAGTTTTAATGTAAACAAAGAAATCCTAATTAAGTGCATTTTTGGACATCGATTTTGTTTTAGGAAAATAATAGTTTAGCGGCGGCTAATTAATACAATAAACACTAAACATTAAATAAATAGTTAATTTCATTGTTGGGGTGTGCATGATATCCAAATTCCAAAGAACTTGGAACAAAAACATACCCCATTTTTAGAAAAACAACAGGTGAATAAATTAGTACACATGAAAATGAAGTTTGAGATGAATGAACTCACTGTCATGGAAAATTATGTTGTATTATATATACATTTCAGTGAATTAAGGGTTGCATTTCTGGTAGCATTCTTTTGGCATTTCCAACTCTAGTGTTTGCAATATTGGCAGAGCTAAGTTTAAAAACTTGCCATGGCCAACATATGCGTGTGACTTTATGGCTATTGCGTTCACGTTTCTCTGATTCCTCAAGTTGTTTGGTTAGTTCCTCAACACGCTGACGAAGTTGAATTGCTCTACTATCAGCCAGCTCCAAAGAACTCTCTGCTGCTTCTTGTGCACCTATTGCTCTCATTGCAAGTTCCTCTTTCAGCCTTAATTTTCCATTCGATATGTCCAAAGCACCCTTCGTTCTCTGTAGTTCTTGTTTCAAAGCACCCACCTCATGGAACCATCATTCACACATTATCAACACACAAAAGATAGAGTAATTTCAAACCAATTTTGCAGCTAGGTAAAGAAAGATTATTCATTAGTTAGGATATATAATCATATTAAGGTCTAGCTTGAATGATTTTTTTAACAAATATCTATAGGAGAAAAAAAAAATCTATTTGATTTTAAATAACGTTTTTGTTTTTTTTTATAATTATAAAATTATCATCTTGTTTTTTATCTCTTTTTTTTCAATAAGATTTGCATAGGAGACACCATTTTTTTTTACTGTCTTATGTATAAATCTTTAAAAGTAACAAATAAAATGAAAAGCAAGGTGACCAATATGTAATTGTGATGAAAAAAATATATATTTTTAAGACTAAACAGTCTCTAAACTTTTTTCTGAGTTATAAAATTAACTCTTTTTTTTAGAAATTCTTCCATCTAGCTTCTCTTAAAGTTAAAATATATAAATTAGTTTTAATTTACAAAAAAAGTTTAATTTTTTTAATTTTATTTTTTATAAGTATTAGAATTTTATTCAAATTGACTTCAAGTATCAAATTTCTTAAATGGTAATGTATGTTGGGAAGGGATGAAGAAAATCTTTACCACTTTGTTACGCTCTTCAATCTCTTTCTTTCCAGCTTCAACTTCCAATTCACAAGCCTCTTTCCATCTAGCAACTTCATCTTCTGCATCTTTGATTTCCATCAAAAATTCCTCCACCTTTTGGCAATCAAACAAAAAGGAAAAAACTAATAAGAAAGAGAGCTTTTATTAGGGAATGATTATTTCCTTTGTTGATCAAACAGGTAAGTACATTTTGTGCCAAGATTCTCTCTCTATCTTCTAACTCCTTAATGTAGAGTTTATTTTCTACAATTTCTTTGGCTTGTTTCTCTGTGAGACACTGGAGGCGCTCTGTGTCTGACCTGGCATGAAGTTCATAATAAATAATCCAAAAACAAGCAAGATGAACACAACATATTTATGAACCTTAGCAGCAAGATAAAATTAGAAATTACTCATTTTTTATTTGGCACTATCAAAGAAAAATCTAAAGCATTTGTGAACTAAAGTGGCTTTGCATAAACAGTAAAAACTCTATTTTCACTCTCTTTCTTGCAAATCACGCTGTATATATACCATGCCACTATGACTGACAAGAATGTATGAATTCAATATAATTAGATAGTAAAGTACCTAGATTCTTCCAAAGATCTTCTCAATTGAGTGATTTCAAGACGTAGATTCTTCATTATCCTTTCCACTGTTGAGGCCTTGGAAAATTACCATAAATTTCAGAATAAACTACAACAGTCATCTATTAGAACTTAGAAGTGTCACCCTTTCATTTTTATGCAACACATAGATGCGGGAAACATAACTAAATGTGATGATGATACAATAGGTGGGCACCGTGAGATAGAAAAAAGGTGGTGGCCAGAAAACTTAACATGGTCCTAACAATTTCACAGTAAGTTTGTAATAATAGGGTGTCTAGATTTTTCAAATGACATTCATGCTTTGCTTTATCTAGCAACAATATTTCTACCAATTTTCATGCTATCAAGCAGTATAAATATTATTTAAGTAATGTTATCATTCCTTTTTGTTTGTGTCTTTTATTTATTTATTTATTCATTCTCCCCTTCTGTTAGATGTCAACTGTACGATAAAAGAACACTTTTTTTTAATGAAAGTTGAGTCAAGTTTGCCCCAGCAAGATGGAATTGAAGATAATATGAGCTTACCAGACTAACAACTTCCTCTTCACACTCACTGCCATCTGATGATTTAGCAGCAGTGCTAGCCCCAGAACTCTCTGTGGAATGCTCATTATTACCACCCCCCATCATGAACCCAAACCCAACTTTCTGCAATCCAAACTCAGCAATTTGCAAAAGGGGTATCCTTTTATGATCATGTCCCTTTATTCTCTTCTCCAATGCTTCTTTTTCCAACAAAGCAATCCTTAGCAAGTTATTAATATCCCTATTCTCATCAGTTAAACTGATCAAGCTATTCTCCAACTCTCTCTTCTCATTCTTCCTCAACTCCTTATACTTATCAACCCTTGTTTCCACCTCAATTGCAAGCCTTGAGATCAACCTTGCCTCATCCAATAACACCCTTGATCCCTCACCATCACCATCATCTTTAACAGAAGTTTCCTCCTTTTCTCCCTCTAACCCTTCTATTACTCTAGATAAACAATTTTTGGTTGAAGTGAGAGATTCCAAAGCCTTAAACGCCAACCTATTTGTCTCTTCTCTCTCACTCTCCAGTCTCTCTACTCTTCCTTTAAAATCTCCCTCTTCCACTTCTTTTCCCACCAATCCATCTTCCTTTTCTTTCAAAAAGCAAGGAACTTTCTCGGAATGAAGAAAATGGTAAGAGAGTTGAAGAGGGTTGTTGAGTTTGGGTTGATCATGAGAGAGTTGTTGCTCCATGTTGCATATGATTGATATAATAATGGGTGCTTAGGGATGTAGACGAAGAGAGAAGCAGAACAAAGTTAGAGGAGGTGGAAAAAGAAGAGTTTCAAAAGTCAAAACTAACGGTCAACGGAGGGGAAGGTTGGAAAAAGGAGTTGAAGGGGGTTTCAAGTTTTGGCGGGACTGCTTTTCAGACTCTGTTTAGTTAGTTGGAACTAACAGCCAACACAGCACAACCTTGTCCTTGACATTTACATTGTATTGTACGTGTCTGATGGAATTAAATTATTTTATCATAGTTTAATGACTACAAAAATATAATAAATTAGTTTCTATTTTTATATATTTTAACTTTTAAAATATATATTACATTAATTTTGATATATATAACTAAAATATAAAAATTTAAAATTAATACACTTTTTAATATGATTTATTTGATAAGAGCTTTTAGTTTTAGGATAAAATGTTTACAAACAAGTATAAGTTGTTGATTATTATAAGAATACTTGATTTGGTATAAGAAATTATTAAAAAATCCTGATTATTATGAAAATTAAGAATATTAAATTTTATTTAAATTGTCAAAAATAAAAACACTAAATATACATAATTTTTAAAGTAATTATGTAATCATTAATTGATTTTCAATCTTAGATTCATATTTATAATTTTCATATTTTAAAATGATAATTTCTTAGGTTATATTTCCTCATAAATACATATGTGTGTATGTGTAAACTAAATTATTTTTAAACAAGTCAATAAACCAATTTGATGATAAATTAATGTTTAAATTAAGAGAAATGCTAGAAGTAGTAGCTTATTCTTTTGAATTGTATATTAAAATACTAAAGTCAATTCCAACTAAAAAAACAAATGTTTATTTAAAAAATATTTTAACAAAACTATAGTATATAATTTGATATGCAAAATAACCCTTGTTGAGTCAGTCCAAAATATTATTATGCTCCAAATATATTAATATCGTTTGCACTTTCATGGAGTTATTTGAACTTAATCCATTATACCAGATTCATTCACATTAAATGCAACATCTATGGAATTCATCCTTTTTTCTGTTTGCTTTTGAGGTATAGACATTTTCTTCATTGCTTGCCCTTAAGTATAAAAGCAAGATAGATTCTTTCTTGTCTTTAAGTTATACAAATCAAGGGGTTGCTTATGAGGGGTTTACCGTTTATAATTAATTTTAAACATTCGTCTTTATCTCTCTAATAGAATTATATTCTTAAAATTAAAATAATAATTGAAATATCATTGTTACAGTAGTTGCAATATATTTGCAAACCAATAATTTACAGGAAGATTCATAGCAGAGCTTCATATAGAAACATGTTTTCTTATAGTTTTTCTCAATTGTTGTGTTCATTGACGTTTATAATGTCATCTATATTTAGAATTAATATTCCGTAGCTTGTTCGAGATGAAAGAGTACATATATTGTATGGAACCTTATAGTTCTTTTTTATTACAAGTTGCCTTTGGACGTTACTTTCATCATTGTCCTGTCAATATTTGTTTAATATTAGTGTTAGTACATTGATTTGTAAAGTTGGCACACCTATACTGTATCTGTACTATGTAATAATAAAATTTTGAATAAATATCCAGATTTACCCTTAAGATTTTTTGTTATACTTAATTGAGTCTATGAAAACAATAAAGTATATGAAATAGCTCTTGAAATAAATTTGAGACATTTTAGTCTTTTAGTTAAAAGATAAAAAAATATTTTATTTGATATTAACTATTAATTTTATATCAGTTATCTAATAGGCCATCCGAGTAATTTTGTTAAATTCAATGAGAGTATTTTTAGCATAAGAGATTTTCAAAATTCATTTAATGAGTTTTATTTTTTCTTAATCACTTAATTTCTTCCAGAAATCATTTTATTTTAAATATGTATTCTAAAATTTTAGCATATATTTATGAGGTTGATATACTTGTTCACAGGCAATCTTTTTTTTTAAGACAAATTTTTCTTAAAGATTGATGAATAAGAACATGTTTGATTACTATTTTAAAAACATTTTTCTGTTTTTTAAAATAAATTCTAGTATAAATTTGTATTAAAATATGAAAATAAATTGTAAACATCTTTTTGGTAAAAGGAGAGGTAAAACAAATTGTAAAATTCTTTATTTTATACCTCTTGCCTCACATGAAAATAAAATAAAAACCTTTTTAAAATTTGTGCTAAATATTTATACATTTATTTATAACTTTGTATTATTTATAAAAATATATTTATTTATATAATATTTTTCAATCACTTTTTTCATATTAGAGTAATATTTATAAAATTATGTTTTTAAACCCAATCAAAATGATTTTTCTTAAACGTGTTTCTTATTTTTTTTTAAATTCACAGACAAACGAATATTGAGACATTTTTCATCTTATATTCAATACTAAAAAAAAAGTTAATATATCATATTATATGTACTTAATTATTATATGTCATTGTTATAAAAAATATATAATACAAGACAATTTATTGAAGGTCAAATCTCACTTATATATCTATATTTTAATATAGTAAGTTGATTGATTTTATTATTTTGTAAACTTTATCATTGATTAGTTATATTTATTTACTTAATTTATAAGTTTTCAACTAAATAATTTTATTTTATTTTTAAATAAAAGAACAAAGGAAAGTTTGAAACTAAAATAAAAAAATATGTAAATAAACAGGTTAAAATACAATAATATATTTATATATTTTTTTTATCAAGACTGTTCGATTAATCAGTGTCCATGTTTTTCAAATTTATTCAAATTCAGCATTAAATTGTCTGTTTCATTCAGTTATTTTTTTTATTATTTTGCTTTAATTCAATGTAATTTGTTTTTGTTTAATCAACTAGTAAATATTGTATGCATTATACGAGCACATATTGTTATACCATTAACTCACCAGAAAAAAAGTCGTTATCCTCATAAAAGAATGTTGTTATATTATTAATTGATTATTATTTTTTATTTATAAATTAGCACTGCAACAAATGTGGGAGAACAAGTTGGAATTGATTCTCAATTAATTAAGAATCATTAGCTGTAGCCAAGATTCAATATAATCCGCAATAATTATTAACAAAATAATCAAGAATTATTTTGCAATAATTATCATTTTCTATAAATCAAGAATTTTTATGACACTGTTTATTCTCATCTTTCTTCATTATACTAATAATTTTATGACACATTTTTCTCCCTCCTCTAATCTCTTTTCACGATTATAAAAATAATTTTGTTCATTTTTAATGTAAAAAAAATAAACTCCCTCTGTTTTTTCATTTTTTTTTCTGTATGGTGATTAATCCGTATTCAAGATAATATGCGTATCCAAAGTCCTTCTTCTCCTCAAGCTTCACGGTTCACCAACGCACTATCCACATGGACCCACCATAGAAGAAAAGCACTTTTTTAAACGCTGATTTCATCGAAAATCAACTTCAATTGCGTCTCCTTCACTTCAAATCCTACACTCTTCACTCCCTGTTGACTGTTATGGTGCGTCGTGTTTTCTATCTCGTTAACTTGTTCATCCTCCAATTCCTTATTCGCTGAGTCTTCCCAACTTGGAACGATTCCACCAAACGCGGTTTCTGCACCGATTCCCTGCAAGTCGATTGTTTTTGGATCCGATGGGTAGCATCGAAGACGAGGTTGCAATTTCAGGAGAGGGAGTGAAAGACACAGACACAGTGTATGTGGCGGTGGGAAAGAACGTGGAGAAGAGCCAACAATTGTTGCATTGGGCTGCTAAGAATTTTTCACACAAAAAAATTTGCCTTCTTCATGTTCACCGACCCAATTCCTTCAGTAAGTTCTTTTTCAATTTTGGATTTTTTTAAAATAAATGTAAAACTTTTTTTATTGGTCTGGTGGACTGTGGTTGTTTTCTCATCATCAATCGTTTGACAAAGGTGTCAAATTTTAGTGGAAAATTGGTGCTTGTTGGGTTTGAATAGTGCTAATTTGGGATCTTGTTTTTGGGTTGGATAACGTGTGTCTGTTGATTCTTCTCTCTTTTTTTAATCACTTAGAAAAAAAAATCTTGAGAACCCTTGTTGAAGAAGAAAGGATGATTGATAATACTGAATTGAAATCTTGGATTGGAGGGTGGAGCTGAGAAAGCAAATGATGGATTGTGTCGTTTTGCATTTATGGCTAGTAATTGATGAAGCTGTTTAGGTGATTCACTGATTGGAGTGGTGTTTGACTTGTGATAAGCATGTTGAAGAACATGGATAAGAGTGTAAATGAGTCATCTTGAGCACTTGAAGCTCGAGTTTGACTTGGGAAAAAAAGAAGATGAAGCTTAAGCTTGTCTCATTGATTCAAACAGGCTAAATATAATGCTTGGGATTGGCTTGTTTAAAAATATTAAGTTTGATCTCTTGTTTAACTTATTTCTAGTTGAATTATTATTTTTTACCTTTATTGAACCTCTTCATGAAGAATTTTTAAGTTGATTAATTTACTATTTAGTAGATTTTTAAGATGAAGTAAACATGGGAAGAGAAAGAGAGTGAAAGAATATGTTAAAACCCAAGTAATTAGAATTTATTAAAGGATAAAATATGTAAATTGTTATTATTCATAACCTTTTTCTTATCTAAAATTGTCATTTTTTGTGTTGCACATTCACTCACGCACTCCATGAGTTTCATGAGCCCTTTATGTTAAACTTATAAAACACGAGAATGACTCATTTATATTATTAAAATACAGCTTATAGCCAAGCTTGAGCTTGCCCGTTTAGTAAAAAAAAAAAAAAAGAAAGTTCACAAATAGCTCAAGTCATTTGCTCCACTAGAACAGGCCCTCTTTGATGAAAATATCAGCAAAGGACATGCTTATGAAAAATAATGGCTGTTTTGCTGTAATTGCTTAAGGATTGAGGAGGCATTGTAAAAGAAACTAAATACATGTCTTAGGTCAGATACTCATTATTTGTCTTCTTTCATCATATATGCTAATATTATGTTTTAGTGAAGCACAGTTCTGTGTCTGAAAATCAAAGAATGAGAAAAATAGAGAAAAAAGAAGAAGAAAAAACTATGTCGTCTACTTTGGTTCTGGCTTTTATTTCTGGTTCTGATGCAACTGCTTTAGTAAATACTAAGCTTGTTCCGGCTATCTTTGTCCTGGGTAGGGTAGGTCTTATCTGATTGTGTGGTAACATTTAACAAACTATCAACATTTTTTTTTCCATTTTTTTTCTATGGGCAGCGGACAGAATTCTTTCTGGGTCTGAAGACTCTGAACCCAAAGACCATGCAATCAAGGCATTCCAGGAGCATGGAAGACAAACAGTGCATGAACTTCTAGACCAATACATTCTCACTCTGGTTCCAGGAGGGGTATTATCTTTTTCTTATTTCCACTGAAAAATTATTGGCGCTGATATGTAGTGTAACTGTATTTATTTTATTAAAGAAATCCAATTTAAGCGTGCATTTTGTTCCTCTATCATTTTTAAAATGTGCAACATAATCCTTAAACTTCTTTAAGTGTGTGTGTTAGACTTTTAGCCATTCCATAATTTCCATCTAACATCAACAGAAATTGTCACACTCAAACTATGTGACCATTTTTCAAATTGGAAAGTTCAATTTACCTTCTCTTACTTATGTTCAACTCCACTTTGGTCCTTAAAAAATATAATAGTTTCTTTTAATGTGTGGGGATCATGGTGCATGTTTTTAAAGATTGAGAATCAAAGTTTACGTACATGACACTAAGAAGGGAAAATTGAACTTTTCCCTTTATTCTAATGGCAAGTAGATAGCACGATAAAGTTGTTACTACTTTCTCTAAAGCTTTTTGTGTGCTTTTAATTTTAAACAGTTGCAAGTAATGGTTATGGAAGATGCTTGTAATGCTAGTAACCATTTCTTGAAGAAGTCTAGACTTTTTTTTACATTATAGCATATGTGTATAGGTAACAGCCTATAAATTGTTGATTGAGATGGATGATATTGAGAAAGGGATCTCAAAAGCTATTGCTCAACACAACATTAGATGGCTTGTAATGGGAGCAGCAGCAGACAGATATAACTTAGGGTACCAATCCAAAGCTCAGTATCTTTTTATTTTAGTGCTCTGATTACTTTCCATTTTCCTTATCCTCTTGAAATTATGGTAAACTTGTGCTGTGAAACTGGGGCTACTTAAAGAAAAGAGAGTATAACTGACTGGTCTAGACGATCTCTGTCTCAACTTTTTTTGCGATAGGATTGTGTTTATGGCTTCCCTTTTCATGTTTTCATTTTTCAAATAAGGCTCTATCTTAATCCCCCTCCCAAAATATTACATTGATGTTCATGTTGTGTTCTGGTTTTGAAAAAACAATTATCACTAGAAATTTCCACTTGGCCTGAAGATATTGACAAGGACCTGAACTAGCTTTATGTTTAACCAAGTTTATAATACCATGCAAAAAAAAAAAAAAAGAAGCACAGAGTTGGATATTCAAATAAAAATTGATATTCTTGTCTGGTTAAATGAAAAATTACTTCATGAGTTTTCTTTCAAGTGTGACTGAGTTGTGTCAGTTGCATCTTTAATCATTACTGAGTCTGAACTATATGGTTCAAATTGCAGTAAACTGGCTAAGCAAGAGTCAGAGAAAGCTATTCTTGTGCGTGAACAAGCATTGCTGTCGTGTAATATTTGGTTCATTTGCAAGGGCAACCTCATATGTACTAGGTAAAAATTAAATGAAAATGACATTTGCAGTGAAATGACGTGATTGTAATGTCTGATCTGATGTGGACTGAATGGGTGTCGTTGTCAGTATCTGCAGAGCAGTTTATGATACAGAAGGATGTGTTGTTAAGAAACAGCTTTATTCAATCTTGTTTGTCTGCAAATTTTTTTATGCCTGAATGGTTTTATAATTAGAAAATAAATAATAATAGGTAAGGAAAAAAACACATTACAGGTAAGGAATTAGTGCAATAAAATGGGGAGAATTTGCTAAGATGGTTTGGACAAGACAAAGTGAATTCGTGCTGGAAAAGAACAAATGGGACCAAAACTCCAGCTGATTATATTGTTTCAGTTTTGATGCTCTATAGCAAGTTTTGATCTTTCCATATAGCTTTTTTACCATATTATGTAATGTTGGTAATAACTCTTTCAGTTGATAACAAGTACTGTCTCTCCACTTTTGTGAAATGTGCAAAATAAAACAGGGTATATAGTAAACATACTTCAGACATAGAGACCGCCCCTGCATTTTTGGTGCTCACTTCAAATACAGAAGCCAAACAATCAGACAAGGTTAAGTCAGAATCAATTCCTGATGCTTTGAAATACTTAGGTATTCTTGCTATATATTTCTTTTCTTCTATTTGTTTGTTCAGTTGTTCATCATTAATTTTAAAATGGCATAGGTATTTTTCAGCTCAAGTCTCATTTATCATTTTCTATAAGGATTGTTAGGGGAATAACTTTCGACAGGTTCGTGCAGATTCTGATGATATGGAGGAGGTCAAAAGTGTCAGTTCCTATCATTCATTAAATTCAAAATGGTCTTTTAATAGTGTCAAGGACAGGTCAAAGTTGGCAGATTTTCTGTTTCATGAGGTGAGAGGTGATTGTTCTCCTTCAAACATCATATAGAAGTTTCTTCTGTTGTCATGCTTCCCTTTACATTTTCTGGTGTGCTATTACTGTTTTATGGTAGGACTGTAGGAACTTTTTGTTCATGAATCTGCGCTTGAAAAGTTAAGTTATGATTTCTTGTAGAAGATCAGAGAGTATATTGAAAGGATTTTGGATATTGTTCTCAGTCTAGAAAAATATATTCATTTTTATCTCTAGTCTGGCATCTTCTTTCCATTTTAAACCAATTGGTAAATTTAAAATTGTTCATGATTTTGCAGGAGGAAAAAGAAGAGAGGGAACAAGAAAGTAAAGTCAATGGTAGACTGGAAAGAACTATTGTAGATGCTAAGAGCATGAAACGAAAAGGATATGAAGAGGCATTAAAGAGATGGAAAGTAGGAAACAGCACTATGGAGGTTGATATCAAGCAAATTATGTCTTTACTTAGATAAATAAAAAATAAATAAAAGATAGTTTATTTCTTCTAATGGTGTCTCAGGTTGGTTTCTTAAATTTCATTCCTTGGTTGCTATTTGGGGTATAATATTTTAAAATAAGAAAATAGTATGTTTCATCTGACTACTTTGTAGTTAACCTGGCTCAAAGATCATGGTTTGTCAGTTTGAAGAAGGCTGGATGTAGTTTAGACTTTTTAGTTCTTCAATATAGAAAGATATTTTGGACAAACATTTTCCTCTCAAATTGGGTCAGATGATCAGACACAATGCCTTCATCACCTGCATCCTTCTCACCATTACATTATGTAAATGATACTATGGGTTAAAACAAAAGCCAAATTATCAGATATAAAGAATCAACATTTTGATGTGTCAAATGCCTTTGCTTGTCCTTGTCCATATAGACAAGCATGCTTGCATATATGTATAACATGATTCTGTTCTTCTCCTGAAACTTGCTTCAACTTGGATTTTTACAGGATGAAACATTAGAAGGCCAGTGCGCTAAGGAGATAAGCAGAAGAAAAGAAGTTGAAGAACAATTGGCGATGGAAAACAAAGAAGTACAGGAAATGAAGAATCAGCGAAATGAAATCATGGATGAATTGCATATGGTCCAAGACCAAAATTCAGCACTTAAGAACCAAATTTCTGAGTCCCAGCATACGGTAACAGAGTTGGAGGAAAAAATCATATCAGCTGTGGATCTCTTGATAAGTTTCCGGGAAAAACGAGATAAGCTTCGGATAGAGCATGCAAATGCAGTTAGGGAAGTCAAAATGCTGAGAAAATTTGGGAAAACACATACTGCCTTCTCTTATAGGGTAGAATTCCCTGCATATTCTTTCATGGAAATCAATGAAGCAACCCATGATTTTGATCCATCTTGGAAGATTGGAGAGGGAAGGTATGGAAGTGTTTACAAGGGACTGCTTCGCAACATGCATGTTGCAATTAAAATGTTACCCTCTTATGGTTGTCAGAGCCAATTGGACTTCCAACATCAGGTACTCTTATACTGTCTATTAAATAGTGTCTATTTGATAGTCTGAATATTAGAGTATCAGTAATGCAGTAATGCTCATTAAAAAACTAAAATGGTTTGTTATAGTTTTTACTTGATTAATATTTATCATTTTTACTCTTTCCAAAGGATTTCTGTGTCATGTTATAATATGATGGGAACACTTCATAACCGTATTCTACCCGACTCATTTTCTAAAGATGTTTGGGTAATTTGATGTATTTTTGAGAGAAAGGAATTATCAGCATGGTCGATTTTTTTAATAAACTTTAAGTCTTCAGAGTTCTATTCTCTTTTAACTTTATAGCTTGTTCTAATTGGTTCCTCTTATCCAATTAAAAAATATATTAAAAATTCCAAGCTTATGATCTTCAAGTATCTATGGGATTAAATTATATTGAGTGATTGGTCCAAAAACTTGATTGAATGTATCTGTTGTAGATTCTGCTAATGCGAGGAACTCAAAATTTTTTTTGCACTGGCTATATTGTTGATTGAATTTCAGGTAGAGGTTTTGAGTAGGGTAAGGCATCCAAACCTGTTAACACTAATTGGAAGCTGTGCAGAGTCTAGGTCACTTGTGTATGAGTACCTAAACAATGGAAGCCTTGAAAGCCACCTTGCCCGCAAAGACAAGAATCCTCTTCCATGGCAAATTCGAATATCCATTGCTACTGACATATGCTCTGCTCTAATCTTCCTTCACTCCAGTGAGCCTTGTATTATCCATGGGAATTTGAAACCTAGTAAGATTCTCCTTGATGCTAATTTTGTTGCCAAACTCGGAGACTTGGGCGTTCCTTCTTTAGTCCAGCAAGGTGTGGATTCAGTTGACACAAGCACAGTATGTAATAACTTGAATGAAAGTCTGGCGTATGTGGATCCAGAGTATCTTGTCTCTGGCAAGTTTACACCAGAATCAGATGTATATTCCTTTGGAATCATATTGTTACAACTTCTAACTGGAAGACCACTTTCGGGGTTAATTAGAGATATGAAATGTGCATTGGAAAAGGAAAACCTTAAAGCAATATTGGACATTTCAGCTGGTGAATGGCCACTTTTTCAAACCAAACAGCTGGCATATTTAGCATTGAGGTGTTGTGGAAAGACTTGGTTGAACCGGCCAGACCTTGTGTCAGAAATCTGGAGTGTTCTTGAACCATTCAAAGCTACTTGCATCAACATGTCACCATGTTTGACTTCAAAGAAGCTTCAACGTGCTCCTTCCCATTTTGTCTGCCCCATTCTCCAGGTGAAGATCATAAATTGTTCCAAATGCATTTTTCTAAAAAAGAGAAAAATAGTTTATAGATTAAGGAAACTGCCAGATAACCAGGGCTTCTTCTTCTGGTCTAAACTTTTGACAGAACAGGTTAGCATACTTATTAACGATTGGATAGATTAGTGATCCTTACAACTGTAACTTAGCCAATAATCACTCTCAAATCTGTTTGAATTCTGAAAAAATGATTCTGCATGTTTTAGTTGTGTGGCACTATTATTTTATATAAGCAATTAAGGGGTGGTCCGGTTATTCCTTACTCTGCCACCTCTTGCAAATTAGCAGTTGTAATAGCAGGCTTATTCTCACAATCATAGTTGTTATAGCATTGGGTTTCCGTAGGGTTACTTTCCTATTAATGATAATCATAGTGTTTGTTTTTTCGGTTTTGCAGGAAGTAATGGAAGATCCATATATAGCTGCAGATGGCTTTACATATGAAGCAGAGGCAATAAGTGGATGGTTGAATAGTGGTCACGACACTTCGCCCATGACAAACCTCAAGCTTGAACACACAGATTTGGTACCTAATTATGCTCTGCATAATGCAATTCAGGAGTGGCAACAACAGTGAACCTTTTTCATCGTACATTATACTTGCACATATTATACTGGTGTAAATCACACTTATCCTGTAAAAGAAATTTCTAAAGTGCGCAAGTAAGGGTGTATTCGCACATGAATTTTAGCAACTTCAGATTTTAATGCACTTTAAGATCACCATACACCCTTACTCTCTTACTTTAGAAACTTCCACTTTAAAAGTGTCACGTCCTAATACCTTGATAGCAAGTTCAGATGGAGAAGGGAGGAAAAGAGAGGGCAAGGGAAATTTTTAAGTAAACCTTTCCCTTGATTCAGACCTTTCTAAACTGAGGGGTTATCATGTATATAAGAAGCCTTATTCATTATTATGAGCATTTTAAAAAGTTCGCCAAATTTGAATGATTAACATATAAACTAGTCATGAAATTTCCCTTTCTTTTTAAAGGAAATTTGATTGCTGATTTTTCCAAGATATCAATAAAATATCACACGTGTTTCGAAACTTAATTTATTCAAATTTTCTGTTGATTGATTTCTAATCTTTCTATTTTTTATCATTTATTTCCCCATTTTTTGGATGCCTTGAAGTATTTCAAACATATTAGATATAATTAAGGTATGAAATTTATAATTAATCTCTTCAAATTAGACAAATACATTTTAATTACGAAATGTTTATGTAATTACAGCAAAAGATTGTGCAAAAGAAATGTAATTACAACAAAGGTTAATTAAGTTTTCAAAGTAACTTATCCTTAATTATCAATAAATGTGTAATATGATTTATGGAATACTTTAATTAATACTTTACATAAGTAAAAATTTAGAGTACTGAGGAAAATAATTAATATTGATTGCCAATATCATGTGCTAGTTTATCTTCTCCATGACCTGACTTGGAGGATGCAATTTACCATATCATGTCAACATCCGGATGCTAGTATTGAAATTGTAGAGTGGACAGACAAGATCAGGGGCCAACCCTTGTCCATGTTGTTGCCGTTTAATTCCATCCCGAAATGGACTGAAACGACGCTGACGTTTACCTGAAAACCACGTGCAGTTCCTCAAACAATCACGTGCCCCCTCACTCCTTGGAATGAAAGTGGCGGGGTTGTGAGTTGTGACCGGAGACCGAAGCAGAATTCAATACCACGTACTTTCACGCGCAACACGAGCGCGTAGTTTAAATCTTCACCGTATTAACGATAATAATTAGTTATTTAAGAATTTATTTTTATTAATTTATGTTTTGATTTTGAAATTGTTTCTTGTTAGAAACGTTTTTCGCCCTACTACTACTGCAGCCTGCACGAACGACAGAGAGTTCTCTCCTATACGCCATTTTCTCGCGTTTTCTCGACGATTTTCCTTCCAGCCAAACACTCTCAATCCCTTGGCAGCCTGTTGCGCTTTCTTTTCGGATCGTCATCAGTGAATTTCTCCGGCCTCCAAGCGATCTCTTCTTCATCCTTCCTCCCTTGTACGTGATCCGCTGTCACTTTACTTAACTTTCTCCAACTCGATCGTAGATCACGTTCTTTGAAATTGTTCTATTATAGTTTTTTTAATATGTTTACCTTTCAGCATTTAAATAGTTGAGGATGAAAGAGAAGCTTCAACATGTGAGGTAGCTTATGTTTACGAAAGATCGTGATTACTGTGGTCGATAATTGTGTTTGGTTTAGTGAATCGTAATTTAATTGGGGGTTTTGAGTGCATACCAATTGAGAATGCGAGAATATAAACTTCCTTGTTAATGAAGTGAGCGAACATGATTATAGTGTAATTTCTACATCGATCTATTGTCCACTGGTTGAATTTCGATATGTTTTTATTTTTTTCTCCGACTTAATGTGTTACGAGATTTGATTTTCAGTTTTATATGGCGTGTGACAATTTATTTGTTTGTTAGTTTGGCATCGGTCTAGGAATATGCAATTTGCATCATTCCCGCGCCCTCCTGACTATGTCTTGACAAATTTTATTAGTTACTTTGAAATTCAATTTGTTGAATATGTGTAACTTACATCTTTTTCTTTCCATTGATTTTAAATTTATTCCCATTTTTACGTGTATAATTTTATGTTTTCTGCAGTGGGAACTTGTAAAGTTCTTGGTAAACTTTTTGTCTGAATAGATGCCAGTTGCAAAACTCACGGCCTCTGGCAGTTCTGATTTCACAAAAACAGATGACGGAAATGATTCTTTAGATACTATAATCAGACAAGCAATTGGAAAAGAACCTTTCCTTTCCTTTCCCAGGGCCGGTGACAGCCCAGTACAGTGGATTCAATTACTTCATGCTTTAGATCAGCAAGGTATTGGAAATTAATTTAGAGATTATATTTGAGGGGTCATTTTAAGGGCATTTAGGTAACATCAATTTGTATAAATTTAACCTTTATCGGGTAAGGAAATGTGTTAGCCATGTGGACACTAGTGTTCCCTACTGGCCTATTCAAGGCTGGCAAAATTATATGTAAAATATATCATAAATAGCTTTTAAAATTGTTTCTGGTGCATCTGATTCTAAACACAGACATTCTAATAAAATCTCATTTGTTTGACAGAACTTCCAGGGTGGCCTTTGCTCTCTCCTGTGAAGGTTCAGTTACAGAAGTGTGACAAGTGCTCTCGAGAATTTTGCTCTCCAATTAATTATAGAAGACATATACGAGTACACCATCGACTGAAAAAGCTTGATAAGGTTATCTTTATATCTAAAACTAGAAGCAGTCACCTACCACAGTAGTGCCCTTTGTTTATGCTTTGGCCCCGTGTGTATTTTCTAGTTTGTTTGTTTTCCTATTCTTCCTCATTATTGCCTAATGCTTCATTGCTTCTTACCCATTGTAGGACTCTAAAAAAAATAGGGATCTTTTGGGGGCATATTGGGATAAGGTAATTTTTCATCACTATGAATTTTATAGTTATATGAAGAATACATCTTGTTTCCATGTGCTGATTTTTCCTAATTTGTGTAGCTCTCTGTAGAAGAGGCAAAGGAGGTTGCGTCATTCAAGAATGTGATGCTGGAGGTAGTACCTTTTTGCTCCTTGCATGACTAGTTTTTTTCTACCTGAAGATATTTTTATTGTGATTTGCCTTGCTCGCCTACTTGTGATATGTCAAATATATTAGGTTATGACTAGTAGAATGAAAGTGGGGGGCAATTGAGTGCATGAGGCCTCTCCAATCCACTTCTTCACACTCTCAATTCAAATAAGATGAGCTCTAGTTGGTTTGTCATATTATAAGATTTTGGAGACATTAAATTCTTTCATAAAATGCTCTTCCATTTATGCTATAGTTTCTTTAGCTGAATTTTGTTTGATTGTTGAAGTTCTTTTAATTGCCATATAGATTAGAAAACTTTCTTCCGTTTGTTGAAAGGTTATAGGTGTCTTTTCAATCATGAAAATGACTTTTAGAACCTCGTATGGCTCAGCTGTCTCTTTAGGTTCACTTCTTTTCAGCTCTTATTCATTGCTTTTCACTTATCCCTTTTTTTCCCCTTAATTAATCAAATTACCTGGTATTCTTGTTTCTCCCCCATTGAAAATGCTTTTCAGGAAGTTCCAGGGTCTTCAATTTTAAAGGCTTTGACTACTATAAGAAAACAAGGATTTTCTTCCTTTCCGCAGTATTATCTGAGGTCTGGTTCAGCTCTTTTGGTAAGAAACATTGTTGTCTTGTTCAATTATTCATGCTGGTTATTTTTTTCCGCTACTTTCCTTTGGTATATTAACCCAATATATCTAAATTGTTTACAGGATATTGTTCAATCCAGACCTTCTAGTTTTCCTATATCTTCCCAAGAGTTGTTCAGTATCCTTGACGATTCTAGTGAAAAAACATTTTTATGTGGATCAGCAGTGTCCATGCAAAGATATGTTTTTGATGGAGAGGCTGGAAAGATTGGTCTCGAACCAAAAAACCTAGTTGCTTGCACAAGTTTCTTGCTGGAGCAGAAATTGGTAATTGCTTTTCCTAAATTAAATTTTGTTCCATTTACCGACAAATTTCTCTTCCTGCCCCCACCCCCCTGCTCTTTCTCATGTAGATTTTGCCAGATTTTCCTCTGTTTTAGACAAGATTGTGGGTTGGCACCAATGTAATTTTGTTGGTATCTATAAGTTAAGTTTATTTGTTGCATGATTCATTGAATGGCATAAACTTGTGTAAGGGGGCATGTTAGTGATAGTTTTTAGGAGTGCTGGTCATTAACAAAACCTTTAGTTTGTATGAATGCAGTCTTCATCTATATCAAACATTAGCTATGAACAAAACAGTGGTTTTTCAATCAGATTTCTGTTGTATCTTTATTGGTGATAATGGGACAAGATCAATTCAAATGATCCCTATTCGTTTTGGCTTCTTCCCAAGGAAGGGTGGATTTCTTCCCAAGGAAGGTTGTTCCACCCGACCCATGTTTTACTGTGCTGCTTTTAAAGTAATTTTCATAGAAAGGGTCTAAAAGGTTGGTTTAGATGCACAACAGTCCACACTTCAATCCTGATTGAGAGTTTACATAGGTAGATTGTAGAGATGTATTTAGGTACCATTTTCCACAATTGCACAAAAGAGAGATTGAAGAGTAAAAAGGGGAAAATAATGTGAAACAATATTTTGGCATTCGAGGCTGCTGAAAAGCATAAGCAATTCTAATGTTATGTCTCTTTTTAGGAATTGACTCATGAATCCAGCACATAGCTTGTTATATGATTTGATTTTGAAGAAAAAAGATTTCCCAGCGAAATCAAAGTTCCCGGCATACCTGTATGTTGTATGCTTGTTATCTGCTTACATCAGACCTTATTCTATTATAACTAACCCAAAAATTGTGGTTTTCTTAGTTAGTCCTAGTTACAGTAATGATAAAATATGAATTTCCTTTCACATAGGTGAAGGAATGGCTTGCTGACAAGGATGCTGAAGCATTGAGATGCCAAAAGCTACTGGTGGAGGAGGAGGAAGCTGCTCAGAAAAGGTATATTTAGGGCTATAATTTGTTCGTCCTTGAATCTATCCTTTGTGATGCCTTTTCCGAATCCTTCCTTTTTCTAGGCTTTATTGATATCAGGTCATGTTGTCTGCTCTGAGTGATTCTTGATTTTCATTTCAATTTTTAGGTTTTTGAGGAATGGCAAATATTTCAAGGGCTTGTTGGGTTGAGTTTCATATATATATATATATATAAAGTATGGCAAATGTTAACCAGGGCACTGGTTAAGAAATTGAAAGCAAAAAAGTTTTTTGTCAAAAAATGTTGTTAATGCACCTCCTCTTGTGATTTTCAGTACATCCCAATGTGATTTCCAATGAAAATTTTCTATTCTTAATTTCTTAAAGACACTAATTAGCAAAATTCAAAAGGTGAAGTCTAATCTTCAATTTATTTTTGTCTTGCTTTAAAAGTTTGTCTATAGTTTTGGGTGCTTGATTTTTATCGTCCTCCTTTACAGGGAAGTCACCTTGATTGAATGAAATTTAGGATTCAGGTTGAGCTTGAACATAACCGTTTTTTATAATTTTTTTAAAAGCTGAAATGAGGGAATTCATATAACCATTGAAACAAACAAAGCTTAAAAGAATCTAACTTGGTTTTACTGGCCCTTCTGCAATTGAGAGAGACAAATTTCCAGTTGATAAACAAGAATCAGGTTCTAAGAAAGACTGGGGTGTTATAATCACACAGCATAACACAAAAGCATAGTTTTAGCAAAAAGTGAACAGTCCAACTGCACAGACAGCACCATAATGATTTTCACCGAGTTTACCCACTGTGCTGTTCGCTGATTTATAGATACTTCTAGAGACCAGAGCAGACTTAAACTTGACATATAATATGATTATGCAATGACTAATATTTATCATTCGTCTGATTTTATAATGACTTTTGTCACTCTTGATGTGCTATATAATAAAGTTGCAATCTACATTGTTTTAATTATTTTTGGATAGTTGATAAAATAATCTTGTTTTTAAGTTGTTTATTCAGCAAAGCCAATAACGTACTAAAGATGTTGGTCAAAATATTCTCTCTTGTAAACCAGTCATTGTACGAATAGGTTCGTTATTTATTTTTTTCCCTATACTTATAGACAAGTTGAGATTTTAGAGCGGAAACGCCAGAAAAAGCTTAGACAGAAAGAACACAAGGCAAGGGAACGACTCGAAGATTACTCAGAAATTAAAGCGAACATAAGCAGCACAGGAGACGATGAATCGCCAGCAGAAGTATCGTTTGGTACATGTGACTTTGAAGCACATAATCCAGATATATTTGCGGATCATTCCCCTTCATCTCATGTAACTCCTCTCTGCCTAGACATTAATGAAGGTATAGAAAGGGATACATTGTCAGGGTATGATTGTGACTCTGATCAGTATATAAAGCGACAGATATCAAAAACACATAATCGCCGGCGCACAGTGGCTGCCAGGCGGCAGGGGCTGCCGAAATCGCAATGGGCTAGAGCCAATGGTTTGCATGCAAGCCAGAATTCTCAAATGTCAAAGCTTGGAGTTATTAAAAAACATGGAATCAATCGTGATCAAAGGGCAGCTCCTATAGTTAATAGTAGTAAAGTTTGGAGCCGAAAACCTAAACCAGAAACTAATGGGGTGGTTTTAAAAGCCAAACTGCAGAAAGAACCTGAGAAAGGTAAGAATCATGAAGTTTTGATAGGATCTGTGTCTGTTAGTCTGGGTAATTGCGGTCAGTCAGAAGGAAATTTTGTGGCATCCCAGCGGGACTGCTTGGTAGAGAATCTGGCCAAGCAGAATACTACTCAGGAGAAGCCAATGAAACTCGATTCCTCTCAGGGAGGCAACAGTCGGTTAACAGTTAAGTTTTGGAGGCCTGTTAGTCAGCATGGAACTAAAGATCCATTGCCACTTCAAAGTGGTGGGACAGAAGCTGATGTAGTTAATGGAAAATATGACCAAAATTCGTCAGGTTCAAGCAATATAAGGTTGTGTAGTCTAAACGGTAGTGGTATTGATTTTGGGAGCAGTTTTCCCGATACTGGGGCTAATATAGATTCAGGAAGTTTACGGTTATCCAGCCATGCTGCCAAAGCCTTTCTTGCACAAAGTAAGCTTTACTACTTGATACATTTCCATGTTTGTTTTGTTCTGCCGTACTGGCAGTGTGATTAAATTCTTGGCTTGGTCTTAACTTCTTCGACATAATCAAAACCATTGTCGTGCAGGATGGAAAGAAGCTATCTCATCAAACCATGTGAAGTTGGTTGTTTCACCTGATTTTGAACCTCGTGGAGGCCAGCTGGTAAAGGATTGTGACCAATCAGCATGTCCATCATCTAATGCGGACAGATGTAGCATTCTTGCAAATACAGAGAACCGGTTGCCTGCAACCTCCGGAGTTGCTGAACCCACCAAACCCAGAACGAAGCCTGACAAGGGAATCAAGATAAAGTACATTCCCAAACAAAAAACAGCAACCGAGTAAGAAGTAACTGAAGAAATTGGATTATTTAATTATGGGAGATACGCAGAGATTTCTCGCCAATTAATTTATTAGCAGAGGTTCCAGTTTTATCGATGGTCTTCTGTCAGAAAATTGAAGGAAGGTTTTGCCGGAAAGTCTTTTTATATTCCGCCCTTTTCCTTCAAATCATAGGGGGCTTGTGCATTAAGTTTATTTTTTCTTGTGGCATTTTTACCAAAATTTTGTGTAATAAACTTGGTTAGTTATTATAAAAGGGCATCCTTTATTTTCTCTTGGGATACAAAGGGCATCCTCTTTAACTGGCAAACAATTTTCCCTGCTACCCTTTTTCCGGGCATAATTGTTACATTGGTCAATAATTCTATTACTGAGACAAAGCAGAATTCCTGAGTAGTGTGCCCTGGCACTCTTTCATTGTCTCTATTCTCAGCAGTTTTATATGAGTGGTCAAGTTCTTTAATTTGGTGGATTTAATAGTCACATAATCATGTGAATATATCTTTTTAGAAATTTCAACTATCTATAAAAAGATTGTGTTTAAATAAATGTTTTTAAAAATATATGTTGAAGAATATTAAATAATCAAAATGTATATATATAATTAGAAATCATAAAATTTAATATATTTATACATTAAAATTCATTATTTTTGTTATTAAAAATTATTATTTATTAATTTTTTATCATATTTATTTAGAGATAAGTAAAAAAATTATTAAGTACGGCTCTACCTTAGAAAAGAATCTATTTATTATATTAGAGATATAAAAGTATGATATTTTTTTAAGAATGACCTCTTATCGTTGAATTAAAAAAATATTAAAATTAATAAAAATTTATTATACGATAATATTTAGAATATATTTTAAAAATTTTTATAATATTAAGTGGTTAAATTGATGTTTTAAATATTAAACAAATAAATATATTTACTTATATGAGTAATGAATGAATATTTTGTCAACGTAAATTTCATTATAAATAAGAGTATAAAAAATGATAATTAAAATATTACAAAATAAATTTTTATTTTTTAAAATAAAAAATATTAACAATTATTCTTATTAAAAGAACTTAAAGAGTCGAAGTTATTTTTTTAAAAGTTTAAAATTTAAGTTTAAGGGTTGAGAATAACAAAATTACAGAAACAATATTACACAGAACATTATATTATAATTTTGACTATAAATTTATTAAAATGAAGGTTTATAAGAGTTAAAATTATTTTCATAAAGTTAAATATTTCTTAAAAATAAAATTTAATATTTTGAAAAATTATAAATCCTTTTAAATGCATAGAGTTTATGTGTAAGGAAGGATGCGAAGAGTACTGCAAAATTACAAGGACCGAAGTATGCCGCGCAGTTCTTAACCTAACTTAAACTGGGCGCACACAGGATCAGGAACAAGAATGCCTCGACCGGTAAACCATGTATCGGAAAGAAAAAGTATTTAAATTTTCATCAATATTTCTTGTTGGGTTGTTATCATCAGAAGATATAATACAATATTTAATTATTGAATTTTCAACTCGTGTGTAAATTTGGAGTTTATCTATTCAATCTTTGGAGCCTGTTTATGCAGCTTTTGTAATTTGCGTTATGCAAAAATTGATTATTTTGCTCTCCTCACAAAAGTGTACCCAAACAGGCACGAGGTAGTTGTCCCAAATGTCTTTTCCGTATGGACACAAAAATGCCTATTTCTAAGGCTACGCTTAATCCTTTCTCGCGAGTCACAGATAAACGTCAAAAACATGGTTTGGAGGCCTCTGAATATAAACTGGTGATTTTCCCGAGACTGCTCGCGTCACGTGGTCGAGAGTGAATCACTTCCATTGTTATAGTTAGAAGTTACCGAACAATCTCAAGGCCACCAACACTTGTGATTAACATCCACAATTAACTAAGGACACGTGTCACAACTATAAACATAAATATGCCACGCACACCATCACCCTTACCTTCAATCTCATATGAATCTGCCATTTGTCCACCATTCCCACCGCACCATCCAATCTTATCTTCTTTATTCTCCCACATTTCTCATACCCAATTTTCCCTGGTAAAATGCTTCCAATATTTTCAGTTATTTCCATCTCATCGTTTTAATCACATCCTCTTGCCACCCAGATTCCCATTTTGCTCACAGATCAAGGAAAAAAGCAAAGTAGCCCAACAATAAATAGTTCTTCCTTTTATTCACACATCTTCTCACTCAGTAGCTGAACAAAATGTCAGGTGGAGTTGGTCCAACAGGCTGTGACATTAGCCTCCCAAATGAACATGAAATTGATCACAAAGAACAGCAGGACCATTCACTCAAGAATCTTCACAAACCTCAAACCACTCCACGCAAAGCTGGTTTCCTCTCTTTCCGCCAACTCAATTGCTTGGCTTTGGTCATTGTATTATCTGCCAGTGGCATGGTAAGTCCTGAAGACTTTGCCTTCGTGGTATTCTCCATTATTTATATGTACTTTATATCAAAGGTGGCTTTCCCATCTCTTCACCCATCAAATGAACCATCAGTTTTCAACCCACAAAACAAGCTTCTTCGCCTTTATGTGTTAGTTGGGGCCATCATCGGACTATATGCTCCCATAGCTTATATCTTACAGGGAATATTTGAGGGTGATAAGCATGGGATTAAAGCAGCAGCACCCCATGTTTTTCTCTTGGCTAGCCAAGTGTTCATGGAAGGGGTGGCATTCTCTGGAAGGTTCTCAACTCCAATAAGAGCTTTTGTGCCTGTCTTTTACAACTCAAGGAGGATTTTCACTATTGTTGATTGGCTTAGGAGTGAGATCTACAAGGCTGATGAACAGCACAGTGGATCTGATAGGAGAATCTATGTTGGGAGAGCACTTGCTGTAGCTAATATGGCCTTCTGGTGTTTCAATTTGTTTGGATTTCTTTTGCCTGTTTATCTTCCAAAAGTTTTTAAGTTGTATTACTCTGGCCACAAAGAGAAGTGAACAAGGACAAGGGGGCATGTTTTATGTTTTGATAGGGTATTATGTATTTTATTTGTTTAAGGTCTTGAACCTTAAGTTCCTGCTGGTTGGTGTATGATATTTACATAGTAAATATATTTGGCCGCAGAGATGTGTACTCTCCTACGTGGCATATTTTGTTTTTGTTGTTCTTTGCATTGGTCATTTAGAAAGATTGGAACAGATACTCCAGCAGCCAGCAGCAAGCACGAGCTAAGTTTCAAATTAAGTTAAGCAACATAATAAGGATTTATAACTTAATATTCTAGAATTTTAGGTTAGATGTGGTATTTATTTTGTTTGTGTGTGTATGATTTATTTGTGATTCATTAATAAAAAATTATATTTTAATCCTCTTTTATGTTTCAACACGAGAAAAAATGATGGAAGAGATTAAAGTTATGAATAAAAAATATTAATAATGACAACATTCCTATCAAACCTAATGCTATAAGATGTTTGTGTAATATTCACTTGAATGCCCAACACAAACAGGGACAAAAGAGATGATAGAGATTAAAATTATGAATCGAAGTATTATTCATCACATGAGTTCTTTCAAAGTTATAATTGGTCTCATGAAAAATATAAAGTTTGTTGGTACCTTTATACTAGTATGAAGTCCAATAAGGTAGGGGATGATATATGCCGGAAGGTAGTTGTTGGCAAAAAAATGGCAACCTCTTCCTCTATTTATTTAATAGAACCATCCACAGTTTGAGTCAGATGAAGACTTTCATCTACGCATGTCAAGTGCAAGTACAATATATCACTAAACTATCTACATGGACAAAATTTATTTGTTCTAATTTGTTTAGATAAAATTTAATTACTTTATAAATTTCCTTGGCATCGTTCTATTATTATTTCTTTTTTTTTTTGTTAGACAATCTCATGAAATTACTATATGCAAAACAAACAAAAAAAATTATGAATTTACTAAAGTGGAAATGAAAACTAGAACATATACTCTGTTTATGCATCAAAATTCTAAAGTTAATTGTTTAAATTTATTTTTTAATTATAATAAAGGATAAAAATAAACATAAAAGCTTGTATTTTCTACAAAATAAATTCACTTCCCTGAATTTTCTAAAACAGGAAATACTATTACATTTTATTTCATTCTCAAAATAGTATTAATTTTTAATACTAATTTCAATATATATAGTTGAACACTAAAAAAAATCTAATACAATTTTTAAAATTTTTTCAAAGTTTTGAATATTATCCTAGTAATTTTTTTTGGGTTGAGATTATCCAAGTAATAATACATAAAGTATAAAACAATGCAAATTTTAGTTTTTGTTCAATATATCAAATCCACTGAAAAACAAAGAGACCTACAACAAGCCCAAGGCCCAAACAAAGATACCATAAAAACAAGGCAGACTTTCTAGTATCCTTGCACCGACACATGTTTGCCATTATAAGGTACATTAAGATTTACGTGGAGCGCACAACACAACACAAGATTGGTCGAATCGAATGATATAGGGATTCGTAGTCGCTCGATGTCTGAAATTACATCTCGATGACGCATCACGCATCACCATCACGGGAATCTTGATCACAACGCAAGACCACCGTAAAATGAGCCAAGACGGGTTTCCGAACATGGAAATTGATGAAGCTTCACGCGAACAATGAGGTGGACCACTGCATCAGTGCTCACATGAAAATTACTCTATTGGGAGGAGTTTAGAAACTGTTCTAATCTCGTTTCATCAGCATAAAGCCAAATTACAGTTATTGCTAAACCTCGTTTCATCAGCGTAGAACCAAAAATCCAGCTTGTATAAGAACCGTTAAATCCAATGGTAGCACTTTTGGCACTTTGGACACATCCTAGTTAGTTTAAACTAATGATGATATTTGTGCATTATACAGATTTTTGTTTATAAATTTTAGATTAATTTTTTTATGCTTTTGTTATGGTGATTAAATTTTCAAATCAGATAATAAAATGTGAGTTTTTCCAACATTGAAAACATATTAAAAGTATATCATATATATATATATATATATATTTCAGAGAATATTCGCATGTCACTGTTATTGAAAAATAAGGAAAAACTAAATCTAAAATTTAACTTTTTTTTAGTTCAAGTAATATTTTACAAAGATAAATTAAAAAGGTTTATAATTGAAAGAAAAAAAAAACAGTAATTAGAAAATTTTAAAAACTTAAAAAGAATATCACATTTTTCATATTACCCGAGAAGTAATAATATGAATCCACGTTGTGTGTTTCTATTGGTTAGCAGTTATCGGCTACTGGTATATTAGTTGCATGTACTGTTGCAACCTTTGCAATCGCAGTACTCTTGATTTGATAGTGAGTTTGTGTCAGAGAGAGAGAGAGAGAGAGAAGATGTGGCCATTCAGCAGGAAAGGAGCTTCTGGGTTTTCATCATCTTCAACTGCAGAAGAAGTTACTGAAGGCATCGATGGAACTGGCCTCACTGCCATTGTCACTGGTCTGCTCCCTCCCAATCTAAATCTTCTTTTCTTTAATAATTCTTAATTGGGTAACTTTTCCATGAAAAGAAAATTCAGTTTTTACCATGTTGTTCTGTCCTAAAAAAACTCTTTTTTGTTTTTATGTTTCAATGAAATTTTTTTCATCTATCCATTTCACTAATGGACTGAACAAATTGAAAAATGTTCCGTTTCTTTTTTCAAGTGGCTTCTTTTAAACCCAGCTAGCTAGGCTATACAGTAGATTTCTTCACCTAAATACTTGTTCATCTTTTAATGTGTTTTTGGGCATGCCTTGTTGTTGAATACGCGTTTTGATTACTATGTGTATAGAATTTTGCCTGTCTGTTTTAAAGTTGAAATTTATTTTGCTAGAATTAATTTTAAACCGTTATGAAATTGGGATGTATACCAAAATTGATTTTAGTCATAATTTTTCATTGAATGTGTGAGAATTGATTTTTAAAATTGTAAGTAAACAACACTTTGCATCATATATGCATAGGCTTGAGGAGTGATTTACAAGCTTTCTCGATGAAGATCCAAAACCGACTTTGAACTAATGCCTTTTGTAGTTGAGTCTGTATAATATACCCCAAGAATATTGCATCTCTACATCTCAGTTAATGCAGGAACAAAAAGAAGAGTCTTTGGCCGGGCATAGCTTGTGCTTCACTGCACTCGAATCTCAAAATGTTGAAGTTTGCAGACAGTTTTTAGTGTTCTGTTTGATCATACATGCATACTATGTTAAGTTCTTGGAATGTGCCATTGTTTTAACATGCTATGTGGACATTATGATAATAGGTGCATCCAGTGGTATTGGCACTGAGACTACGCGTGTTCTTGCTTTGCGTGGTGTCCATGTGATTATGGGCGTCAGAAATATGACTGCTGGCAAAGATGTCAAAGAAACAATACTTAAGGAGATTCCCTCAGCTAAAGTTGATGCCATGGAGTTAGATCTCAGTTCAATGGAGTCTGTCAAGAAATTTGCATCTGAGTACAAGTCCTCTGGACTTCCATTGAACATCTTGATGTAAGAAAAGGAGATGACATCGATCACATTATCAATTTTATTTTCACTTTGTTTTTAGTAAAGTTCTAGTTACTACTTACTAGTTCTCTCCCATTGTGTGTGCCTATGTTCTAATTGAGCTCTCTTGATCCTGATCATTCAAGGAAACTAAGGAGTAATATTATTTTCTGGTTTGTTTGTTTGTTTGTTTGTCATTATAAGAAACAATGCAGGAATCATGGCATGCCCTTTCACTCTCTCCAAAGACAACATTGAACTACAGTTCGCCACAAATCACATAGGTATGTTGAAAATGTTACTGTTTTATTCTAAGGTCCAATCAACTGAGTGTTTTTCTGTTTGAAAATCCATCTGATCATTTATAGTGACATTGTTTCAAATTTACTAATATTTTATCCTTTCACATAATTGGAACATGAAATGTGTATAACTACACTTATGAGTTATGATCTGTCTCAACCTACATAATTAAGGGATATTTTGCATTAAACATCTAGTAATTATTTTACTGTTTCTGTAGGTGCATAGACTGAGAAGATGTGGTGGTGATCTTAATCCTGCTGTTTTTATTTAATATAATTTTGCAGGCCATTTTCTCCTGACAAATCTTTTGTTGGACACTCTGAAGAAAACATCGCGTGAAGCTAAGAAAGAAGGAAGAATTGTTAATGTATCCTCTGAGGCTCACCGATTTGCATATTCTGAAGGAATTCGTTTTGACAAAATCAATGGCCAATCAAGGTACTGTATTATGTAACCTAAATTTAAACCATGATGACAATGTATGCTGACAGGTTTTTTTTTCTTTTTTAATGGAAGAGGAAAGGAAGACTTATGCTGGAGACTTCAATTTTACTATTGTAGAGATTAAGAGAGAAAGAGCATAGAGAAAGACAAATTAGTGTGCTAGAATTGGATACTCTATAATGTGTAGAGACTCTTCTATTTATAAAGATACATATGTAACCCTAATGGGTCAAGTCCGTTATTATAATGTTAAAATAAACTGTAATCTTAATACGACTATTCTAACTATTCATAATACTTTCCTTCAAGCTGGAGCATAGATATTAAAGCTTGTTACAAATATAATTGCTACATGTCTCATTTAAAGCTTTTGTAAACACATCTGCTAGTTGGTCGCCTGTCCTAACATGAGAGATGGATATAAACTTCTGCTAAATTTTTTTTAAATAAAGCAACAGTCTATCTCAATATGTCTCAATATGTTTTGTCTATTCATGAAAAACTGGATTTGAGGCAATGTGCATCACTGCTTAGTTGTCACACCAAAGTTGCATAGGCTTAGTGCTATCAAATCCTATCTCTTCCAGCATATATTTCAACCACATTAACTCACAAGTAGTCTGAGTCATTGCCCTATATTCTTACTTTTTCATGAAATTAAATTACTTTCCAAGAACACACAATATCTGGTACTAGATTTTCTATTCATAAATCCTGTCTATGATCTTTGTATACAATTCCTTTTTCTAGTGCTTTTTTCAAATACTTCACAACGCGGATGAGTGCTTCCCAATAAGTATTCGTCAGAGATGACATAAGCTAGCTAACAACACTCACTGGAAAAGCAATATCTAGTCATGTGACAGTCAAGTAATTTAGCTTGTCTATTAATCTTTTGTATTTTTGTAGATCTGTAAAAAGAACTTCATCTACTGTCAGTTTCACTCCTGGCTCTATAGGTGTCTCATATAGTTTAGCTCCTTTTAGTCCGATCTCAGTCAATAATAAGTCTAAGACATATTTTCTCTGTGAAAGGAAGATTCCTTGCTTGGAGTACATGACTTCAATACCCAAGAAGTATTTCAGAATTCTTAAATCTTTTGTCTGAAATTTGGTTTGAAGAAATTTTCTTAGATTATTGATTTCTTCTTTGTCGCTACATGTAATAATAATATCATAAACATAAATAACAAGTAAAATACAACCGTAGTTAGTCTGTTTGTAAAACACTATATAATCACTCTTATTCTTCACTAATCCAAATTCTAAAATTAAGTCATTGAATCTCCCAAACCATGCTCTGCGTAATTGTTTCAAGCCATATAATAACTTCTTTAAATGACATACTCTTCCACACTCTTCCTGAGCAACAAAGCCAAGTGGTTGCTCAATGTACATCTCCTCTTGTAATGTAAGAATGCATTCTTGATATTTAACTGGAATAATGGCCAATAATGCATAGCTGCAAGAGAGATGAAGATGCGAACAGATGAGAGTTTTGCAACTGGAGAGAACATATCAGTGTAGTCAACGCTGTAAGTTTGGACATACTCTTTTGCAACAAGGCGTGCCATCAAACAAGCCACAGAACCATCTGGATTAACTTTCACAATGTAAACCCACTTACAAACAATAGTTTGTCTGCCCTCAAGAAGAAAAACCAAATTCCAAGTATCATTCGTCTCAAAAGCCAACATTTTTTCCTCCATAGCATGTCTCTAACCATCATGACTGGGGGCATATGTAAGGGTCTTAGGAATAGAGAAAGAGTCTACACCAGTCATGAAGGATTTAGGTGTAGAGGATAAATGAGCAGACATCACATAAGATAAAATAAGATATGTGCAAGATCTCTTACCTTTTCAGATACCAATAAAAAAGTCAAGGTATAGGATCTATTGACACTTGAAGAGATAATGGTCGAGGTTGAGTATTTTCTTTTTTTTTCCGGCAGTGGTGCGGTAGTGGCAGCAGTGGGGGTGGTGGCGGCGACCAAGGAGAGAACCTAGAAGACTCTTGATACCATATAGAGATTAAGAGAGAAAAAGCATAGAGAGAGAGACAGATTAGTGTGCTGGAATTAGATATTTTACAATGTGTAGAGACTTTTATATTTATAAGGATACATATGTAACCCTATTAGAACAAACCTATTATTATAATACTAAAATAAACTGCAATCCTAATACATCTATTCTAACTATTCATAACAACTATCATATGCAATCAGCTCTAATATTTGTTTTATTTTAAAAAATGTTATTCACTTTTAAGTTTGTGATTATTCTATGTATCTTTGGTACTCATATTTCCTATGCACATCGTAGTTGCATTTAGAATTAAACAGAGACATGATTCTTATAGTACTTGTTGAAAAGAGAAGTGTTACATATATTTGATTATGTTTTCTTCCTTGTTTACAGCTAAAACAATGGACTCATCTTAGTTGCTTGAAAAACTAAGCAAGAAAAAATGATTCCTATAGTATCTTGTCTACTGGAGAAGTGTTATGCATATGTAATTATGTTTGGTTCCTTGTGTTCAGTTACAACAGCTGGCGTGCATATGGGCAGTCAAAGCTTGCTAACATTTTGCATGCAAATGAACTTACCAAACGTCTCAAGGTGTGTTGGCTTCTCCTATACAGTGGTGTTATTTACATATTATCAGGACAAATAGTTATAGTATTTTTTACCATAATGCAACATTTTACCTGGCCGTGTAGACATTATAAGCTAACATCATTATCTTAGATTTATTTCAACTTTTGGCTGATTAATGAGAAACAGATGTCCTTAGTTTGATGTGTTCATTCATTGCCTCTTTGGCTTTTGTCAGTTGGTTAAGAAGCTGAAATTTCTGATTGAACTTAATTAGACAGTGGCAACTGGCATGACCTTTGTTAAGTATAATTAATTACTTTTTCAGCGTTGGTTCTAATGTGAACAGTTTTATAGTATTTTTGAAAAGGATTGTAGTTATCTTTTGCATTCTTACTTGGTAGGCTGCATTAGAGTAGCAGATTTAGACTTGTGCCATATTTGTTTCTTCTTTTTCATCCACTATGTTCACTGTGCTCTAAGGAATTAAACTATTTAATTATGAGCTATTAGGATTTCTTTTAGAAATTTGTTGTGAAAAGGCTCAATCGTAGAATCATCTTGTTAACTTTCTTTCTCGTTGTTTTATGAGTAAAGATGGCGCTTTGGTTTTGCCACACCATTTGTCTTTGATGTATGTAATATTACGTGTTGCATCTTGATCAGGAAGATGGGGTGGATATTACTGCAAATTCTATTCATCCAGGATCAATTACAACCAATCTTTTCCGTTATAACAGCACAGTGAACGGTAATTTCCACATTGTACTGATTGTGAAATCATGTCCTGTCTACATGCTGGTCGTAATCAAGTGCTCTACCAGTTGGCCCTTCTGCATATTGAAATGCGGGCGCAACTGGTCATGATCGTTCGGAAAAGGCCTTCTTAATTTACAGCAGTTAATTGCTATTTCAATTTATGTCTATGAAATTTGTTCCTTTTTTTTAATAATGATAATGACAGTAGCTTTTTATGGGTATATTTTTGTTTGATTTATGCAGGTCTAATTAATGTGATTGGGAGACTTGTGCTTAAAAATGTCCAGCAGGTAAATGAAATCAGCATGAACTGCAACATACATTATGTTGTTCTTTAGAGTATTATTCTAGTACCCATCTTTTTTCCATGACGATCGATTCTCCTTTGAGTTGTCAAACATTTATTGGTTTTTAATTATATTTAATACACTTAAAAACATTTTTTATGAAATTAACAAACAGTAAATAATTGACGATTCACCTAGGTACAGTATCCATAAGGGTTCAATTCACCCAGAAGAGGATTCAAATATTCCTCATGTTTAATATGGGATTCTTCTGACCTTTCTTGTTCACCTTCTCCAACCTTAATGCAGGGAGCAGCAACATCATGCTATGTAGCATTGCACCCACAAGCGAAAGGAATTAGTGGTAAGTACTTTTCAGACAGTAATGTCTCCACAACAACCTCACAGGGAACTGACCCTGATTTGGCTAAGAAACTGTGGGATTTCAGCATGAATTTGATCAAGTAGAATTGCCCAAGTGCTACTCGTCAATGGAGATGGCATATGCATATTTACTATACTAAATGAAGAGCGTCAACTATATGATTGGCTGTAATATATTTTTAAAGAGATTCCGATTCCTAAATTGCATAGACATGAATTTCTAGCTTACAAATTATAATTTAATGCCCCTCCTCCAATATTTTACCGTGCGAAAATTATACCAATTTGGGTCTTTCAATCATTTTCTGCTTTACATCGAATGCATGCACAGATATGGAATAGCAGTCTCTTTTAAAAAAATGAATTCAGGCCAGTCCAAGGACATGCACTAAAAAAAACCACTAATTTATACTTTATTTTTGGCCTACAAATATGAAACCCTTCAACTGTTGTATTTTATCAAATATGAACTACAGCTATGATTTATGCAGCACGATTAGAATTATGATTTTGAAGTATTAAATAATATTGTTTTTAACTGTTTATAATCCAAAAAATGTTTTATAATTTTCAATTTAATCTCTATTCTTTGCATCAACTTCATGCTGATCTCAAAATAATATAACAGTAACAGGTGGCGGGGACAAAGTTAAAAATTGTGTAATTGAAATATTTTCTTATAGGAACCAGATTAAAAATAGGTATCAGGTACATGTAAGAAATAAAACTATATTTCATTCAGAAAAGTTAACCAAGTATAACCGAAATCTCTCGGTAGACATGTCAACTTGATAGTCAACGTCAGTCAGCATAGTCTTCCCCATACTCCCGCCTTCTTCAAAACCTCTTCTCTAACCTCATTTTTAGGATGTTGAACCCATCCACATATAAACTTTTGCCGAAACTTCACGATTTCTTCCTGTAATTTTTTTTTTAAGTAAGTCGCAATTTGACATGGTATTGGTAGCTTAGTAGAAGACAATTAATACTCACGTATTGATAATTAGGCATGGTTTTGTCCTGCCATTTTATTGATCCATCCCAAATTTCCATGTATTTCAGCACATAGATGCCACAATCATGACTTTATCAAACATATAAAGCATAAATAAGAAAAAAAAAATATTATCATCACCAATAATGAGTTGAGTTTTTCTACAAAAATGAACATTAGAGCTTCACACTACCTTTTTTTTTGTTAGACTACTTACTTGTTTTGCTGCATAGGAACATCAACATGAACTAGTGTTATTGATGCATTCTCTTTGGTCAAACCAGGATTCATTAATATCAGCAGCTCCTCAAAACGAAGTTTCTTTGCATTAAAAATCCATCAATAGGTTGGATCAGACAGAAAGCATAGGGATAAAACTTTGACAAAAATAATGTAAATATTTCCTATGAAAAAAAGTAATGTTCAACATTACTGTTGCATTATCCAAGTTGTTCTTGCTGGTTGAGACTCTACCAGGCATTGAATCTAACACATACAGGGTTTTGTTCTTGGGCTCGAACGCATAACAATACCAATGCTCCTCAAATAAAGTTGGAGCAAAAATCTAAAATAAGGAAAAAGGAAACAAATCATTATACCTGAACGACATTGTATACCATCAAAACCAAAGGTTGTTTACAAACCATTATTATTTTCACACAAAAGGCATATAAGGTGACACCATATTTACCAATTTGCACTGATTAATATCGTAACCCAATTTACTCGGCAAGATGAATAGAGATACATCCTCAATACACCAAGGCTTGTAGCTATCTTCATTGGATAGATTTGAGTCACACGTTACCTTGTTCTACATAGAAACATCATTGACTGACATGAGAATGCTATGCTGTTTAAATATAGTATAGAAAAACAACAGCACTACCATAAATGTTGATAGCAGGATCCTTCAACAGCTCTTTTGTTTGTAAAGATATATAGTTAACTACTCACCATAAATTGTGGGCTAAATATATGACGAGTGACAACTCCATTTGTTGCTTTCTCCTCTTCCATCATTATCTTTCCAGCAATTAAAATCACCTGAACATTTAATATATACCTTGAAGAGTTATATGAAAAATATACTAATAAATAATAAGCTGAATTATACCTTTTGCATTTTAATACTGACCATATGACTAATCCATCCTTTTGGTCTCATTGTATAGCTATCCTTGCGGTTTAAGTAAAGACCAAACATGCTAACCAAGACACTGGGATATGAAAATATGCTCATTAACATCAGTGAGACAACAAATACAACATCAAAATAGTAATGGTACCCCAACTAGGTACCTCAATTCCTCACATGCCTTTGGTCTACGGGTGCAAAAATCATACAGCTTGTTCAGTATAGAAAGGGACTTTCGGTCCACAGCCTTCTCTACTTGTTGCCTGCTGGAAGGATCCAATTGCACACGTGGCCCAGTTTTGGAATCCCTGATAGCTAATTGAAGAATACATGATCAAGTCACTAGGATTAGGCTAGAGTCTAGAATTGAGGCGTTTGAGTAGGTTGCAGCAGCTCTTAGGATCAAAGCTCTGTGTCCAAGGATGGAAGTACATAGGAGAGTGTGGGTGCAACCACACACACAAACTTTTTTTATCTCAAAAACCATGCATAATTTTTCAAATAGGTTCCCTCAAATATATGAAATCTCTCCCCTCTATGAATGTCTTATAGTCTATACCCTCAAATATATGAAATCTGTCCCCTCTATGAAAGTCTTGTAGTTAGCACCCTCACCTAGAATTTCCAGGTTCTGTCCCAGTCCATGCCACCATTGTACCCAAAAAAATAATCACAGGACTCTCATTTATGTCATGGAATCAAGGCATACTAACAACATATCACAAACTTCTACTAGTGCAGCAGATGTAAAGGATAACAAGTTAGAAGAAATCAACATTAGAGGATTTATTGGTCAATAAGGATTTCAAAATACAAAGGTTAAAGGAAGGAGTTTTTGTCACAACTACCCCTGCTCAAAGGTTCAACAGCCTCACTTGTGGGGGATTCCAGGATGCTACCAGCTGTTGATACATTACAAATGATCACATTAACATATTAGGGCAGAGTCAAAGTTAACTAACCTAAGTTCCAAATTAATACCAGTACACAGTATTAATATAAATGAAATACAACACATGTATTGGTGTACCACAAAAATTCTAAAACTGTAAACAATGAAGTATCAAAATCAAAATATGAATACAATTTTCATAATGATTTTGCTTCAAATTAGTAACAAAATGCAAGTATTGATTTGCACTTGCATGATAAGCAAATAGATATACTGTGTGTACCTCTAGCACTGCTACATGGATTCTTCTTCTTTCGTCCCATTCTTAACTTCAACTGTTTCGCAAAACACCAAAAATTATACATCTAAAAATTGTGCTTGACAAAGAAACAAAATATACTCTAATTCTTATGATATTAAGTATGAACAACGAAAATGATGAAGGAAGCAAGATAAGGTGACTAATTTTGGTAATTGATATGATACAAAGCTCAATCACTGCAAAACCTAAAACCAACATGAAGGACGAAGAAGGAAAGAAGAAAACGAACCAAAAGGAAAGGAAAAATGTCACTTCCCACACAATACACCCCACTGCTCCAACCTTGTTTTGTTTCCGTACCCTCTACACTAAACCATTTATTACAGTAAACCAATTGGGTGTTGTCATAACAACACAAAGTCTAGAATATTCAAAGTAATCCAACTAAATATAAGACTTTTTGAAAACTACATTTCCTTATTCTAGGAATGCTAGGAACTAATGTTGCCTAAAACTTAGTAAAATTTAAAAATAAAAATATTAATTTAAGAAAAATATATATTTTACATATTTTTTATATATTTTTTTTAATAAAAACTCAGTCTGTTAAAAAAATGTGTCAAAAAATATTTTGTTAATATTTTTTATTTAAAATGAAATATAATCTTCTTTTTCTAAATATTTTTAAGAATTTTTTAACATGTGCAATCTTGCACAGTATAAACTCTAATAAATACACTACTTAATTAATGAGAGGAGAATAAAAGATAATTTTTTTAGAAAAATTATAATAAAATAATTAATACAGATTGGTTAAATAGTATATTTATTGGGATTTATCCTGTACAACTTTTATATACAAAATTTATTTATTACACTATACTTAGTGATGTAGTGTAATTAAGTTAACTAACAAAAATAGATGTAATTAATGTTTTTTATTACAGACAGTATAGTTATAATTAATATGCAATTAATAATAATTTTAAATAATTAATAATGCCAAATTAATTTAAAAAAATGCTACCATTTATAATAATTTTATTTGGTATAATATAAAAAGATATACATAACAATTTTATTAAAATTATAACATTTTAGCAGTATTATTTATTTAATTACATTAAATTTTTAAATTTTATTAAAAATTATATATAAATTTTTTTTATTATGTACATTAAGTAAAATTATCTTTTTATAAATAATATTTATAATTTATAACAAAAACAATAGTCCTTTTATTAAAATTTAATTATGCAAAAGAATTAGAGTGGAAAAAAAGTTCATTTGAATTCAATTAAGAATGGGAGTGACACGGGAAATGATAGACTGACTTGCTTCTCGGGATAGACAGGTATATTATTAAGATTAGATGCATGTATCTATGCTATGGATAAACCATATGATACGGGTAAGATGCCATAATAAACAAATCACAATGTTGTAGCGTACCTAACAATGATTAAATATTTAAAAAACAAAACTCATTTGATTAATATTAGAGTATATTTGCATAATTAACCTGTAAAAACATATTAACATGTTATGAAAATAATAAATAAATAAAATATCAAGGATTAATTTAAAAGATTACAGTTAAGTAAAATGATATTAACATATTAAAGAATTTTTATGAGCAACTAGATAAAAAAAATAAAATATCAATTAACTACTAGCAGGTTAAGAAAATAAAATAACTTTTTTTATGACAAAATAAACTAAATTTTAAAGATTGATATTTATATTTTTCTTTAAAACAACTTTGTCTAGTTATGTATCTCAAAATATAACAAAAATTTAAAATTTGCCTGATTCTAAAAGAAAAATGTAATTTAATATATTTTATTTTAAAAAAATGTTATTACCATTATTATTATTATTATTATTAAAAAATCACACCTACAAAATTAAGATTTATATTATATGTAAGTCCTTACTTGAGGAAGAAAAATTATATAATTAGTCATCAGATCATTATATAAAAATTAAAAACAAAAATCTCTGGATAATGGAGATAATCGTGTTGTTTTTTCATTACAAAAAATTAATCAACTAACAAGCTAAGTAAACAAATGAAATAAAAGACAAAGGCTATCATGAGAACTTAGCAACAAATTTTTCAAATGTTTTATATTCTTTTATTATACATTGTTTTACTTTTATATGCTTTACTACTGTGTTATTATTTTTAGTTTCTTTTTTTTTTTTTTACTATTTATGTTTCTTTTGATATCTAAAAATAACTTTATAAAATACACGAATCAGTTATGACTCTTCTTTAATGGAAGTAAATGTCATCATACTCAGTTTTTATTTCACTTTTGGTTGATTGACAATATTTTCATTTTATTCTTTTAGTTATACTTTTTAGACAAGTCAAGAAAATATTGGATAATCTCTTTCAAGCATTAATTTCCCCTTCAATTATCAAGTAAAGACTAATTTCAATTTTTTAAAATCTGAAAAGATTTAATAAAAATTCATTTTTAATTGAATTTTTTTTATTTAACTAGGTCAATTTTAGGTGGTTACACTTATCATGCTCATTGCTCAAGGCCATTACACGCTAGTTACTTTAAGAATGTATAAAGCCATGAGGGGATCATAATCAGATTAATGGATAACAATAACAATAATGTACAGAAGAGATCCAATAGTTGATAGAGTATACACAATGACTGTAATAAATCTAAGCCCACAATTAAACATGACATGCACTGGCTCTCTACAAAACCTTGTCCTCCCATCAATAATTGCAGAATAACAACACAGTTTCCCATCTTCTGTACAGCAATGTCTACATCCCAAAAAATAGTCTACAAGTTTTGTATTAATTTAACTCTCTACTTTGGCATCTATATGGTGTTCCATAAGATGCATCTGTCATTTCTAAGTGCCTGACCTCTCATGTCTTGATGCTGCATCTTAAATATGTTTGTTACATACAAGAAGTTCCTCTTGGCCAACAAGTGAGCATTTGCTTGAGTTGATAACTTGGTATGGACAAATTTGACTACAGAAAGTTTAATGCTTTGTCACTGTTTGGCATTTCATTAATAAAAATCCCCCTAGCCTGAGCCTGAAGCCATTCAAAATGCACTTCTGTGCCCCATTAGCCTATTTTTCGATGCAAATTTATTTACATTGATTTTCTAGTGCTTTGGCTCCTTATTGGATAATTATATTCTTGCCAATAGAACAATGAATAGATCAGCATAACCAAAGGTATTATGAGAAATTTCAAGAGCTGCTCAGATAAGTGGTCCAGGAAAATTCCTGATGTCATAAACCATTTGCTCGGCTAAGCAAAGATGAGTTGGGACTAGGATCAAGGGATGGGTTAATCTTAACATGTTCCCCCAGCAGCTGTCGGCCAACACGATCAGCCAAGACTGATTGAAAATCATATCGCTCTGCAAGATGAGGCCTTGCAAACTGCTTAACCAGAACATCATTTTCACTGGAAATCAGTTCTGATGAAATGTGAGACCCCAGTTGCATTCCTCGAAAAATGTCAACATTTGAGTCATGATGAGCAGGGCCATTAACGTAGACACCGTTTGAGGACTTTAGCATGCTTCCAAAACCCTCTTGAAGGTAAATTGCCTGTTTCAGGTGATTACTAAATGGAATGGCACCACTGCCACCAGCAAGAGGTGTGGATGCACCAGAAGCAGTCCGCGGGCTAGATATAGGAGAAGGAGACATTTTCCCACTCCTGTGCTGTGGTGATCTTGACTTCAAAAGTGGGCTTCCAATGGGAGACACAGGGCAAGATATATTCCTTGGAATATGGATTTCACTGGAGATTAACGACATAATTTCAGAATACTATTGACAAAGTCAGCAGTGTCCTTGCATGCATGTTTTAAAGTGTGTGTGTGTGTGTGTGAGAGAGAGAGAGAGAGACCTTTCATGTGGATTGATTTTCAAAAATCTAGAAGAATGAACAGCGAGTCTATCTGAATCCAAGGCAGATGCATTCTTTCCTTGTCCAATGCCCTGAAAATTGATCATGGATGCATGAAATTAATATAATAATACAGAAGCAGAAAGCAAACGAGAAACAACTATAAAGATGGCTCCATTGATATTAGAAAATTCAGCTAGGATAGTACATTAGGAAGCAAGACCTAGTTCAAGTAAAGGCTTAAACCAGATACACTATGGAGCCTCCATATGGATATGTAGATGCTAAACAAAATTCACACCACTGCCAAAATATTCATTACTGCAATTCTTAAGATTACAACATTATGTTCCCCAACCCCAACTGAACTCCATCCATGTAATTTAACACAACATTCCGCCCAATTAACAGAAAGGGAATCCAATTTATATACTGTAGAAGTCTAGAGCCTTTATTCTGCTCCAACTATTGTCCAACTATCCCTCAACTGTTATTATTTCTCAAAATACTGTCCCTGCATTTCCCTTCTGTACCAGAACCATTCATGCTGCCTCAAATGCAAGAGCAATTTCCATGCCAACATACTGTTAGATGCCTCACCAAGGCTTGAATCAGTTAGGAACAGAATATAGTAACTGTTATGATTAGACAGCTATAGTTAATCTTGCAGATGGACAGTCAATCAGTGGGTTAGAGATGTAGCTGAAAGAAGAAGAGGGTATAACTTGGAGAAAAAGGGAGAACAAAAGGGGCTCTTTGGTTTTGGAGTGGAATTGAGAGGGAAAGTGATAGGCATTAGGGTCCTAACCCTAATATCATTGTAAATACTACTTCAGACAAGGCCAACCCTTGGCTGGTTTACTCTAGGAAAAAGAAAGCCGTTAATAATGACAGCTAGCAGTTAGGAGTTATTTCTCTGTTTTAAGCCCCAGCTAGTTGGGAGAGTTAGTTATGGGTCTTTTTTTTATAGTTAGTTTCTAAACTTGGCAGAGAAAATTCTTTGAAGAGCATTGCTCCAGAGTACAGAATTGTACACTGAAAATTCATCAATTCAATAAAGATTTAATAAAGATTGTCTTTTCATCCCTCTTTTCTTGTGGACATAACAGAAAGCTCAGGTCTATCAAATGCCAGGAATCTCTATTCACATTTCCTCATCTCTGTCCTTGTATCTCTTCAATGCAGGTGAAGACACAGGTTACTGTCAAAAAACTACCCATTTATTCCTATATTATGATCCAGTTCTATCACACACATGGAAAAGGGAGTGAGAAAATAGATAATGCCCAATATTCTGGATTTGGATGGATTAAAAATTTATACATTCATGTATAGTGAAGAGCATGAGTTGCATATACAAAATGTACGTGCTTTAACTTGATCATGAGAAATGTGAAAGCATGAAGAACAAAAAATCCATATCACATGTTTTTCAGAAGCAGAGCAGATGCTTCCATCATGTGTGGATAAGGCAGGGGGGTAAAATTTGATACATAAGCAGCATGACATGCAATGAAAGGCAAACAGGCAACCTTCAATGCTAATGTGGATATACCACAAATAAAACAGACTTTTAAACAATTTTTGTTTGAGAGTATTTTATATACCAGAGCTTTTGTTCCATATGTAATCACAGAAACAGGGTCTGAAGCTTCAGGAACCAGAATAGGTCTTTCCAAAGGTGCTGCACATTTTACAAAAGGGTGGTCCAATAATTCACTGGCTGAAGGGCGATCATGTGGGTTACGTTGAAGACATTTCCTAACAAAATCTTTTCCTTCATTTGAGAGATGATCTGGAATTGTTGGGAGTTCCTTGCTATTACCAATCTTGAACATGGCAGCAACCTGTCATGTTAACATGCAAATATGTCAAGAAGAAATAATTTATCAAGCTGTTTGTCATGTATATAATACAAAAATTATCATCAGTGCTTTGTAAATATAAAATACTTGAAATATATATTAAAGAAAGGATAAAAGAAATTAATAAAAGCTTTGATATATGAACATAAATTCCTAACCCCTTCATACTGAAACCAAGGAGGCTTGGTTGTAGCCATTTCCAAAACTGTGCATCCAAGACTCCATATATCCACAGCAAGGGAGCATCCATTAGAGTTCTTTATAACCTGAATCATCAGAAAGCAAAGATACTGAATCACAAAACTAAGATGAAATTCAAATAAAAAGAACCAAATTTACAAAAATTAGAACCTCGGGAGCCATCCAGTAAGGGCTTCCCTTGAACGACAATGGACAAGATTGACCTGTCATCTGCAAATTATATAAACTATAAGTAGGGAAAACAGGACAAATTATACACCCTTTGGACTAATTAAATCATTAAGAATTAGAAAATCAATAAAACAGATGTAATCTAAAATGACAATTGTACAGGATGACAAAATAATGTGAATTCAATAGAACCAGAAGAATCCAATGTCTTTGTTGAAGGTGTTTGGATTATGACACAAGTATGGTCAGGTTGTCTTTGAAGTTGGGAGTTCCATGTGTTAACTATAGGAGCAAGGACAATCGAAAGTTCTTTACAAAATGGAACATAGACCTAGTTTGGGTAAACTTCTAGATAATTCATCTTAGGAGAAAAAAAAATCAATATAAAAAATGAATAAAACACTCTCATAAGTTAAAAATAATTTCTCCTCAAATTTTAGAGAAGTCAAATAAGAGAACTTCTCAAAAAATAGAGAAGCAATAACTTTGAGAAAAAATTTATTCATTTTATATACTGATTTGTTTTTCTTATAAGGACTTCACTAAAAGTTTACCTAAACTGAGTCATGATCTACATGATAAGCACACCATCACCATTACAGAAAGTTGGTAGTTCACTAAGGAGACTCAGAAGAGGTTCTTGTCTTTGGGGAAATCATCTTTACGTTCTGTTTTTATTCTGGTTTATTCAATATCCTATTTTTATATGAAGTTGATTTTTTTTCTGCTTGCTTTTCTCATTTCTTATGGTTTCCCTTTGCATACTTGAGGGAAAAATCTCCATCTTTGTATCTTCTTATAACACTTTAAATTACTCACGATTACTATGAAGCCAGGAACACTAATATTCTATCAGAATGATCTAATGTTTTCTGATAGGGGATGGCATACCAAATCTGCCAAAAACAGGTGAGGTGGGAAAAACTGGATACAACAAAGAACATAAAAACCACAAGAAGCAAGGGTGTCCAGTCTCAGAAACTTGGAGATAGCAAAACTCTCGATTTAGAGAATTTTAACCAACATCCATAATTTCACTAGGCATTACAATCCAATTTACATATCTAACTCGTTTAGCTTAAATGCAGATGTAATGGATACAATATAGTTATTATATCTAAACTTACATGTTTTGCCATGCCAAAGTCTGCCAACTTGACCCGACTATTTGGATCAACAAGTATATTTGCTCCTTTGATATCCCTTTACAAGTAAAAGCAAATTCACAGATCATTATGTGGCAGCAGCAACAATTAAAACATTCAAATCATGAATAGATGGTTTAGTTCACCTATGGAGAGTATTTTTAGCATGTAAATAAGCAAGCCCTGACAAAATTTGTTGAGTATAACTACGAATAGCTAGTTCACCAAATTTCCCATATTCTTGAAGAAGTTTATGTATGGAGCCTCCAGATACATACTCAAGATATATGTAAAGTTTGTCATCCACCTGTTGAAGGGATGATTCAGAAGCCTTTATAAATAGACTATCAAAAAATATACTGCTGTGAAATTTCTACATCTACGTTGTTAGGTACCTGCAACTAGTATGATAACTAGAATATCAAGCGTCTTAGACCATGGACAGTCTAGAAAAAAACCCACAATACATCATATAATCACTCACAGGCATTTAATGTTATCATCAGAACCAGAATCTTAACATTTCTTGTGAGTAAAATGGGTTTTGTAAATGGGAAGTGAAGGATAGAACTTACTGGTTCAGAACCATAATACTGCACAATATTTGGATGCCGTAAACGGCTCAATAAATGAATTTCCTGCCAGAAATGTCGTAGTTAGAATTTAGAATTTCAAAGCTATGTCAATTTTAAAACAGAACTACAAAACTATAATGTCACACCTAAAGAAAACAATTTAACTGCATGGAATTTTACTAGATTTAAAAGGAATCAATTTACCTGCATTAATTGCTTAGCACTTTCCATAGACTTGGGATCATCTGAAAACAGAGTAACCTCCTTCATTGCACACATTTCACCACTTTCACTAAAAGAGACAAACATTTTAAACAAATCAATTATTATTAAATTGCATATGTAGAAATGAAAATTAAAAGGAATAATAATGAAATTAGGAACATTTTCTCCAAAGTGCATACCTATTGAAGCCAATATAGACATGCCCAAAAGTACCTCTGCCAAGCAGCTTCCCTTTTTTCCAACGTGAGCCAGAGCTTGGATTATCTGCTCTAGCTGGACTTCTTGGCATAGACGGAGATGTTGCTGCAGAATTAGAATGAGAGAACAGCGAGGAATTGGTAACTGTCAAAGGAGGAAGGGGCAAACGATGACTCTGCTGTTTTCCATCATCAACCCATCCTGTCGGTGCCTCCGCGGGTGTTCCCCCAGCTTTAGGATGAATAGGTGTCACTGCTCCACTCTGAATTCTAGAGCTTGGACCAGGGCTGGTCATTCTGGGACTAGGTACTGGAGAATACTCAGGGCTACCCCTGCTTGGTTGCCATAATAATGGTCCTGACATATCCCCTCCCATTGAATTATGCCCAGAACCTGGACTAGAGCAATGCCCAGATCCAACTAAATTCACCTCTGAATATGGCTTTCCAGCCCAAAAAGCAGAGTTCAACACCTGATCTGTGCCAAATGCTCTCAATGGACTCCTTGATGGACTTGACAAGGAACTATCAGGAGCACTATAATAGGCACCGTGAGGAGGAACCTGAAGATTTGGAACATGGTTGCGTAAAGGCCTCCGTTTTGGTGAAGTAGAAGACATATGATTACTTAGAATATTTACTGGTTTTTTTACTTCTCTTGAATGCAATTGGGAAAGAGCTGGTGATTGATCCTTGAGCATCAAGCTTCAAAAACAGGGCAATTTTTGAGTAAAGGAGAAAATATATATATTTCTAAAGTATTATATCACAAATCACCAAGGCATGTATGCATAAGAAGTGCTATATGGAAGCTCATTACGGTTTGAGGAAGCTACCTGGAAGGACTGCCAGCTGCAGTTCTAGTCCCAGTCTCAGTCTCAGTTGCCAGAGGACTACGATTGTGTGAGTCTGCCGGCTCATCACTATCAGCAGAGCAATCACTAAAAATAGAAGCAGTGATCACATCTCCATCCAAATCTGCAGGGTTTGGCCTATAACGTATGCATCCAGGTGTTGGAAGTGGAAGAAGCAGTGATGGCTTGGAACCTTTTTCCAATCTTGACTTTGATGATATGCTAATTTCAGAATCTACTCGGCCTACACTTGAAGGGTGCAGACCAGGAGGTGGAAGTGGCTGAGCATGAGGCCTTTCAGCAAAACTTTGACACCTTGCCACTTTGGAAGGTGAAGGCGATCTTGATTCAGATGGAGAACGATCCCCCTTCTCTGAAATTGTGTCATTGCAATGTCTACGAGATCCTCCAGATCCATTGCTTAGTTTACCTTCAGATGGAATTTTAAATTTTCGGTGCAATGTATCAATAAAACTTTCCTTACTAGCTTTCTTCTTGGTTTCTTTTGATGACGATTTTCCCCACCATGAAGGCATATTTGTATTTTATATAATGAGATGCAGCAAGCAGGCTTATTTACAGGATTCCAATAAAAGTTCAAAAAATCTATCATTTCACATCAGTAGATGGAGTTATAAAAGCCATGATGCAGCCATAAACCTTTGAAGGTAGGAGATTCACAAATTCCAGAAGCAATGACTTTAGAGTGATAGAAAGGAATCAGTCATTGAAAATTATTGCAAAATACCTGCAGCAGACAAAACGTGTACTTTCAATCAGTAAAAAATGCATATCCTTTTTATGTCATAAATGTATATATTGTGTCCAAATCCTTCAAAGCATGCACATATATCAACCATTCTGTTACACAAGACTGTTCAAAGTGAAAGTAGCTAACAATTAAATAATTCTAAGTTTACACAATAGCTTTAACTACTAACTAGTAATGCACATTAGTCAACCAGTACGGCACAATAATTACCATATACTTGATCTGACATGACAAGGGATATACTAAGCATTCAAAATTAGACAACTCCACTCCATCAGCTAATACTTAGTCCCCAGTTTCCAAGTTCAAATATTAGTAATATATTATCATATAGTGAAAAACACCAACCTCTAACCTCTCTACCGGAAATAAATTCATGCAACATGACATCATTCGTCATTGCTTATACATGTCTTCTATGTAGACTATAAAATTCCAAAAAATTTAATAACTAAAAGACAGAAGCGTTCAATACTTCTCATCAGCCTAAATTTTCATATTTCCCAACTTTAAAGCGAAATTCACAAGTCTAACCAAAAGAGGAAGAGAACAAGGATGAATCTAAATGGAATTATTTTGACCATTAAAAATTGTACCGAGATCCTCAAAACAACTGACATGGCATAATCAAAACTAACATACATATATTGCCACTTTTTATTGTATGTTTCAATACCCAGAAAAATATAAGAATAAAAAATCGAATTTTCAAATTCCCTCTTTCTACTTCCACCAAAATTTTCAGGACCCCAAGATGAACTACCAACCCATTGTTAAAAATAACTAGCTGAAAACAAAGATCCACTAACACATGATTGAGCAAAGGAAACAGTTAAATCAACTAACTTGTTGATCATCGTGTTAAATCATGCAAAGGGTAACCAAAAATGGTAAAAAGGAGGAGACTTACTTCAATTAATAAACTCAGCAAATTTGAACTGAACCCACTTTGTATTTTCAGCTCAAATCTGAGAGAGAAATTTTCCTGAAGCGTTGGGAGCTCCACCAGAGAGCCCCAAAAGACGCACAGAAACCCAAAATGCGACAAATGAAGAAAGATTTTCTAGTGATTTGTGGTGAAAATATTCGCAATTGAAAGTCAGTGAAAGAGATCGCGTAGAGAAGGAGAGAGAGAGAGAGACACAGAGTGAAGAAGGGGTCTCCGTCTTAATTGAGTGTTGAACTATGGATTCTTCTTAATAATAATAATAATTAAAAATCATTGAATTGTTATAAATATTAATCGGCAATTCCTAATTCCTACATATGTCCTTAAAAAAGTAACTGTTTGATTTTAATTTTTTTAACCATGATTTCAGAGAGAGAGAAAAAAAACAAGTATTCTATTCTGCATTAACACAAAACTGATACACCTTGTAAATTTTATGAAAAATTTGTATTCTTATTTTATTTAGGAAAAAATTTATACTAATTCTGTTTTAAGAATTTATTTTGGGTGGTTCAGATAAAAAAAAATGAAATGAAATTGGGTGTTTAATTATTTTTTAGGGGAATCAATTTATGGAACGTAGTCTTCATCCAGAGAAAAAAAAAAGGTTATGTAATGTGGCACTACACCTTCCATGGATTGGCATTTGGAGTTTGGACTTGATTCCTTCAAAGTTCAAACAACGGGTATCAAGGTAAATAGGTGATAGTTGGCATGTTGGTAATATTTAAAACCAAAATTGATGCTTTTATGATTTGAGTTGCCATCAATATATATATATAATTAAAAGTTTCGGCCTAAAAGAGAAGTGTGAAAGTGATGCGATTTTTAGAATAATAATCTTTTAAAGTATGACTTTATTTGTATATCAATAAAATCTGACCCAATCAATTAAAAATATATTTCTTAAATATACTGAACATGTTTAAATCTTAATCATGTGTACAGTACAATAAAACTTTATTAGAAGGGATAAAATTTACTTAAATAATATATACTTTTCGACAGAAATTAATAATCTTCAAATGTGGACTACAGATACTTGATATGCATCGAAAAAGACAAAAACAAATACTTAGCACTTTGAAATAGTTTTATGCTTGTGCACCCAAAAAGAAAAGCTTTTATACTTGATAGTTAATGCTCTACCATGCTGTCATAAAACCCAAGATAATGAAAATGAAATATTACAAATTCGTTCCTTTTTTTTTACAAGTCAAATTCCTTTTTGTTACTAAAAACTCACGAGAATACCATTATAGTTGAAAAAGTACATCCTAAATCATTGAACATTTTTGTTTAATTTTAAAAAGTACACATTTTGTAATTATTTTATAAAAAAAAATACACTCAATTTCATTCAAAGATTATTATTCTCTTAATTTTAAAAACTAAGCTGATTAGCATACACAATTTTAAAAATTAATTAATTTATATTTAATTTAAAATATTATTTTAATATATTACTCATCACAATTTTAATAACCCAATATAATCTTAGGTGCCATTTCAAATGCGAAAAAGGAACTAGCAGGGGAGATGTATTTGGGCCGTTCAGTGGGGTCCAAATAACTCTTTGATGTGCCATGGGCCCATGGCCCGTATTTTCTTCATTATAAGTTCTGGTCATCACGCACGTGTCTTTCCTTCCGGCTTCGAGATGGTGTCCCAACAAAAGTAAGTATTTCTAAAATCACGTGCATAATTATTAATTCAGTTTATTTAATTAGAATATAATATGTTTGCTTTAAAGATTTATTTTGAAATAGTTTTATTTTATTAGAATATTAATCCAGTAAGTATAATAGTTTTATTTTTTATGTAAAAAATACCTTTAAAGATTTTAGTGATATTATTTAAGGTATTAAATTTTTTAATTATTTTCAAAAATTTTGAATATATTTCAGAAAAAATAAAATTTAATAATAGTTTATTACTTTTAGTGCTATTTTTAATCAAAATTAAAATTTTACTTTAGTAACTTGAACCAATTTTAGATGACATATTTTATTGCACAAGTTATTGAGTAATTTTTTTAATTGAAAAATCATTCTAAAAATGTACATAAATTTTTTCATTTAAACTAATTAAAATTATAGGACCTGGTTGTTCAAGTTTTCAAACAAGTGTTTATAGGAATGTATCAAAAATTAAATAAATTTTAGAGATTTTATGAAAAATAGAACTTGTATTTTATTTGTCTTTAAATATAAAAAGTACATTTATTTTACAGAGTATCTGTAATTTCAAACCCTTTTTATAAAAATATATATATATTTAAAAAACTTTTCAAAATAAATCTTAAATTTTCAGAGGCTTAAACAAATACTGAAAAATTTTAAAACTCAGTTTTTTCAAATGCAAAAATATTTTTTCTGAAATAAAAAAAAGAAGCTTATCACTACCTCTCAAAATACAAAAAGTACCTTTTACAATTATCAACAAACAAGATAAAAAATCGATATTGGCCTAAGAATTGATCATTTAATTATTCAATCACAATACACATTGAATGAAAGAGAAACTTTATTCTTTTACCAATTTTGTTCGTTATCAAACCAAAACATTTATTTATAGGTCGTAAATTTGAGCCTATATTTCTTTATTTAAACTGATATAAATTATAAATACAAGCTTTAAGCATTCTTTGTGTTTGAAATATTTTCTTATCTTAAAATGAGATATCATTTTCTTTTTCTAAAAATTTCTGTGTTCATGACAAAAAGGTTAGTATTTTAAAATATACTAAGACTTTGTGCATTTTTATAACTAGTAAGTTTTCAAGCACTACATAGATATTATTAAATTAAAATAAAAATTTTGTGAATATTATACGATTATTTATTAATTCAATATTTTTTATAATTTTTAAAAAAATATTATAAAATATTAATAACAAGTATCATATTAAATAAAATTGAATAAATAGATTTTTAAAAAATTTTGAACAAAATTATAAAAATATTAAAAAAAAATTCAGTTTGAATTTTTTTTAAAATTCTCAATATAAAAAAAATCACATATGATAGTAAGAAGGAAGATTAATTGTTAAAAGTTATTTAATTTAAATATTTTTGAGATTTTTTTAAGAACTACGAGCAATAAATTATACATAGAAGATAGAAATATTAATCTTAGATGTAAGATAATTATTTAATATATTTTCCTCTAAGACACATCATTATACAGTTATTTAACAATTTAATTTTACTTTTTATTAACATAGATTAAAACTGTTTTTTTTTTTCAAAATTCAGATGTTTATATTTTGAAATTAATTACTAATTTTTTAGTAGTAAAAATTCCCCTTTATCTTTAAATTTCAATTGTTTGTTCTCTCAAAATTATATATTTTATTTTGAATTTTACTTTTTCTGTATATCTCAATTATTTTAGTTTTATATATTAAATTAAACATGCTATCTTAAATCTAATTTAATCTTCAACACTAACATACAACAATCTTTTTATGTTTTGGGTGCTTTTTTCACAAACACTATCTTATAATGTAATATTAGACAAAATTTTTATTTAATCGACCATTAGTACAAGTAGCATATTTGTTATTATAAATTTATGATTGTAAGAGTCCAGAATGTCGATAAACGTTTGTGGGCTGTAGCTGTAGCCGCCCACCTTCTTTTGTTTGGTATATAAAACATAATAAAATATCCATGTTAATCATATAATCACTTTCCTCAATAATGGAGCATGCTTTTCGTTGTAATAAATCAATTCTGAGTACGTCAATAAATCCAAAAAACCTTATAGAGCTTTGCTATTTTCTTTCGATTATCTTCCTACTATATTAAATATATTTTTATCACAAGAAATCAGAATACAAGATTTGAATGTTCATGTTCACTAAATTTACCAAAAGTACTTTAACTTTAGCATCTTGTATTAGTTGCTTGATAAGTAAGGAGAATAAGTTAAGTCAGTTAGCAAAGTTCTGTATATATAACAAGTATACTAGTACTTTAAGCACATTCACTAAGAAATTAATAAATATGGTTTTTCTTTTATTAAAAGTGACGATAAAAAGTGTAGCAATAATTTATTTTTTATTCTTTAACTAGTATCATAAAAATACTTATTAACATTCTTCATAACATAACTAGTGGTTCTTTCCTTATATCCAATGTATATCTTCATTCAAATTAATGAAATCATTTATAATAGGAAATATACGCAAGTTACATGCCGAAAGGCAATTCGGATTGTGCCAATAACCTTCTCTCTCTGATCCAACAATCATTTTATTTATCTTTTACTGCTACTTTGAAATCATCTGAGATTCAAAACGTGCATAAAATGTCTAGGAATCACAATATCTTCAACCTGCCAACATATATAACTGATTTCTGAATCCAAAGGACAGAGTGGCAACACAATAATGGAGGAATAACAACAAATAGTGACAAAATTGATGAGTTTTACAACCAATACTTGGCCTTACTAGATAAGCAAATAGGAAGAACCATTCACATTTGCATACTTTTTAGAAATGTTTATGAGAATTTGATTTGCCCTTACCCTTCCCCTTTTTACTAAATTTCAAAGCAACACTTGGCAACTACCTGCACATATTTATTTTACATAAATGATCAATAACAAGAAGATCAACATCTATTTTCTTAATAAATACCCACAAGTTAAAATATATTGACATGAACTCCGATTTTTCATTCCTTTATTTTGTGCAAATTTTGACAAGAAGTCTCTTTTCAATAAAAAGTCATTATCATCTTATGAGTGCCAAACCAATAGCAGTGACTATGATAGTAGAAGGAAGGCCAAATTTCAGATGACTCCAGAAGGTTAAAGTGTATGGTAGGTTTGGAGCTCGGCGAGCCTGTTCACACACTATCAAGTTAGCAGCTGAACCCAACAGTGAGAGATTCCCTGATATTGTGCTCGCCCAAGCTAAGATCAGCCATGCCTTCTTCTCATCAGCTTTCGAAATTGCAGCAGCTGAGGCTGCTACCCGTCCTCCAAGCAAGAGAACTACAAAATATAAATAGAAGATAAGATTAGTCAATAATCATGTATCATGATATCAAAATTCTTCCATACAGATGGATATAAGTTTGGTGCAGATGTGTAGGAATTCTTATACTTATGACATTGTCTAGTCTACTGAAATTTTCACGAAACAAGTAATCTGAACATAGTTCTTTTGTTGTAGGTATAACCTGCTCTGCAAAATTTTAATGACAATCTAAAATGTTCACTTTCAAGAAAATGACAATCAAGGTTGTCCACTAAACCACAACCGCACCTTTTTATAAGAAAGCTCATAGTGTCAAATTTGTGAAACATATCTTTCATTATCTTTTTTATTTTGAACCTGAACTTTTTTATAAGGTTAGGCCTATGGAGAGCCCAAACTCTCAAGCGCGTTCCCTCTTCTCTGTTTGATCACAATAGAGATGTGTGCATTCACTATATGTCATTTTATATAATATTTTACAATTTCTTGTATCGCTTAATTGTTTTGCAATTTGCAATCAAGAACTTATAAAGATTAAACTCGGTGAAAATGGAGAGTGCAGATTTTAGAAGTCAGGTTCCTATCCAACAAGTTGATGCATTCAATAAATGGTGAATTACTTTGTCAGTAGAATAGATCCACTTACCTGTTGGTACATTTGAAGCCAAATTTGACAGGACAAGTATGACAATTGCAAGCACTGCAATTCCACTAGCGCGATCAACATGAGAATAGGGCTCCATCAAGTCCCACAGAGCACTAGGAATTCCAGTTTTATTGAGGCCATCTACTGTGATAAACATTCCACAAAAGAATATCAAAAGTGAATATGAAACCTGTTACAAGAGGGAAAAAAACTATTCTGAGAGGTTGAACAATATTGTAGTTAATATTTAAAAAAGAAGACAGATAGAAAGAGAAAGATAATATTTATACCTTCTCTAAGCACGGTCTAGCATCTTTGAAATCAAGAACCACTAGAGCAAGCGCAGCAGTAATTGCAGTCCATGACATATTTAAACCTAGAAGTAAAGCAACCAACATTCCTAATGTGATGGCATAAACTCCAGATTTCCACAATACCCTTTTCCACTTTATGATAAAATTGTTTTTTCTTTCTGAAGAGGGCATAAGTGTATCTGCTGCTGCTGAAGTAACCGAAGGGCTAGTTTCCTCTTTTGTCAGAGATGGCACACCATTTGATCCCTCCTTTGATACATTTGAGATTCTTGCAGAATCAAATGTGCTGCTAGGAACACCAAGAATTTCAGTTGCAGTTGCAGTAGCTCGGTTTCTTAGAATTTGAGCTTGAGGAGAGTTCTGAATATTAATAGATTCAAGATTGGAATTCCACTCTTGAGAATTTAAGGACGAAAAATGAGACATAGTGGCTGGTGAAAATCGATGGGAATCAAATTCATCTTCAGCTGCAACTTCTGCACCAGCATCTTCTTCATCCTTATGAATAGACAACAACTTCCAATACATGATTAGAAGAATTAAAGCATTGGCTATAACTCCAGCCACCATAGCTGGAAGAACACCAATCAGAAAATTCCCAAATGAGATTTTACTCTGAACAGCTATAACCAGGTTTTGGGGGTTGCCAATTGGAGTGGCTGAGGACCCTATATTAGCACTGGAAGCAAGGGCAAGTAGGAAAGGAGTTGGTGGGAGGTTGTGCTGCCTCGCAATTTTCAATATGAATTCAGTCAAAACAACACAAGAAGTGTCATTTGTGAAAAGAGCACTTGAGACAGCAGAGATAATACATATTCGACAAAGCAAGTCCTTTGCTCCTCTACTCTTCCAAGCGAGCAACTTCCCTATGTATTTAAACATGTCTGCTCTTTCAAGATACACGCTCACCACCATTGTCCCAAAAAGAAGACCAAGAATTGGGAGATCAATTGTGGCATAAGCTTCATCTGGAGTAATAACTTGAAACAAGACCATAAGCATTGCACCAAGAAGGGACCCTGCAGTTCTACCAATGGGTAGAAAAGGCACAGCTGGGAAAACTGCTAATACCCAGAAGATTGCAAATGCAATTAAACCAAGGACAACTTTTGCAACAGAAGCCAGTGCCATTATTGTGACCAAACAAGCCAACAATTAGTTCCCAGTTTCAACAAAAGAATAAAACCTCCAGCTTTATGCTACCCACAGTAGTTACTCCGTGAGCAAAATTCCTGAACATGAAATGTCAATTGGAAAGTAAGACTTCAGGAAAAATTCAGCCTGTGATACACCATTCTCTCATTCAATCAACTAGACGAGGGTATTATAGTACAAATCAAGAGTGTCAAAAAATATTAGCAATGAAAATAGTGGAGCATATATACACAGACATAACCAATCATTTCACTAGTATCATCTTACCGGGCTTAAGCTGTAGCACAAAATCAAGGTCAAAGTTGAGTAAGAAGCATGATTTATAAGGTTTCATATGAAATAAGAAGGGTGAACAATTCATCCACCACTCCTTTCTGAAAATGCAAGTCTATGCTCATCTTAGGAAAGAAACTGGCTGAGCCATAGGACAACAGTTAGAGCATATATTTAACCAACGGATTCAGCTAAATTGAAACGAAGTAAATGCAAAATCCAATAAAACCTTTATGTTGAGTGTACTATGCAAGTTCTGAGCTAAGATATCATCCCATACAACATTTGCTGGAACTGAACATGAAAACAAAAAACGACACAAACGTGGGACCTTACATCTTACCTATGAAACAAAAAGTTGTGATTGAGTGAAGCCTAACTCATGGATGTGCTGTGGCTAACACGTGAAATTCGGGGATTGGGTGTGTCATTTGAATAAAAAAGGAAGCAACTTGTCAGTTTCTTTTTCTTCATAGAGAATAGCTTGGATTACGTTGACGAATATTTTGGTGAGTCAGAAAAATAGCAAGTCACGGACCGTGGAAGAGAATTGGAGCATCGTCGGTCTTTTCAAGGCACGCCCACGTCAACTCATACTCTATCTATCCACAGTTCACTCCACATGGTTAATAAAGAGTTAAAAGGCCATCGTCAGCACTTACTTAGCTCCTAGCTTCCCAACCACAATTCTGGGAACCAATAAAATATTCTTTTGTTTTTATCGTTGTTGGTCTTAAAACTATGTTATCCTTTGATACCCTCATTGTTATTTTAATAATCTAGGCACTCAATAATTATTCTGTAGTGTAGAATTGAAGAAGCATGCTACCTGATCCATTTAAGGTACTCCACAACGACCAACAAGTTTTAGCGGTTGAAACAAAACTGTTTATATTCAATTTTAACTCATAAAAATGATATTTAAATTTAACAAAAATCTATTTTTTTATATGTTTTTTAATATCTGCATGTTTAATCTGCGTATCACTGGATGAGTTTCGGGTAAAAGAATTTAAATTTAAAATTAAAATCTTACATTTTATCAAACAAGTTTAAGTTAATCACTGAATTGGTCTTCACCTCTAGTTTATACTTAGATTAATTAGACCAATCTCAATTTCTTATCATTTGCATTGACGAAAGGCACAACGCCACAAAATCTACTGAATTAGATTACGTATACCAGTATTTAAGTTTTTAAAATTTTTAAAACCCATTTTTTAAACTATTTTTACAGTTATTTTATATCAAATTAAAATAAATAATATTGTGTATTTAGAGACTCAAATAAAGGATCCAAATCAATCAATCTTGAAAACTGTTATGAAGATTTACTCATTAAAAAAAACCACCATGATTGGATTAAACACGCTCTGTTGAATTAGTGGACATTGTGTTCGAAGACAAAAGGACGGCAATAAAATAAGTTGTATGATAGAGCGAGCTTAATGTTAAACAAGTTTTTCCATATAAATTTAGAAGAGATAGAGACCGTAGAAGATTGATGAAGGGAAATGCTTTAAATGATGCTATGAGAGTTTTCGTGGGCACTGTGTGAAAAGGCAGAATAAATGCATCCAACTTTAGACCATACAACATGTCATTTTCATATCATGAATTCATGATCAGAAAGCTAAATCGCCCAAGTAGGGTAGGCTTCATCTGTTTTCTGGGAGGTGTGACCTTCACCAAATATTGGATGCTATTGCTTGGAGTTGATAAACAATATATATAGTTTATGGATGGAGTCACTCTCAATCAGAGGACACTTTTTAATTATTTCAATTAGGTATGCATTAACCGTTATTTAATAAACAATGGGAAGTCCACTTAAGAAAGTATGTTATATTTTTGTCTATCTTTAAACTACGAAAATAAAATAGTTTTTCTTAGTTTTTCACTCTATCTTTTCCTTATATACGGTTGTAAACTAGATTATACATTAAAAATTATCTATTTGGAATAACACTAAGAAAATAAACGAAAATGCAAGAAATCTATAAGAAAACCTGAGTTTCATTATTCCATGTGTCAAGCACACATATGAGTGAGATGCTACGTGAAATAACAAAATAAGCGCTTAAGTTGTAGTGGCGCACAAGAAAATAATAACAACAAAATATAAAATGTTATTATGTGATAAGTAGCCTCAAACTATAAATAGTTTTTAAAATGCATTTTTTTGGAAATAAATTTTTAAATTTACTCAATTTGGTTAATACGTCATCATACTGTCACACATATATCGTGTAAATGAGAGAACGTTGTTGTTTTAGGATAAAATTTGCATATATTCCTTTAGAGCGTAGACACCTAGAGGTTTAAAAGAGAGATAGAAAGAAATTAAAAGATTATATATAAAAAAAAAATAAGAGAGAAAAAAAAGGATTAGGGTAAGAGTTAAGTTTTCTATGCCTAGAAAATAAAAATAATTATTTTAACTTTTTTTATTTATAAATTGAATTTAAACGAATCATACTTCTAATTTTTTCACATTTGTAATAATGCTATAATTTTTTCTTTATTTTATTTTCTTTTCTCGATCTTTCCTTTATATCATAAGCTCTTTTTTTATGTATAGTTTTTTTAAAATTTAAAAAAGATGAAAATTTTGACAAAATTACAGGAATATAATTTTTTTAAAACTTTTGAATTTATGTATCTACACCAAAAATTATGATTGATTATTTTTAAACTTCACACTTTTATAATTTTCAAAAAAACACCATATTTTTATATATATAATTTATAAAAATCATATATAAAAAAATAATCCTTTTACCATATCACATCATTATATCTTTCACTTTTTCTTTTCCTATTCTGAAAATATATATAACAATCATGTTCCTATTAATTTTATGATTGCAGAGTCTTTAGCTTCTATGCAGTGTTTTTGTCGTAGGGTGGGTAGATGTTTCTTATGTTGCGTGTATTTATCTCCATTATTGAATGCTGGTTTAGGCCTTAGCTCATATGCTTATATGGTATGGATTTGTCTCCTGTGTGGGTGCACTTGCACTTATTCTGCTCTTACTTTTGCATCAAAAGAAAACAGGGGTGGGAAGGCTGTTAATGCATCTAACTGCATGTTTGAAAATTTAATAAAATACGTAAAAGTTATAATCTGTAGTGTTAAATAAAATATTTGTTTTAAAAGAACAAAACTGAAATGTAATAAGATAAGTATTTTTTGTAATGTTTTTTATTAAAACTAAAATTTAATTTCAATAATTTACATCATGATGTGTTTTGACGACTAAAAAAAGGGATGAGGTAGAAAGATCCATAGTGTGTGTAAGCAAAGAATGAGCAACAAACAGAACATTGCATTGTATATGCAAGGAATGAAAGGGAAGAATTGGAGCTTACCTTTTCCAATGTTGTTCCAAAGCAGCCTCCCTTTCTCTTCTCTTCCTCTGTGTCGTGACTCGTGAGTGATTGAGTCATTAAGTAGCCAGTGGATCGGTAAACGGAAGTGCCAAAATTCAAAATTGTGATTGCACCTCTGTTTTGGTTGCAGAGTGCAATAGTCAACAAAGCACCAAATGCATTAATGCAGACTGACGTGTAGTATCTCAAGTCATGTGAGATTCAGAGAATGAGACAAAACGTCAAAAGATTATTAAGAAAAGACTAAGCAAGCAAAACCCACTTCCACAATCTTTATCATTTGAAGAAACTGCTCCTTGGCTAGTGGATGATTTAAATGTTTATTCTTGAGAATAAGACAGTATAATATTTATACGTTATATTCAAATAACTAATAAAATATTTTTAGAAAATTAAAACTTGAGGTTTTAAGTGCATTTATTTTAACATTTTAACTTATAATTAAATTTTTATTTTTTTTTAACATTTTGTATATTTAAAATTGCTCATGTAACACTGTTAGTCTCACCACAAATTCCTGTTGAGGTTGCTTATTTCCATACATTTTCTTCACTTGTACGTGCATGTGTATGTTGCAGTGCACATTTGAATTGTGAGAAATTTCAGTCATTTTAATTTGAGCACTTTTTTCCTAACTCATTTAATGAATATATATAAAAAATAAGATGTAATAAAAATTTATATTTTTAGTAAAATTTATAAGATTATTTTAATCTAAATGACATTTTTCCTAAGAGATAATTTTATTCGAATTACATAAAATTACTATGAATGACAACTTTTTCTTTAAAGTACTTAATATATAAAAATTAAATTTATCGTCATTTATAGAATCGTCCATTTTAAAAGTGTTTAAAAATTACAATAGTAAATATGATATGCGTATACCTATGATTCCTTCTATATATTTACATATAAATCATTGGTTATACAATCATGTGCATTGAAAAAGCCCATCTAGATTATGTTTGTAAAACTCTTGTTTTGTTCGTGTGCAGCATACTGCATATAATCTTTGGGGTGTTTTTAACACCCACTAGGGTTTGACAATGCTTGTTGCTGGAAATGCACACTGCTTTGTTTTTTGTCAACAGAAATGTATACAGCTTAAGCTCCCCATAATTAAGGGCTAGTCACAGTTATTGAAGGAAAAAGTCAATAAAAGAGTGTAATCCTGCCGTGGAAAACGAAGAGACAACCACCTTTTATTACGAGAAGAGTGAAACATTTCTCTAATGATTGAGTTATCTATTTTATGATACTATTTTACATTTTCTCAATTCATTTTTTTTTTCTATCGCGTCACTTTTTATTCTATATTTTTCTCTTTACTCGTATCTCTTGGTGGAAAATTTGAGTAGAATAAAATCTCTTTTCCAACAAGTTTACAGGGAACTTAATTTGTGAACTAAAAGAGATAACACGACAAGAATAAACAACAAAGACAAGCCCAACATACAGTACATAGCACCACAGGCCAGGGGTCCCCCTCTCTGATAAAATCACCTTTACATTTTTCTTTTCTTTGGGTTGAAAAGAGAAATCAATTTGTAGTTTGAACATCCAAATGACGAGCCGGAACAACTTGTTGCAGCCTTTCAGCAGCATATTGGTCCATAGAGGCTATGCACTACTTAGTGGTAGATGGGCACCAGACTGAATTTTTCTTCTTCATTTCCCCTTTCTTTTTTGGGGTAGCCAAAACATCAACTACGCATGAAACTATTGCAGATAATGGAACTAGGGCCTCCATGAAGCTGTAGTTTTCCATAACCCAAGTTCAAAAATACTTTTTTTCCCATTATTGCCCATTAAATGTCCACAATAATTGGTCCCTACTAACTTTGCTCCATTTGTATTCTACTTTAGGTCCTAAGGGACTACTACAACGGCTGTCTCACCTATGTCTTTCACTCACCTATCAATTTACTGTTATTTCCTCGAGACACGTTGAACTGCACTGAGAACAGTGTCACAAGATATGCATCTACTCTTTTGTTCCGAACCATACATGTTAGGTTGTACTGCGGAACTAAACTTTTAAATGATTTCTGACTGTAGCATTGGGAAGAAAGCCCAACTGTTGCTTGATCTACCTTCCTTTCCAACAACCTTCTTGTTCCACCATTCGGAGCCATTGGCAGGATTATCAGAAACATTACCTTTTCTGTTGTCAAAGTTAAATTCTTTGGAAGAATTAAAAGAGTGATGCTTTCGACAGCACTGCTCGTCTCCTTCTCCAGGAGCATCGTCGGCCTTATCATTTGAAGTTTTCCTTGAACACAAATCACAACAACTATTGGAGTTCTTTTGTATAATTCCTCTGTCAATAGGGTCTTCAACCAGTGTACCCTGAGAAGACCCTGGCATGCTTCTAAGCAATGAAGACCCTGATTTATTTGCAAGACATCGTGCAACATCTTCCCCAGTTAATTCAAATGAAACCCTGTGATCGACTAATGCTGCATTAGTTTGACACCCATTCTCCAAATTAGCAAGGGATGCTACCTCGAAAACCTGTTTTCCAACACAGATGCCATTTCTAGAGGTTTCTGTTGCACAATCAGGTGTCAAAGACCCAGAACCCAACCTCGTGTCCTGACACAAACCATCAGGTGTCAAACATCCAGAGCCTAGTTGTGAAGCTGGCTGAACAGCATCAGGTGTCAATGATCCTGAGCCAAGTCTTGAGCCTTGCCCTGCACCATCTGGTGTCAAAGATCCAGATCCAAGCCTCGAACTCCATTTACGTGTAGAGAAGTGTTCAAAGCTCAAGAGCTTTGGTGCTTCCCCTTTGTGGAATTCAAGAACTGGGTGTCTATCAGGGAAAGGAGTAGAACTGCCAGAAGTGGAAACAACTGATCTGGGTGATATGAGTTGGGCGCCAGGGCTTCCCGGATATTGTAAATGAGACTGAAACTCATAATTGGATAATGCAAACTTCTGATTTGTGCTGCTATTTTTACAATCCCGATGTAGAGAAGACGCCAACAATTGAGCAAATGGAACCTCAGGGGATGATGGTGTTGTCAGCTGCACAGATTCTGGAGGTGGAGTAAAAGGAGCAGTAGATGGTTCAGTTGTGAAGTTAGAAAATACAGGTGGTGAGACTAACTGGGTCTCATAGGCATAAGGACCTATGGCAAAAATGGATGCAGGTCCACGAGTAGAGCAAGTATTGACAGTGAGAGAGAGCAATGCAACCGATGATTGAGTAGCAGATGGAGGATCAGATTGGAGAAAAGATGCAGGTGAAGAGGGGGGGACAATGAATGGCATTACAATGGCAGTTGAAGGATTTGGTGCAGTAGTAGCAACTGGGCCTGTTGGTTCAACAGGTTCTGGAATAAAGACAGCATCGCCAATTCTCTTGCTGTTCTTATGAGATCCAAAACACCAATATAGGCTCCAGCAGCCTCCCCAGCGTTTTCTCTGCAGTTAGTGAAGAAATATATGGACATTAAAAGTTGAAACCAAATCAAAAACAGTTCTGTCAATCATAATAATTTAAATTTTTGAACATGTTGATTTTTTATTTTTTTTCCTTAAGCATCAAATTTGAAAAGTTATTTCATTCCAAGTTAAATGGTCCAAGGTCTTTTCTTTAAATATAGACTCTAGTTGAAATGATTCCAATTAATTGAAAGTTTGAGAATGAGATTTGAAAAAGACAGTTTAGAACACAACTAAAAGTAGTCCAAATGTCCAATGTTTCAGGACAGAAATACTTAAGCCCAAACAGAATACATTGCATGATAAGGAGCACAAAATAGAAGAACATTAAATTTTATGATAGATAATCGACATACACATGCGCTGGAGGAGTTGAAAACTTATCGAATCACTTCCTGCAAATTGATATTGTCCCTAAGCGGATGCCACTAAACCATTATAAGGAAAGCAGGGGAAAAATATTTTCGATTCCCTGGGCCTATCGATCATAAGCGTCCCAAACCCAAATGTTTACACTAACTTCTTGATAGTATGCGGAGTAACAACATCAGCAGCCGGTAGAAGTAAAAAGGAATAAATAGCAGCCTTGAACAAAAAGAACATCCCGATATCAGGCAATGATATTGATAAATATCATCCCATTCTGCCATGCTAGATAACGAGAATTCCAACCCATTTACCAGCAGCATTAGGAAGACTTTGACTGCCAATTTCAAATGTAAGTTTTCCAAAAGTAAGTGAATGTGTATCAAGGTTCCCAAACATGGATAGATGCAGTTAGATGGATGAGAAGCATGGAAGGGCAGTTGAATAAGGTCAGTCCTAGGTAATCACTATTGAGTACTGACCAGGGTTTTTAGTCTACCTTAGAACTGAGTCATTGTCAAGACACAATCCCCAGAAAAAGAAAAAGAAAAAAACCTAAATTATCAGCAAAGGCAACGCAAGACAGATCATGGAAGCATTATACCAAGTTGCAGTTCAAACGGTCCAAGAATCAAAATCACCTAGTTCAAGCAGGGCACAAGTTACAACTACGTCATGTACTAAGTGAACTGAATCCCTCATAGATAAGTGGATCAATCACAGAACAGAAAAGGTAGAGAACATTTAAAAAATAAATAAAACTGAAGGTTGCTTTGCTTGCTCCATCTAAGAATGTATTATTTGCATCACTTGAAACAGTTCAATGAATCCCAGTAATTGATTTGCAACATAGGAATTGAACTGGGTTTAATTATGTAAGATACACATGCCTAGCTAGATTGAAGTCCTTAACAAGCCCATCGAAGAACCGAGTTGCTAAAGGTACAGCTTCAAAGTGAAATCAAAGCTACTAGGATTCATAATTAGCTGGGTCACCCAACACCCAAACCTCAATTTCCCACTTTTTGAGAACAACAAAGATCAATATTAAAAAAAAATTAAAAAGCAAAAGAAAAGTGAACAAAAATTTCGATGCCACCACTTGGTCAAAAAAGAGTATGAAAAGTGGAAAAAGAGAACACAAAGCCCGAGATCTCAAGTTCTCTTGTTTCTCGGTAACTAAGCAGAACAGCGAAAAGCGAAACCAAAACAATATGCACATAAATACACACACGAATATAACTGCATGTGAAGCGAAAAGTGAGAGAGAGAAGAGAGGGACCGGCACGGAGGTGGGTTGGACTCTGGATTCAGCGGCGACGATGGCGGAGGCCGCAGCATTGACGGTGTCGACGCTGTTGTTGACAGTTCCCATTGCGGCGACGGTGAGGGAGGATTCCGGTGACCGGAAATGAAAGTTCCGGCGATGTGGGGTCAGAGTTATTGATATGAGAAATAAGGAATAAGAAGTGTTTGGCAGTGTTCATGTGATGGCATGGAACAAAGTCTCGTTTTCTCTCTCTCTCTCTCTCTCTCTCGAATCTTTCATGGGATGGGAATTGGGAATGCTCAAAGCCTCAAACAAATAATGGCCATGGACAAACGACGTCATCGACGCGTCATACATTCAGTAAAATTAATAGAATGTTATTATTAATTCTAGTTTTTAAATACAAATAAAAAATTACTATTTTATAAGTTAACTAAAATTTCATAAATATTTATTTATATAATTGTACGTTTTAATAAATAATTTTTTAAATTGATGACGATAAAATATTAAGACATTTATTTAATATTTAAATTTTATTTAATATTCAATTGGATATTGAAAATTATTAAATGAGTTTTTTAAGAGATACAAAATATTATTTTTTTAAATTATAAAATTTAAAATTTATATTTTTTTAATATTTAAATGTTAATATCTTAACATTTTAAAAATAGTAAATAAAATATTAAATTTTAATTATAAATTTGTGTGTATATTTCATATTTTTATAATATTGTAATAGTCACTAAAACTATATTAAAATTACTTTATTTAATAACTCTTTATTAGATATTAATTTATATTAATCTAACCTATATGTTTACAAAAAAGTTGATTTGTGATATATGCTCTACGATTACGCCGATGTTCAATTAAAAATTCATCGAATCTAATATTTTTTCATTTTAATATTATAGAAAAAATAAACTAGTTTAAAGATAAATATTTATATTTATAAATTTTAATGTTGTAATAAATAATTATTCGTTTATAATAAAAATATATATATACTGATTGGTTACTATAATTATAATAAAAAATCTAATTGAAGTATTTAATATTTCTTAAATCATAAAACTATCAATTTATTGTTGAAATGTATATAATTAAATTAAATAAATAAATTTCATTGTTTCCGTTTTCATTTTTTTTTCTTTTTACAAGTCTATGTATGCATTTCTTTATTTAATCTTTTTATATAAAGAAATCTCCTGAAGGTTTTATGACAAAAGTAATTATTTGTTTTTACAAGTTATTTTAACATCCAACTTACTCAATTTTCACAATTAACAACATTGTGATAATATTGATACAAAGATAAAAATAAGTTCAAATAATGGAGAAGATCATTATGAATACTAAATACATACAAAAAATGATATTTATACAATAAAGTGTCATATATATCTTTTAAAAAAATTTCTTTGTGAGTAAAAAATTATGAAAGCTATTTTTTTTTTATTTCATTGTATAACAAAAAAGCAATATAACTGAAATCAATAAATTATTTTTAGTGTTAATCGTCATTATTTAAGAATACACAATAATAAATAATATTTTTTTTATTAAAAAGTATAGCATTAACATATTAAATTCTACTGTATCCTATGATTTTGATTGTAATATTAAATATATTATGTATAATTTTCTCTCATGGAAATTGAACCTAGCTTGACTGCTGCTACGTAGTTTTCAACAACTATTTAATTTTTAAAGTAAACCACGTTTCTGTGGTTAAAATAGTATTATTAAAAACGTTAACAATCATTGGTTCGTCTAACCAGGATTTCTTAATAATGAAAATCAAGTAACAAGTTTAAGCTAAATGAAGTAATGATTCATGTTGTTAATTAACACAAACGCTCTAGCCTCCAACTCAGAATGCATTTGTGTCAAGTACAAATTTTCACATTATTAAAGTACCTTTTTTCTTCTGTAAAAACGTTAGTTGAAGTACATTTTTGTTAGAGTTCAATTAAGGGAAGAGTTTAGAGTATATCTATGAAAGATTAGTTTTTTAAAAATGAATTATTATAAGGCTATTAAGAAATAATATTAACGTGATTAATAGTTGTGTGTTTTCATAGTACTCACGCAGAGTTAATTGTGGGATCACGACTACCTAGAAGAATTTAAAATGTTTAATGTCAAGACATTAATGATTCAGATTTTTTTGCAATTTTAGAAAAGATGACAGACTGTTGTTTTAATTTATTTAAGTGAAATAAAATTTGTTTAAATAAATTTAATAAAAAATAATTTTAGTTTAAACAAAAAAAATTAATTTAAGTAAATTTAGTCAAAAAATAATAAAATAGTGTTTTAGTATGCTAAATTAGTGTTTAAGTACAAATAAAATATTAAATAATACATTTAAAATATTTAGTGAAATAAAATGCGTAAGAGACTTTTGTAATTAGATAATTATTAATGAAAAATATTTTTTTTAATTTTTTATATTTTAGAAAGGAAAGAGAAATTTTAAAATTTTTTGTAATTTTAACTTAAATAAAAATTATTTTTTAACTAAATTCATTTAAATTATTTTATTTTATCTTAATTTAAAATCATTTTTTCCTAATTTTATTTTAAAAAATTATTTTATTTAAATAAATTTTAACTGCAGATTGCAATTCACTACAACTGGGAAGATTCAGATCGAGACATTAATTGGTCTTCCTCGCCCATTGATCTGATGGCTGTCCAATTAGTTTGCAAATGTTATATTTTCTAGAGAGCCAACTTTACTGTGAACAAAAAGTAATGCACGTGTGCAGATCCACTTGTAAATTGGTGACAAATAAGAATGGGTTTTGATACATGGTCCTCGCACGTGTGTGTGAAAGATAGTGACACACCCTTTATTTTGATATTGCACGAGTGGGTGCTTCACTTCATCAATTCTTAGTTATTATCATCTTCCCCACTTTATTTTTGCTTTTGCTTCTCTCTCTTAAACATTTACTTGAAGCAACTTTTATTAACTTAATAACCACAATTTTAAACATAATCTTCAACCTATCATTATTCGTGTGTTAGATTATTAGCACAAAGTTATCACCAGTAAAGTTAGTAAAGTCAAATAGAGATTTTAAATCAAACATTTGAAGTATTGAAACTAAAACTATAATTAATAAAAATTACTAGAATCTTACATTTAGGCAACTTTTGTGTCTCATCCCTAATAATAACTCTCCAACCTTTTTCAAATACCCCTTTTCATTGAAGGGGGGCTATAATAAATTATAAATTATGTGTTTCACTTTATCGATTCACTTTACAAGTGATAAAAGAGCTGAATATTTAAAGAAAGAAAAATAAAGGAAGCAAAAAGATGAGAAAAAATGAACTTGATTCACCAATCACCAAGCAAGTTAATTGATTGGTGGGGTCTGATCTAGTTGATAAGATGCCCCTCAAATGGGAGGTTAAGGTCCTACAACTCAAACATGTGCTTGCAACCCACATGCATTTAACAAATAGCTGCTACTTCCACAATTTAATATTTGCTTCTACAATCATTTTTGTTTTCCTTTTATATAAAATGGGCTCATACTTGCATTATAGGACATATCTTCTGTTAAATTCGTGCTAATTACCTTTTTTCTATGTAGAAATAAGTTTTTAAAGGGTTTTATTTTTTTCTAAAATTTAATTTCTAACATGAAGTGAAAAAACCACCATCTAAATGATAACATGAAGAAACCCACTAATTTTATATTGTGGTTCCACTAATGTAATTGAATACACCTCTAATAATATTATTTCTTACTTAGAATTGCCCCTCCTTCTTGTACCTATGTATATAATCAACGATAATACAATTAACTCCATTTTTAACAATTATTTTTTTTTTTAAATAGGTGAACTCCTGAATTTGTACTGTTATAGAAGAATTTATCTCTCAACTGGGCCTGAATCATTTGGGTCGGACAAATTTAACTTCTTTTGATAGTTGGGCCACTGTTTTGAATATTTTACATCTGCTAACAAAACGACGTAGTTCCCTTGTGAGGTTATACGTCTCTACCCAAGGGACTGAATATACACTATTAGACTCAAATTATTGAAAGAAAATTCGACAGAAAAATATATAAAATTAAGATGTTTTCGTTCTGACTGTGGAGGAATATGTGCTGACGTTTATCAAATAATTTTTTTATTTGTATAAGTTGATTGTGTAAAAATATTATTTAAAAGAATTGTTACATCAAAATATAAAAATGATTTATTATATTTTTGTTTTAAAAATTCTTAACTTTTATCCTAATTTATAGAATTAAACAAATATTATAAAAATCATAAAATATTCAGTACGTTTGTCTTTCTTTCTTTTTTTTTTCCAAAAAAGTAAATTATAAATTATAAATTAAAGAATACATGTAATTTCATGAAGAAGAGAATAAATGCAAATGATTAAAAATAAAAATAAAAATAAAAATTCTTAATATATGCACGAAGATATGTATGTATAATTTTGTATTTAATAATATTAAATAGTATAAGTTTGATAAAAATTTACTATATTTTAATTTTTTTAACACGTGTTCTTGAAAAAACGTTAAAAAAATAGAATATAAAAAATTATAAAAATAAAATATTCATTATATTAAAAATATTATTAATTTAAAATATTTGTTTGAAGAATTTTTAAAATATAATAAAACATATTTAATGTTTTTTCACACACAGTGGTCAATTCCTAAACAAGCCATGATTATGTCCGGAAGTGAGTATCGTTTGAATTCTTGCTGCAAAAATAACTATCACTGCAAAGATAAGGTTTTGGGAAAATTAGTAAGAAAATCCCCAAATCAATAATAAGCCCGATTGGTAATAATAGAAATACTTTTGATTTGACCATTCAATTGGAGATAGGATTGTTTGTGCGCAGCATTTCTTATTCCACATTCATCAAAATCTTCGAAGAAACAACATAGTCTTCGAAATGACACCATCCTTGGCAATGGCTTCTTCATCAATGTTATGTCCGAAACTGGGTACTTGTGCAGTGTCAGTGTCGTCTTCTACAATTTCACATTCAAAATTTCAACATTTTCATCTCTCTCCGTTGCTCTCTCCACTGGGTCGAGGCCTTTTCTCGCCCTGGATTGGTTTAAAGCATATGGGTATCTCGACTAAGCTAAAACCTCTTCTTCACATAGGTAACGATCGATATATCTCATGTGGGGTTGTGTTTTTCATGTTTGTGGAGCTCATTATAGCCATTTACAGATAGAAAGGGTAAGGTGGTTCATGCGTCTCTCTTTGGGGTTGGAGCTCCTGAAGTTCTGGTCATTGGGGTCGTAGCTTTGTTGGTTTTTGGTCCTAAAGGTCTTGCTGAGGTAAGTTTGATGAGTGTCTACATGACTCTTGCTTTGGTATCATTCTTATGTTTAAAAACCATGCCTATTAGGATTAGTTGAAGAGTTTTGAATGACTTTCTATAATGTTTTAATATTTAGTGATTTTAATTGTTAAAGAAGAAGTGCTGTTGAGTGGAGGTTGAAGAATGGTTTTTAATAATGGCTTGGGGGTGGATAAAATATATATTATCAACAATCAATAACTTGTGCTGAAACATGAAATTGTAAACTTCAATTTCTATGCTGAAAATGGAGGAAGGAAGCTTTGAATCCTTGGATCACTTTGTGATACAGGCTTTGGTACCTTGTGAAGGAACCGGTCGTCTTAAGTCCTAACAGTTTTGTTGGTCCAAGAGCGGTTTTATCTCAAACACTCATAAATAACACTTCATTATTTTTCTCATAGCTTAATTGTAAATCAAAGTTGCATTCTTATGCTAGAGGAATGATGTGTTAGTAACATTTATTCAGGCTGTCATTTGTTGATATTTGTTAATTCTGTGGTTTGCACAAGAGTTTTCTATGTAGGTTTAAGTGATCAAGAATTAACACTCCTGTATACTGTTACTTAGGAAATAGGCTTGTTATATGCTACATGTGAAATCTCAAGTACAAGAGCAAAACCTCCAGGAAACCAAGTAATAGTTAGATGCTGATGGAAATGATTACCTAAACAGTTATTCAATCTGCTTGAAACTCGATGTTCATGTTTTTGTATGAATCAAACTACTTTGGTCTTTCTCTTTCTTACTGCTAAGCAACACAGAAAAGGGAGGCATGTTAATACATGCTCTCTGTTTTTTTCTCATTATTCATCTTAAACATCATTAGGTTGAACTGATGGGAGATAGATGTACTTAAATCTCAATCTTTGTTGATAATAGTGATGGCATGTATTCTGTAGATAGCCGAAAGGCTGTTTTTTTCTTTTTTTTGACAAATTACTTTTTAAATGTAGTTCATCACAGTGAATGTGTGTAATGGTGTACAATGGACTTGAAGAATCCTGTTGTTTCATGCTATGTAATTGGAGGTTAACATGGACCATTGCACCAAACCTATTGGCCATTAGTGGTGTCTTTGTTTCTTGTAGAAAAAATTATGAAGTTACACATCGGTTGATGGGGGTTTACATAAGTAGAATACTTGAAAATGTATGAGTATGACACTATTCCAGATGATGGGTTTTCTTGAGGTCGGAGATTTCTTTATTCTTTGTGCTAACCTTATTGGAGATGTGTACCCCTTTGGGTTTTGGCTTTATCTATACGATAGGATAGGGTTCCATTTCTTTATATAGTTTACAGTGAAACCATAAAAGATAATAGGTTGCTCCACCTACTTGCTTTGCTTGAGAGAATTTTGCATGGAAGCTAAGTTTTCTGCCCCTCGAGTTATAAAAATTGTCTACATTCTCTAATCATTATTATTGAATGACATTAACTTCAACTGTTGGAACTCGGTCATTCACTATAGTGGCACTTTGAGCCTTATTGGATTCCTTGTTTACGTTGTTTTGTCAAATATTTGTTGTTGTTATTGGTAATGATGTTAATCTTTTTTTCCTCCTTCTCTTAACACCCTGGGGTTCAACTGAGTCATTGAATGCAGGTTGCTCGAAATCTGGGAAAAACATTGCGTGCATTTCAACCCACCATTAGAGAGCTTCAGGTTGGTGCTAAATACTTTAGCACAAATTTATTATGCCGAGTCTATTAGATAGATTTTTTTATGTTATTGCTTGCCATTTTTCCCCTTAGGATGTTTCAAGGGAATTTAAGAGTACACTTGAACGGGAGATTGGCCTTGATGACAGTTTAAGTCCAACCCAGAACACATATAGTTCCAGTGTACGCAATGCCGCATCAACTCCATCATCCACTGTTGATTCCAGTGAGTAATCTAATTAATTTTGTTTTCTTTTTTTATTAAAACTTGATTGGTCTACCTGATTGATATATCATCTTATGCATGCTGTCAAAGTCAATTACCATCACTTAACTACAACAATAATTATCTTACTCTACTTCTTAGCTATCAAAGATTATAGAAGTTGATAAAAATCAGAAAAGAAAAATACTAGCAATATATCTTTTAACACACTCTTAGTTATTAGTTAAGATTTATTAAAAATTATAAAAAATACATAATTATCACTTTTTTCTTATTCTTAATTTGATGATTTTCTTTTATAATTTTGTAGTTTTCAATAAATTTTAATTAATAATTAAGAGTGTGTTTAAAAGAATGTGTGCCTAACACTTACCAAAAAATAGAACCAATACAAATGGATAAAAAACCAAACAACTTGGTTGTGCATATTCTTGAATTTTCTTTGAAAACAAAAATAGAAATGAAAATTAAAAGAAAATGAAATTAGACTCAACCCAAACAGTTGATCCCCCAACCTTATGAGGCATATCCTTGTTCCTTCATATTGTGAGTTTTAATCTCCAATCCAATGTATTTATCAATGATAGTAAAAAAGAATATTTAAGACTCTTAATATTGTTCTATAGATACTATTCCAGTGATATTGGATTTGTTAAACTTTCATTATTAAGACCAATAAAAAAGAAGATAAGATTGTAGTTTAAAATGAATGAACGTGAAGCAAGAGGAAAATTTAGTGAGCACTCAAAAGATTTATCAATTATGAATTTGCCTAGGATTTTGATTTCATCTAAGAGCTCCTTAATCTTTTTTTAATTTTATATTTTTGATGATTTAATCCTTGACCATATGATTAATCACTCATTTAAAATTTACTTTTACTTAATAATTATGCAATAATACTATTTTTTACTTTCTTTGTTAGTATTCTTAATGATGACTTAAGACAATTAATAATGAGTGAAGTACAAAGAACCAATGGATTTGTTAATTTAATAAATACTTGTTTCTTAACTAATTAACTAAGGATTATTAAAAACAATTAAATTTTAATTATGAAATAAAAACAGTAACACAAACACTGTTGGTACTGAAATATTTACATTAAAAAATAATAAAAATCAATTCATATCATAGGATTCACTATAGCCAAGCACCTGAGGACAATCCTACCTAATGGGAAATTTCTTTGTTGCACATATCATGTATGGATTGAATTTTTTTTTGCCACATGTATGCATAATCTGTGCTTCAAAAGAATAAATGTTCTTTTCATCCAAGAAATAAATTGAATTTGCACTTGCATGCAAATTGGAACCATTAAATAGCTCAATTCGTATCTCTCCTGGCTTTTAACAAGGAGCTGTGGCTACCCTACACTTCTCATACCCTTAGGTGTCCCTTAAGACCTCCCTATAATAAAAAAGTGGGTCAACATTAAAAATAGAAGAAACATGCTACTAACAGTTCTAAATGAAGAAATCAGATCATAATGATTTAATGAAGACTTGACTATGGACACTACTCTGAAGCTTATGTAGCATTTGGATGTTAGGTTTGAGATTATTTCCCTTTCTGTATTCTTAATACAGCACCTACAGTATGTTTGAGCTAGCAACAAGATAAAAATACATTTCCTTTTAGATTAATGTTAATCTGAATAGACAAAGAAGCAGAGTATGGTTGTTAACTCTGCTGATATTTATCTTTAGATTGTCAGGTCATGTTTGTATGAACTTCTGGCCCCTGTAACAACTAGTTTAGTAGCAAGGTCCAAAATGCTGACAGAAATAGACACACTTCATAAATGCAATATTCTCATGTATAGGTTCTCATTAACATTTTTATCCAAGAAAGTGAATTATTACTTGGCACAAGAGCGCAATTCCCTTGTACAGATATAGTTACATAAGTTTTTTTCTTTCTAAGAATAAACTGCACCCTTTTTTAATCAAATCCAATATGGTTTTTGAGAATTTTTAAGTTCCTGTTGATGCTTCCGAGAACCAAATGGAGCATAATGATCATTGCATAAACACCAAGTACATTGTGGTTATTTTTATCACTTGCATGGTTAATAAATACCATTATTTCTACATGTAAAAAGACATTCTATCTTGTGGTTACTTTTATCACTTGCATGGTTAATAAATATCATTATTTCTACATGTAACAAAGAGATTCTATCTTGTGCTTAATTTTATACGTTGTTAAATTGCCAATATACATACTTGATACCAAATACCAGAATATACTTTTAATATCTGATAACGCAGATGGTACACGAGATCCAATTAGAGCATACAGCTCTGAGGAGTATCTTAAGATTACAGAGGAGCAGCTAAAGGCAGCTGCTGCACAACAGCAGGAGCAGTCACCTCCTCCTCAAGAAGCCAAGATTGAACCTCAAATCCAGCCTCCTGGTTAGTCCTTTTTGGTGAAACTTTTCTCTGTTTTTCTCTCCCTCATTCTATCCTTCTTTGTCTTTCTTACCTTTTAGATGATTGGCTTAATCATGGTGTGCAGCTAAGGAAACAGCTACTACTGTGCCTCCACCTCAGAAGCCAGAAAATGAGACATTACCTCGGGATTCGTAGGGAGTACAAAGTAACTCGTCAAGTTATCACTTCAGTGCCCGAATGTGGGCACTAGTGATGGGTCACGCAATTTTGTTACCTTGTAGTCACTAGAATTATGTAAAAAGTAAAGAAGAAAACCATTGAAACGTAGCGTGTTTCTGAATTTATAGTTAATGAGTTACCAATGCTGTTTGTCTGCCTTTTTTTCTATATCTTAACAGCAACAGAAATAATTATAAGGGTCCTGTTAACAGTGCCTTGAGAAATTAACAGATATAGTGCCTTGAGAAATTAACAGATATAAAGTTTTTATTAAAAATTATACTGGAAATACATTAAAAATTATAGTGGGAGTGCATTAGTAATACTTCTTAATAAAAACTAGGCAATTTTGATATTTTAGGTAGTGCTTTTAAGATATTAGTTAACGTTTGTCTAATAAAGAAAGATAAAAAATGATAAGCATGCATTCGGAATTTGCTAAGATACTTGTTTGGTTCATGAATACCTCTGGGTTACGATAAGTTATCAGGTATTGTCATGAGATTTTGCAAGCAATGTTTGAAACTTGCTATATAATTAATATTTAACAAATGTTGTAGCAATTTATGAAATAAAATATAAAAAATGATAATGATGGCCAGGTAATTTTCCATTACCCTTTAGAACCGTATTTTAATTGTTGAAATGCCATTTTTTTTTTGCTATTGTTGAAATGCTTTTTTAATTTATGTTTTGATAACAAATCTGATTTTCTTAATTGCAGATAGATCTTGTAATTGAGTCATTCTACTCATAATGTACAACGGCTCAATTTTACGTTTTTCTTTTTAATTTTTACCCCTCAACGTTGAAATATACCTACAATAAGAAAAACTTTTAAAAATCCAACAACCTGAAACTAAATAAAAAACAATTTGAACTAAACAACAGGCTTATATATACTTTTGGTTTAACCCTCCGAAAGGTCAACGCTTCCACTTCCACCGGAAGCAAATGAATCAAAATTATATTCTTTTAGAGCATTCGATAAAATAATACACGAAATGTGACTAATTTTACAGTAATCCAACGCTTTTGTTTATTCCCCTGATTAAACAATCGCCAATGCTACCAAAAGAATGCATAGACAAATTGCGAATAATTTTCTTCCCATTGATATTGGTGGGGAAAAAAATTACACGATGCATTATCATGCAATTTATCCTGAGAGAGTTATGCTACAACATATTCATTTGTCTGTAAGATTCAAAATCTAGATAGCCTGTGGATGGTCCATTAAACCCATACATATCCATTACTTTATCATCTGAAGGCAACATAGAGCCCTCACGTCCTTTAAAGCCCTCCAGAGGTGCCCAAGGAGCTGGAGTAGAAGGGTTTGAGCTAGAGGAGTCTTGGCTGACACCAAGTGCAGCCGGATTCTGTGGAGAATTCCCAGCAGGCCTTCTGCTTGACGCGCTAGCTGATGTCAAAGAAATGGATACTGATTGCTGCTGCTGCAGTTGTTGCTGATTCTTCATTGGTGACTTTGGCCTAAGAGCCTCTATATCAGGAGTGGTCACCACCAGATGAGGTGCCTCCGGAGGTGGATTTCTTCCCCCACCTCCCTGCCAAACTTTCCCATCTTTGTCAGCAAAATTCTTGACATATGCCTGAATTTATCCAAATTCAATCAATGGTTGATCAGTCAGGAGAACACAAACTATCGAAATCAAGCAACACACAAAATATTAAGTACAAACTCTGTCAAAGTCAACGGATTGTATATCCAAACAAGATAGAATAAAGTCTAAAAATGCTGGAGGAAATAAAGTCAAAATAAAAACGCTTTATTACCACGAGTCTAAGTATAAGATGGGCTTTCAAAATTTTATTATCAGACCACGTGTGTTTGTACTAGCATCAACTTTAGAAGTCATGTAAGTATATACTAGCATTTCAAATATCTTACCTCTTTATTGAAATTTGAAGATGACAATTCTTTACCAACAGTAAGCCAGCCAGCTCGGATATTGTGATCTTCACCAAATAGTTCAAGTCTCCTCCTTCCAAGGGCAAAGTGTTCAATAATCCTATACATATCTTCAGGCTTTTGAGTTGAACCTGCAAGATACGAGGAAGAATTTGAAGAGATGACCATTTTATTCTTCCATAAGAAACACAACCACCATTGAAGGCACTGTAAGAAACCGGGCATTTTATCTTAAAACAACTTCTACATGATTTTGGTGTTCTGGTTTTAAGTATATAACTTTTCCAACTTATTTCCAACACACACACACACACACACATATATATACACAGATAGATAGATAGAGAGAGAGAGAGAGAGAGGAAAGCAAAATTCATGTATAAAGATAATTAAGATTGTTTATTTTATAGGCACAATTGACCATACTAACCATATGGAGGTTCCTCAGCAATAATTACATCCGTGTCAATGTTGGCATGAATTATGTGGCCATCAGTACTTCGACGAACAGTTCCTTTTATGCCCATCAAGCAATGTTCCTTCACCACACCAAAACAAAAACAGTATAAGGAAGACTACTCTATTTACTTAGTATAAAAATAACTATATACAATAGCACAAATGTTGAAATGAAGCTGTAGATGTACATGAGACAAATTTTAACTCACCTTTGAATGCTGAAACAAAGTATGTGAATCATGCCGCAGTCCAGGAGTTGCATTACTTTTGTTTGTCTTTACCCAACATATATCTTCACACCTACGAAATCCCCACTGTAGAAACCCAGCCCCACCCCCAAGAAGAAAAAAGAATATAAGGATAGAGATCAAGCAACAGAAGACATAAATATGGTATGATAAGAACCATAACAAACGATTAAAGCAAAATCCCATAGGAAATTCCAATATTCAAATAGTGTACCTTCTTTAGACATTGACGACCTTGTTCAAGGCCCACAGCATCACCCACCCAAAGGAAGATGAAAGAAGGGGTATCTGCTATAGCCTAAAACAAGGAACAAAACAAATGAGATGTCTAACTCTAAAAGATAACAATACTATGCACTCATACAAGGAAACCAAAACGAAGGTAGCATTTTACGGCAATGTACTAATAATATATAACAAACTAATATATGCAACTAATTTTTAAAGGAACTCTGATAGTGATAGATCATTATATGATGAGAACCACTTCAAAAAATGCAATTTAGAAGGTAAGCAAATGCTCGAATACCCCACACACACTCTTACCACTTTACCATTTTTATTCTTATCTTTTATTGCACCATAGGGTACTAAAAATAATTAGTAGTTAGCCCAACCAGTTCACTCATAAAGACTTTCATTTGAATTTGAAATCTAAGCAGGATAGAACTTCTCAGCTGAACAAGTATAAGAATGTGTTGTGCAGACAGAATAATAGCTGACCTCAATCTTGAGATTCATTATTTCTTCAAAGGTCCAGTACTCCATGTGGTCAGCAACACCAGGGGCACGGTGCACATACTCCTCCCATGGGGGATCTACAAGAATGACGTCAAACTTTGTCCCAAAGAACTCTGGAGACAGTTCAAATTCTTTCAGATCACTCTTGTAATACATAGGTGCAGATGCAGATTTTTCCACAATCTCATCCTTTTTCTGTATAAGCTCCCTAAGCTTCGGGTAGTCCTCTACAACATTTGTGAGCTCAAGCTCCCTAATGAAATTCTGTGGTCGCATACCAGTGTCAACAAAATTTTGGGAATAATCATTCTGTTCACCTCTGGAAGGAGCTTTACCCAGAGTTCCACCACTTTTAGGAGGAACCCATCCCCCTGGAGTTTTATCAGGAGGGGCTCCTCGAGCCATTGATCCTGTAGGATTAAAACCAGGTGTAGAAATGCTTGGTGGAATTCCCCTTCCAGGGCCTGATTGGTTATAATACATTGCAGGATTTGGTGGGTTCCCTATATTAGCAGGGTTGAATCTTGGACCTGAGGGTACAGGAGACACAGCAGGTGGAACACCCATTATATTCATATCAACACCTCGTGCTCCAGGCCAAACAGCTGGAGTAAATGGTGAAATGAAGACTCCAGGCGAAATTGGTGGACCAGGAGCAGGTGACATTCCATGTGAAAGAGGCTGCATTGGCCCAGGTGGAGGAATTCCAAGAGGTCCATAGGGTGATCCCATCATTGGCAATGGCATTCCAACCTGCTGGTTGTCTCTCCCAGTTGGCCTAATCCTTCCACCTCTACCAACCCTGTTCCCTTTCATTCCTTGTGGACCAGCTCTGTTAAAGGATCCAGAGTCCAGGTTTCCATATTGAGGTTGTGAGCCACCACTACTAGAACTTTGGCTCCCAGTACTGCGAGCAGACACAGCACCTTTCTGACCTCTTCCTCTTCCCCCATAAAATTCATAGTCATCGTCAGCATATCTATCCTTTGGATCTTCACCGGGTGTCCCAGAACCAGGTAAGTCACTCTTTCTAGCTCTTTCTTCCTGATGATATGCCCACTCTTCATCATTAGCACCTGATTTAACATTGTACTGTTGATTAGCTTCGCTTCTCTTGGTATGGTTGGACATAGACTCTGGTTTCCCATAGTCAAAGAACTTGGTCTGGATCTCTATCACATCATAATTGTCATTTGAAATCCCAAACTTTGTAGATGTTTTAACAGCTTCCCCCCTGCTCCCATCTTTTCTACTCCCAAACCGTCCATGAGGCCTGTCATTGTCCATCCTGTCATAACCATGTCTAGGCAACTCCCATTCTCTGTTGTCATCTAAACCACTCTCCTCATTTTTCGAATCTTTGTCAACATTACTCAGCTGTCTCCTTTTCCAACTTTCTTTAGAACTTTCCCTATCCTTCTTCCTGTCATTCCAAGTATCATCTTTTCCTTTGGATCTATCATCCTTATAGCCATCACTCTCAGGTTCCTTCCTTTTAAAGCTACCACTTCGTTCATAATCTGCCTCCGAGTTTTCAGAATCTTGATGGCGTTTTCCACTCCTCTCAGGAGTCCTGGACTTGTTCGAGTTCCCAGTTTCCCTAGTAGCTTTATCCCTAACCCGCAAGTTCCCATCCTCATCTGCATTCCCCGACCTATCCCAGGCTTCAGCTCCATCATAACCACTGGGCGTTCTGTGCTGCCTGGGCTTCTCAACCCTCTCCTCACGACCAACCTCCAGCTGCTCCGACTTCCCTTTACTCTTCCCTCTCTCCGAATCACCTCTTCTATCTTCTTTACCACTGGATTTACCAACCCTCTCACCAGAAGCTTTACCCTCCCCTTGTTCACTCCTAGTAGATCCACTCCTCTCCCTATCCCTAGAACCATCACGCTTAGCCTCAGAACCCTTAGCACTTCTGGAATCCCCTTTCTCAGAAGCACCATCTTGCGTCCTCCTCGCACCCCCAGTGTCAACTTCATCCCACTTCCTTCTAGAAATCCTCCCCTGCTCAGAAGACCCGTGACCACCCTTATCACGGCCACTACTACCTTCACTCTTCTCCGAGTACCTATAATCCTCTTTAGTATTCACATCCTGAAAATCACCTTCACGCTTCCTGGGAATCTTATCAGCACCATCAAACTCTCCATCCTCATACCAACTACTCAACTTTTCCAACGTGCTCTCCTCGTGCCTCTTCTTCACCCCTTGCTTAGAACGCGAATCGTAATCATCACTATCAGTTCTGCTAGAGCGCTTCCTCCTTCCACTCCCATCAGAACCTTCACCCTCTTCCCCATTATTGACGTACTTTCTCGACCTCTCTTTCCTCTTATCGCTAAACTCCCAATCCTCCTCGTCCCTCTCTCGTTTCGAGTAACCACGCCCACTATCACTCGAATCCATCCCCGAATACCAAAATTTAACCTAAATGTGTTTCTCTGGAACTTTCTCGGGGGCGCGTGAATTCGCCCAAACTATGGATTGTTTTTCTTAAATATCTGTAATTTGTACGAGAAAATAAATGAAAATTTTGCTTATTATTGGTATGGTAAGGAAAATTGAGATGGGGAAACGGAGGGTCTTACCGGCGAAGGGGAATGGAGTTGACAATCACAGTGGGTGGCGAGTGCAGAGAGGGAAAGAAGAAGAGGGGCTTCTAACTTTCTCTTAGCCAAGAATACCCCTTTCGACGCTATTTATAGAACTCTAAATTGAATAACTTGTTCGGGCCGATCCTAACAACACCCTAATCTCACTCTGATTCCAGGCCATCTTTTATCTTCTATCCCTTAAAACTAGTTCAGTTGATATTTAAGTCAAATTACACATCAATTTAATCTAATCTAATCAATAATAAAATAAATACAACTATTAATTGTATATTTATGTTATTGTATATTATTATACTTTAACTGTCATCATCTTAATACCAATTTTTATATTTATTGTGTCAATTTATATAATATTTTAAGTGTTATTTCTTTTTCAATAAATGAATAATTGAATCTATAACTATAGATAATATTAAGTTAGAATTTTAAATTTACCGTTTTATATAGATTTGGATAAATGTGTTGAATATATACGATCAAATCTCATGCGATTGCATTGGGATTTGTTAGTTAATATATTTAAATTTTATAAAAAAAATCATATAAAAATGCTTTGAATTTGCCTCAAAGATAATTTGTTCATTTCAAAATAATGTAATTTTTTTATATGAAATTACATCATCAATCTAAAAACAACGGTAAATTTATTAATGGTGGATTTCAAGGGCCAATAGTATAAAATAACGGTGGATTTATTAATATAGAAGATAAAAAATTATATGAGAAAGAAAAAATTTAAAAACAAATTAATTTAGTTTTGAACATCCTAATATAAAATTTATGTACGATACATTGTTGAATGACTCAACAGTAGTATAAAATTAACATTATTTAAACCACTAAAAATTAGCATCCTACATCGTATGTATAAAATTTAAAACGTATTCACTTTTATCATACATTAAACGTCTTCTGATAATATAACACCAAACCCTCAAATCACATAAAAGAGAACAAAGTGCACGAAGTAAAATCTGGACAAACAGTACTTAATACTTGAAAATATCAAAACTACAAATGTCTTTTTTTTTTTTTTACCCTAAATTTTTCTTCATTCAATCTATAATGAAAATAATAATAGTTCTCTAAACAACCTCTACGAGAAACTCCTTATCTTGCTCCAATCTCTCCATTGCTTGAGACTCCAATGTTAGCTCCACATCAATGCTTCTCCCTCCACTTTTCCCCTTATACAAGTAAATCATTCCATCAAACTTGTTATTAGATCCACCCCTAACATTTTCTGGCTTCCCCAATCCAAAATCCACATCATAAACCTTAAACCTTGGTGAACTACCCACCGCCACAGAATTAACCCCAGCATCTTTGAATTGAAACATCTTTGGTGCATTTTCCCACCCTTTGTTACGCTTCTCAATGGCTCCTGCATTGTGTGATTCAATGGCTTCCTGGATCAACGAAGCACCAAATTGTGGCGGGTGGGTCAACAATAACCCGGTTACCGTAACGGTAAATATTGCTTGAATAAGGTTTCCAAAGTAAGTATACGGCATTGGCGGGTCAACCCGTTTCCGACAATCCGCAAAGACAGTGAATACGGTCTGCTCTTCGGGTTTGAGGTTGCGTGCATGGCTTACGTGGCGCCAAATATGCACTGAGAGGGCTTGGAATGTTGAGAAAAGTTTTGAATTGTCTGATGGAGGGTTTTCGTTGACCGTTGACTTTATTTCTCGATGGCTGACTCGGAAAACCTGAAGATCTTTTCCCTCAGTAGTGGGCCAGGCTTGGGCTTCGCATCGCCGTGTGATGCGGTGGTTTGGCCCGAATGGGGGGCGAGGTCTAACTTCACGCGCGTGTTTCGTGGCTTGGTCCGTTCGAGGAAGGGCGGTGCTGACGTGGAGGGAACACCGCGGCAAATCTCGGCCCATGAGCTCATAAAATGCCACGTGGAGGTGCCATCAAGGACCGCGTGGTTGAACGCACACCCCATTGCGAGTCCGTCTTTGAGCTTAGTTAGCTGTGGATAAAACCATCTTGTATTCTTGTTATCAATGAACCCATGAGAATTGAGAATTAGGAAAGCAAAGAATAAATAAATACTATATAGCAACAGATTGTGATCGTTGTTGGTACATAGGAATGTGATGGTCCAGACTCCGAGCAAGAGCAACTACTTTTGCTTTAGGAATTTATAATACTAAGAAAAGATCAATAAATTTCACAATTATCACTTGTTTTCTTTGATTAAACACTAATGCTAATTAACAATCCAATAAAATTTATGTGAATCTTATATATTTTTAAACACATGTTAAAATTGTTAGTCTCACATCATGTATAGCAAAAGTCAAACAAATTGTTGTATGTTTTGTAAAAAAAATTTGCATGCTTTTTGGTGACATTTATTGCCGGACAAAGAAAGGCTGAAGCTTTGCTTATAAATATCAAGCTTCCTTCGTCCATTTTGTGCATCCAACACCATCGAATGTAATCCCACGAGAAGCAATACCTAGTATATAGAGAGAAAAAATACAGAGAGATAAAATAATATTCTTCTGTGAGGTGTTCCTAGTGAGTGAGTTTTTTCTTGTTTTTCAATAGAGAGTGTCATTGTTCTCTCCTTGTATATAGAGAGAAAGTGTAATATTTCTTTCACTAAGTAAAATTATTTCTCTGGTCTTGCTCGTGGTTTTTCCCTTATCTGTTGAGGGTTTTTCACATAAAATTACTGTGTTCAGTTCCTCTTTTCTTATCTCTATTTTAGCTGTGTGATATTACTCAGTTATTCTGGTACCTAACAGTGGTATCAGAGCCGATGGTTCGGTAGGATATTCTTAGTATGCTCTGTGGTTGCAGCTTAGTCTGATCTTCCACATCAGAAAAGATTAATTCCTTGTTGTTGGAGAATCATCCTTGATTGTTGACGTTGCGATATTATTCACGATGTGGTTGTATACTTTTATAGTGATTGTTAATGTATATTGAAATTATTCTGGTGCGCGGTAAAAGTATACAATACTGTTCACGTATACTGTATTATTTACGGTGAAATTGTGTAAATCGGTTTAGTTAAAAATGAAGGCAAAATTTGAGATTGAGAAATTCAGTGGGAGTAACTTCTCCCTGTGGAAATTGAAGATAAAGGCAATTTTGAGAAAGAAAAATTGTTCGACAGCAATTGAAGGTAGACACGATGACATTATCGATGAAAAGTGGAAAGAAATAGATAATAACGTTGTTTCTACCTTGCACTTAGCAATGACAGATTCAATTTTGTCAAGCATTGCAGAAAAGGATACTGCAAAGGAGATCTGTGATACCCTCATCAAACTATATGAGGTGAAATCACTTCACAATAGAATATTTTTGAAAAGGGGGTTGTATACTCTTCGGATGAGTGAGTCCACATCAGTAACGTACCACATCAACAATTTGAATACGTTGTTTGCTCAGCTTATAGCGTTAGATTTCACAATACCAGAAAATGAGCGTGCCAAACTTTTGCTTCAGAGATTGCCAGATTCGTATGATCAACTCATCATCAATATAACAAATAATAATATTGTTGGTCGCTTGCACTTTGATGATGTTGCCAGAGCCATTCTTGAAGAAGAATCTAGACGCAAAAATAAAGAAGATAGTAAAGAAAGTTCAAAGCAAGTGGAAGCATTGACGATGACAAGGGGAAGATCAACGGAGCGTGGCCCCAGTGGGAGCCAGAACCATGGTAGATCAAAGTCTCGAAGACGAAAGAACTTTAAAATGCTACAATTGTGGCATGAAGGGGCACCTGAAGAAAGATTGTTGGTATAAGAAGAAAAATCCGGAGAAGTCTTCTGGAACAAGAGGGTGTGTTGCTAGTACCTTTGATGGTGGAGAAATCCTGTATAGCGAAGCAGCAATCAGTTCTAAAGGAGGGAGACAGCTCACTGATGTTTGGATAATGGATTCAGGAGCGACATGGCATATGACTCCACAACGAGACTGATTTTGCACTTATGAGCCTATCTCAGAAGAATCTATGTACATGGGTGTGTACATGGGAAATGATAATGCCTTAGAAATTGCTGGAGTTGGTACCGTCAAATTAAAAATGTATGATGGTACTATTCGCACAATTCAAGGAGTACGCAATGTGAAGGGATTGAAGAAAAATCTATTGTCTATAGGGCAATTAGATGACCTCGGTTGTATGACCCATATTGAAGGTGAGATCTTGAAAGTGGTGAAAGGTGCTTTAGTAGTGATGAAAGCAGAGAAAATTACTACTAATCTATACATGCTTCTAGGAGATACATTGCAGACAGTAGATGCATTAGTTGCTTCAACTAGTCAAGAAGAAATGACGATGATGTGGCATCGTAAATTGGGCCATATGTCAGAACGTGGCTTGAAGATTCTTGCAAACCGCAATCTCCTTCATGAGGTCAAATTGGTAAATTTACCTTTTTGTGAGCATTGTGTGACTAGTAAGCAGCATAGATTGAAATTTAATAAGTCTACTACTAGAAGCAAACATATATTAGACTTGATTCATTCTGATGTTTGGGAGTCACCAAAAATGTCCCTAGGAGGAGCAAAATATTTTGTATATTTCATTAATGATCATTCTAAGAGATTATGGGTGTGCCCAATCAAGAAGAAGTCTGATGTATTTCCAGTATTTAAGGAGTTTAAAGCACAAGTGGAGCTTGAAACTGGTAAGAAAATCAAGTGCTTGAGGACAGACAATGGAAGAGAATATACAAGTGGTGAATTTATTGCATTTTGCAAGCAAGAGAGTATTCAGAGGCAATTCACAGTGCCACATACACCTCAGCAGAATGGTGTAGCAGAGCAGATGAATAGAACTCTCCTGGAGAAGACAAGAGCTATGTTGGAGACTGTGAGTCTAACCAAGTCTTTCTGGGCAGAAGCAGTCAAAACTGTCTGTTACTTGATAAATAGGTCACCATCAATTGCTATTGGTCTTAAGATGCCAATGGAGGTGTGGAAAGGAAAGCCAGTAGATTACTCTTCTCTACATGTATTTGGTTGTCCTGTGTATGTTATGTACAACACCCAAGAAAGAACAAAGCTAGATCCAAAATCCAGGAAATGTATATTCTTGGGTTATGCTGATGGTGTTAAGGGGTATCACCTGTGGGATCCCACTGCCCGCGTGGTTATTGTCAGCA